GAGAAAGGGGTGCCAGGTCATCGGGTCCTGCATGAAGGTGCCTGTCAGGGGGAGGAGTTGCTGGTATAAATCCTTGGGTATACATACATAGGAAAGTCCTAGAATTGATGTTTTTGACCGCCTTAGTATATATCTAAAAAGAACATCCAAAAAGCCATCGGTCATAGTGAGAAGCATGGAGCACTCCATACAACATACAAGATATCGAAATACCAAGGTAGAATTCAATAGACATTGATAGAGACGCAGAGGCGCTCGGTAGAGGCACAAGATATCGAAAGCGAAAGATAAAACAAAGAAATGAAATGCAGACCCAGTCGGATGCATCGAAGGAAAAATAAAATATGTTCTTTTATAGACCGTTACCCTTTTCTCCCATCTCTAATTCGTACAACTTCAAAGAGACACGCTTATTTCCTGCCACCCTTGCTCTTCTTGCCGACGGATGTCTTGCTCTTCTTTGATGGCGGGGGCTGCTGCTGAGCGGCATCGTCAGACTCGTCGTCTTCCGTGTCGGCAATGAAGTCGACCATCGAGCCATCACTATCCTCATCGTCGTCCTCATCCTCGTTCTCCTCCAGCGATTCCTCGGCATCGGAAGAACCGACAGACTCAGCAGCCTCGATGTCCAAAATAGGCTCTTCGTCATCATCCTCGTCGTCACTTCCATCATCCTCGTCGTCTTCAGACTCATCGACGCCGTTCATCATTGACTCATCCTCATCGTACGCCTGGTCGCGTATTGACTTCCGCGGCGTCTTGGCCTCGGTCTCACTGTCTTCGAGATCATCCTGACCCTCGACGTAGATAACATTATCCTCGTCCTCGCTGTCCATACCCTCATCGCCACCGCGGATCGATTGCCGCAGTCCCAATTGGGCATCGAGCATGTCAAGCTTGCCCTTGAGGAGCAGGAGGGATGGCAGGCTGGCAGAGCGCTGGTCCATGACCTTGTAGAGGGAAGTCATACGCTTCAAGAGATCGGGGTGGCCAGCCAGAGCACCACCGTGAGCGACGCAGGTCCACTGCACCCAGACGAGAAGGTGGCCGTAGCGACCAGGCCGGGAGGCGAGGCGCTCGGCGAGTTTTTGAAGCAGAGTTGCTGCCAGCGAGGAGTCGAGACGTTGGATGGTAGTGCGGATGATGGAGGTGTCACCGGTGTGGAAACAAGACTCGAGCATGCCATTGTCGTTGGTCTTGAGAGACTGTGAGAGGACAGTAGCAAGCGAAACACCGGTGGGAATCTGTTGCACTGCGGCCTGGGGCTTGCCGGGAACCAGTGCGCCCAGGAGGACATCGTCGTCAAGCTCGGCCTCGACGTCGACTTCCTGGCCTGCGTTGGCGCGTAGGAGTTCTCCGAATGATGGCTCTGCGCCCTCTTCTTCTTCCTCTTCCTCCTCGGAGTCGGACGCGTTCTGCATCTCAACGTCCTCGTTCGCTGCCACTTGCTTGGTAGGCTTTGTCTTTTTTTCGTTGGAAACCTTGGGCTTCTTGTTGTCCTCATCATCGGAGTCCTCCTCACTGCCGGATTCGGATGCGTCTGGTCGTGAGTCCTCCATCTCTACATCATCATCGACCAGGTTTCCCTGCTCGACATTCATGCGGGACTCGTCAACACGGGTCTCGCCTGCGCTCTTAACTCCATTCGTTGTGACAGAAGAAAGTGCTGAGCCGCACTTGGTCTTCACCACGGTCTTGATTCCGGTGAACAAGAGCTCATCGGTGTTCTCGTCGACGAACTTGACACGCTCAAATACGGGGATCACACCACCCTCGGTGTATGCAACCACGAGGGTTGGGCCCTGGAATGAAATGGCCGCGACGGGAACGCAGGCGTTCGAGGACTCGGTGTTGGTGATTTTGAGGGTTGTGGTTGCTTTCTGGGTCATCTGTTTGCGGCTGGCCTTGGCACTTGCGGAGGGCGCATTTTGGGGCTGAACAAATGGCTTAGTGAAGAGTTCGATGCTACCATCTGCGGTGACTGCGGCAAGCACTTGCTTCTCCGGAGTCGCAACGCCATCTGTTTGCAGTGTAATCGACGAGACCTCCTGGTCGGCGACAAGGTTGCGAACAAGCTTCTGGGTGGTGGCATCGAAGACGTTGACGAAGCGGTCACCATCGGATGCAAGGAATGCACCCACACCAGCAGACTCGGGGGACGAAATGACGGTGTGAATAGGGTTGCGCATGGCAGGGAATTGAACCGGCTCGTCTGCCTTCTCGGTATCTATTAAGTACGGGGTCTGAGAAGCGCAGATAAGAGGGGGGTTCGAGGGAACGGGGCGGGAGAGAGCAGTGAACGCTGAGGATGCGGGGAGGTGGATCGTCCTAGGCATATTATTAGTTAGGAGCTCGGTATAGCCCAGCACATATCCAAACTTACTTGATGCTTTGTCCGGTGCGCAGGTCCCACTGGACAAGCTTATTGTCACCACCGATACTCCAAGCCTCCTGAGCGGGCCGATCGGCCGTGAACTTGAAGTCCTTGATACCCTTTTCATGCGCGCCGGTCAAGGTGCCGACCACCTTATCTTCAGATGGCGAGTACATGCGAATATCCGATGTGTTTGTGCCGAATGCAACCACAATATCCCCCTGGTCCAGGCCATCAACAGCCCCATTGACATCGGAGCTGCGCTTGCGCTTCTTTTTCGACTGGTCACGAGCCTTGCCCGAGCCACCGTAGTATCCCCAGTCCAAAGAGGTCACTGTTTCCTTCGGCCCCAGAGCATGCTCACACTGGAGGCGTCCTGTCTGTGTATCGTGGATGCGAATGTGCTGGCCATCGAGACCTTGGATAACGGACGCAAACAGGGCCAATTGGTACTCTGACGGGGAGAATGCAGCGCGCAGGATGGACGACTTGCTGCCGGCATATGTCAGGCCTGACGCCGGCGATGCGGCGGCCGAGACGACCTTGGTCGATGGGCGAGTCGTCTTCTTTCCCATCTTGTAACCTTTCTTCTTATCTTCGTTTTTTTCTTCACAGTCGAGGGTGCGGCGGTGTGAAGAATATTATCAATAGAGCAGACCCAAATAAAGACAGCAAATATTCCGATAAGACTCTATTTCTTTCCGCCCCTAAGGAAACAAATGGGGGTTTAGGCTGGTGGTTTCGCAGTCGATCCGGACAGGAAAAAAAAATGTTCTGTACAGGCTTGACGGGCTAGTCCTAAACGGGTTTAGACTATAACAAGTTCTTATCTAATCATATCCGTGATACTTCAATGTCGAGTATGAGGCCCTGGGGTAACTCTACCAACTCTTTGATTCATTTTAGTCGAGTTTTGGAGCTTTTTTGTTTTTCAGCCCCGCTGAGGCTTCTTTCTAGCTTTGGTGCTGTTGCTATCACACTTCGTTTCTTCATTTCGCGCGCTTTTGATATCAGCGTCCCTGACCGAGCGAAAATATATAACAGATTTTGCAGGCCATTTGAACATATACCTTCTAAAACCATGCCAAATATTTATTTCGCAAAACGAGATTAAAATTCTGACGAGTTCCAAGTCCATTATGCGGCCCAAAACAGATTCAATATGTGCAAGAAATAGGACGGTGGTCAAATCAGAGACCTTGCTATAACGCTTAGAGGCAAACCAAAGCCATCTAAAATGCCTAGCACTAAAAATTATGCCCGATATATACTTCAAAGCATGCGGACTACAAGGACTCCCATTAGGCAGATCTTCAAAGCCAATAGTACCTCCCAGGTCCCAAATTAGTTAGGTGACATGCGTATATTTGTCTAACCTGTAAGGGTCAAGGTGCAGCTGCCCATCGATTATGTAACAAATGCAAAGCTGATTGGAAATTCTAGGAAGCTTAGCGGGGAACCAGGTCGTCACTAGCCTACTCTATCTATCCATGGAGGGTTCAAAATTCTATAACATGTTCCTTGCGCCAAATGTGTATAGAAAGGTGATGTTACATAGTTATGTATTTCTTATGAACCTTGGAACGATGCACAATACGTGTACTCATTGTGATATGGTCACGTGAAAGATGGAGTGGTGACGTGACTCAGACGCCCCAGCACACCCGGCCTAACCCGGATTTAGCCAGAACCCTAGGGCTTTGAGTCATCCGAGGTATGCGTCCACTGGACCTCGAAGGTCTTATAGAACGTGTGTCGGAAATGCTGGGAAAACAAAGTGAAAAGGAAAAATTTTTATAGGAAATTTCCATTCAAATGTTCACCTCGACAGAAGGGAAAGAGAAAAGTTGGGAAGAGAAAAGAAAGGAAAGAAAAAAAATTCAGGGGTACAGAACCAATCAAGGGGTAAGAAGGGTAGAGAATCGGGACTAGTGTGGCTGGTGGAACTGGGTGAGAGGAGAGTGCAAGGCGGCCGTTTGTACTTAAGGATTCTGGCATCCCCTCCCGACCATTTTTCTGCTTCCGTCCTGGTTTCTCCTATTTTTATTCTCCTGACCGCCCTACCCAATAACAAACGCGTCTTCGCGTTCCTTTTAACCGCCTTCACCCCGAATCCCCTTTTTTTATCCTTTTATTTTTATTTTTTATTTTATTTTCATAATTTCCTTTTATCCCTGATCTGCCTCAGGCAATAATTGGGAAATTCTTAGCTCCATATCTTGGTTTACCAAGCCATCTAGACCTGGCTTCAATTCTATACATCACGTGAACGATTTCATACCGCCTTCTTGGCAGTATAAATACCTCGCCTCCGATCGCATTCTCCACTCTTTCTATCTCTCGATCATCTCTGACCTCACTCTTCCCCCCGCCCGTCGCGTTTTATTCGCGCCAGCACGTTTGATATCAAACCGCGTCAACTATTGAGTCCATTCTACGTGTCCTTGGTTGCCGCTAGTGTTTGTGCACTCGAGCTTGTTTTCACGCGGCAAGATTGTTTCGCAGAGAGATCCCACGGGTGTTTTCAGTTGATCACTAGCTTTCAAAACACCTTTCCATAACTCTCACATCTTCAACGCTCCCATCCTTCCCTAACTTGTATTTTTGTTTATCCAACGCGACCCCAATGGCGACTCCGCCTCCAGAGGTTCCTCCTGTCACTAAGGAGGACAAGCCTCGATTGCCCCCATCGCCCACTGGCCCTTCTGCGCTTGAATACCCACCCACCAGGTAAGTGCATCTGCTTCAATATCGGCCCTGTTCTTGATCTGACCGGTGTGCAGCGCGCAAAATGTCACAGTGAACATCAAAACCGACGGTCCCATGGATACCGACGTTAAGTCACCTGCGCTGAATGGCCACACTCACGTCGCGCCTTCGAACACCAACGGCACAATCGTTGCCACCTCACCGCCGAAGTCCCCCGATCATCAGACCTCCCCAGAAATTGTGCAAAACAAGACACCATCGGCCGCAGAATCTGCTCCTCCAGCGGAGATACAGCCAACCGAAGAAAAGATCAGCCCTCCACAGGGCCAGGAATCTACCACTACTGCTCCAGCCAACAACGTGGCTGAAAGTGTCCCTTCGTTCGCCTCTGAAGCTGCTGTACACGCTCCCACAGTTTCTGCATCCACAGATGGTGCTAATGATCAAACTGAGCCAATGGCGATCGACACCCCTCGAGATGGTTCGGCTGCCGTGAAAACCGACCTGCCTCATCATCCTACCCCGGCCCCTGCACCACCTGCGCTCACTGCGCCGCAGGCCGTTGACCATGAGATGGAGGACAGACCGGAGGCCCCGCTATCTCCTTCCAAGGTTTCCCGACAGCGGGATGCTGATCTCAGCGAAGAACCAGCTCCTAAGCGGACCAAGGTCGAGGGCGACGACTCGATTGTTAACTTCCAGGCACCGGGATTCAGCTCCCCAGCTGCTGCAACGCCCGGACCAGGCCGCACTGGTGGCGGACCAGGGCTCACTAAAATGCAACATAAATTCATTTCAAAGAGCCTTACAAGCCTTAAGCGCATGCACGATGCGCGTTTCTACAAGGAACCTGTCGATGCTGTCAAGTTGAACATTCCGCAATACCACACTATTATCACCCAACCCATGGACCTAGGAACTATGGAAAGGAAGCTCAAGAACAATCAATATTCTTCCCCCCAGGAAGTCGCAGATGACTTCGCGCTGATGGTCAATAATACGACCATTTTTAATGGCGCAGACCACCTGGTCACCCAAGAAGGGATCAAGCTGAAGGCGACCTTCGATAAGCAGATGACTAACCTTCCTAAGCCCGAAGAGGTTGAGGAGAAGAAACCAAAGAAGCAAACTGAGAAGACGTCTGCTGCTCGCCGGGAGCCTCGGACTTCTCTGCCAAGCCAGCCCAAGGCTTCTTCTCCCCAGTCTCAGACATTTGCGCTAGGACCCGAAGGTCTGCCGGTCATCCGCCGCGATTCTTCCAACCCTGATGGTCGCCCCAAACGGTCCATTCATCCCCCGAAGCGTGACCTTCCGTATTCCACCAAGCCAAAGAAGAAGAAGTTCCAATGGGAATTGCGCTTCTGCCAGGAAGTCTTGGATGAGTTGCACAAGCAAAAGCACTACAACTGGGTGATGCCTTTCTATTATCCCGTGGATCCCGTTGCTTTGAACATTCCCACATACCACAGCGTCATCAAGAAGCCGATGGATCTGTCGACCGCTCAATCCAAACTCAAGACCGGTCAGTACGAAAATGCGAAGGAGTTCGAAAACGATGTCCGTCTCATCTTCAAGAATTGCTACCGCTTCAATATCCCTGGTGACCCCACTTACGTCTGTGGCGAGCGGGCTGAAGAGATCTTCAACGCAAAGTGGGCCCAGAAGTCGGACTATCTTGAAGCGCATGAACCACATCCCGAGCAGAACACTGATTCTTCCGACGAAGATAGTGACGAGGATGCGGAAGAGAGCGAAGAAGACGACGAGAAACTCACGCTGCTCCAGAAGCAAATCGCTGAGATGTCTCGTCAGGTCGAGGCTATTACTAATAAGAAAAAGAAGACGCCTCCTTCCTCCAAGAAGGTTGGCAAGGCGAAGCTTGCCAAGAAGGATTCCAAGAAACTCAGTTCTGGAAAGAGAGACAAGAAGAGCAAGATTTCTCAGCCTGGCAAAACCCGCGCCATCACCTACAACGAGAAGCAGATCATCTCGAATGGTATCAGTAGTCTACCTGATAAGAGGATGCAACAAGCCCTCCAGATTATCCAGAACAATGTTCCTCAACTCAAGGTAAGATCTTTCTGCGTCCATTACGCCCAAATCAAATCTAATATACATTCTGCAGAGTACCGATGAGGCCGAGATTGAGTTAGACATCGACGAGCTTCCTAACGATGTCTTGCTGAAGCTGCTCAACTTCGTTAAGAAGCACGTCCCGAATCTCATGGATGATGAAGACGAAGACGATGTCCCTGCCAGCAATGTAGCACCTCCGAAACCCAAGAAGAACAAGCCAATGAGCAAGTTCGAGCAGGAAGCTCAGATCAACATGCTCCAGAGCAACCTTTCTCGTTTCCAGGGTGGCGCTCACTCTCCCGATCCAGTGGCCTCGGTTGAACACAATGAAAGCAGCGATGATGACTCTGATTCGTCTGAGGAGGAGAGCGAGGAGGAGTAAAATACTCTTCCGATTCAATCCCGCCAATTTTTTTTCTCATGCGGGATGGCCCTTCATCCCGACTTGCGTTCCAAGCGTCGTTTTTCCTTAGTGTGCTTCAGAACAATTTCTCCCCACATCTTTCTCTTTTCAGTCGCACAGCTGGATCCTGACGGGCTGGTTGCAATGCGCTATGCAATTCTCGCCAGCAACGTCTGTACATACTTTTGATTTTGAATACCCCTGCACCCGGCAAGGTTTCTACTGCCACCCATGAACCTTATGCTCAAGATTGGCCGAACAGGATTTTATTCACTTGACCCCTTGAATTTCCCTTCCCCTACGCCTGAGTGTGCACCTTTTTTCCCGTTTCATTTCTCAGCCAGGATAGGTGGATGAGGTTGCTCTATTTCCCCCGACGACGTTGCGGTTGGAAGAGATGAACCGAAGCTTTGGCTTCAACTTGTATGATTACGAAAGAAACGCGGAAATGCAAAATGAAAATGTACTTGTAATAGTAAAATATCTGATTTCCATTAGGTACGTAGTTCGAAATGCACAAAATATTGTATTGCGAACTTCTCCCTTATTATGTCTGTCGTTGGTCGTGACGCATCGGGTCTTCTTCGGCGGTGAACTTCCCCAGTTTCTTTGCAACATCAACATGATTCCTCCCTGCGACCCCTCAATCCTTGAGCACAATCATCAATTCAAACGACTATATGAGAATTTGACAAGCTGCCTCCTCAATCCAGATGCCTCAACGCGTGCTCAAAGCGCGAGCCCAGCCCGCATAGCTGTGGTGGAAGTAAGTCATCGAAGCGCCATTGCGCAGCACATACCCAACCAAACAGGAACAGAGCTCTGACAACACTTTATCACTAGGAGCTGAAGCAATGCCAGACAAAAGTTGCCAAAAAACGAATCAAGGAGCAAATGCTCCGGCAATTGGCCTTTACCCCAGACAGCAGCCTACCCGCGGAGGTCAGTACGACCCGCGCCACAGCCCAGCAAGCCACCAAGAGGAGAACCACATCCCTAACGACCCTACCACATCCAGTGCCACGATAACCTCGCTATAATAACCCTCTACCTAGAGGCCCCATCCAGCGCAATCGAACCCGTTACCCCAAAGCCAGAAGCGGAATCTAAGAAACCAGACGAAGCACTCAGTCTCCTGGGACCAGACATCGAAGCCTTCTACACCAACATCCCAGCCTTCATCCTACCCTTCTCTAAAGCCCTCTCATCCGCCATTCAAGACCTACGCGCTCTATCAACCGCGAACACAGACCCAGCCACCACGCCCGACGCAGACGCACCAGCCACACAGCACTCGAACCACAATGCACGCGCCCGAGCGCGCGATCGCCGAGTCCGGACCTCGATGGCGCCAGCCCCACTACTCTCGTCACAGCTACAGGCGCGGATACGCGTGCTGCGCCACACGCAGCTGTCCGAGCTGCCAGATGCTCGGCGGAAGATGGCTGCCACGGCGGCGGAGGTTGTTGCCGTGCGTGCGCGAGTCCTGGAGCGCACTGTTATGATTCTGGAGCGGGCAAAGCATGGGGCTCTGGCGCGCGCGACGAGGGCCAAGGCGGAACATTTGGCTGTTGTTGCACAGGGCGTGGAGGGGAAACTAGAGTATGTTTTGTCTTCCCGGTTTTCAAGTCTTGTGGTTATCTTTCTGGGTGGAATTGGTCTTCTAACGGGTTGGACAGGGTTACAAAATTGGAGATCGCGGCTACGCTCTATACGCCGGAAACACTTGCCGCTCTTGCTCGGTATAGGCAGCATTTGAGGCAGACGAAGGAGCGCTTGCAGCACCGCCAGAAGATGACGGTTCAAGAGCTGAGAGCTTATGGCGATGTGGATGTGTCTGATGCGGTTGCTGATATCGATGCGGATGAAAGGACTTACGTGGATATTGCTCGTCGGTATGGGATATTGGCGAGAGAGGTTGAAGAAGTAAAGATGGAAATTGCACGATCAGAGAAATGAGCTACAACTACATACCTTAGGTAGTACACATAGTAGAATTAATATGCCTTCAAGATATGGAATGTTAGACCTGTAGATCAGTAGACCCCCGGTAGCCCTAATGCCCCGCTGCCGGCCATGTGGGAGAGAGCCTAGGATGCCCCAACCTCACTTCTTCCTCACAAGGCCCCGAGGCCAAATACACAGGTCTGCCTTCCACAGCAGTCATAGAGAACATCAAATGGCCGACCTCAACAACCCCGAGCCCGATCCATTATCAACCTCCATGTTTTCACCAGCTACTATCATCTATGTTTGGTATTACGCACCTCGATTCTCTTCTTCGCAACTGCTGGACTCGTGGTGGACTTTGCTGTTGCGCAGGCTGGAATCGACGGGAGCAAGGTTAGGGAGTTGATTATCGATGAGCGGATTCGTAGCTCAGACGTATCAGTTGGGTCTTCGTCAACCATTCTATCCAGTTAAGTTCGTCATAATGAGTGTCCATAGTCCATCAATCGGCCAAGTCTTAAATCCGGGGATGTCCCTGGCTTAACCCCGCGCATCACATGACCGTGCCAAACTTTTTCTGCCCAAAAGAGTCAACGCTACAAGATCTACTCATTCGCCACATCTCTCCTTGAACATTCCGAGAATTATTCAAAATGGCCGACGACGGACTGAACATCTACGACGAGATCGAGATCGAGGACATGACCTTCGACCCGAATATCCAGATCTACACATATCCCTGCCCATGTGGCGACCGCTTCGAGATCGCAATCGACGATTTGCGCGACGGCGAAGAGATCGCCGTGTGTCCGAGTTGCAGTCTGATGATCCGGGTTATCTTCGACTTGGTATGTTTCCCTATCATATAACCCAGACGCACGTTGCTTTATTTGTTCAGTGGGCTAACTATACACCCTGCGGGGTATCTCCAGGCCGATCTTCCGAAAGCCGATACGCAGAGTACGAGCGAGGTGGCTGTTCAGGCTTGAGCGTGAGATAAAGGATATTATGGAAAATATCCTTGAAAGGATTCGAGTCAATCTTAGCCCAAAGAGAAGGACCGTGCTGTTGATTTTTGGAAGTCAACTCGCGACTCGCAGCCACTCTCACTATTTTGGCGGAAGTGGCTCGAGGGATTGGAAAATTTGCCATTCCACTGCCCAGCTGCGACTGCTCGGCAGTCCGTCGAGTCTGAGCGGCTTTGATTCACCGGACCTCACTTCAAGCACCGAATCGCGCGAGCGTGCTCCGTGTTCTGCTGCGGGTGTCGTCTATATGCATTTTGCCAAGTGACTCGGTGTCTCCGGGGGGCTGTTGGTCTCGGTGACTCGCACTGGGGTACCCGACGTACCTTGCTCACTCAACATATTTAATGTTGGCCCGGGCTCCGTCGACTCTGTCTCTGGTATGAGTTTCGTGTCGGACAGTATCACTTGGCCAGGCAAAACAGCATTCAAATTATTGGCTTGAGACTGTAATTTGGCTATGCACATGTGGTGTTCATTCAAAAAGAAAGAGCAAAACTGTGGTGCATCTGTCCAATTCGGGGCGATGAGATGACCTTTTTGCTCGGCGCTGCGATTACGTTACACACAATCGCTCTATATCCAGTGCATTTGCTTCAAATGTTTCCCATGAGTGTGTTCCCAAATCATCCGTTCACCTTCTTTTATCTAGTAAATTTATGAGAAAGGAACAGCGCGCGAAAGATTTCAATGCAACCGCATCATAAAAATAGACACTAGACTACAGTATGCAACAACATCCCAAATAAAAACTGGAACGAGAAAGGATCCTCTTCTTTCTAGGTAATCGATAGCCCAGTAAGACGGCTCACTCACTCAACGACCTCACTGTAGATATCCTTGGGCAAACGCAAGGTCAACTCGGAGTTCAGCAACTCAGTCAGATTAGACCCATCACGCAGGTAGATCCACTGCCCATTAACGAAAGGCCGCGAGTCCTGCTTCTCATGCATATAATCGCCCTCGATAATCCAGTCGTACCGCTTCGGCCCCGAGATGGGCGAACTGAGCCAGATCTGCTTGTTGGGTGGTTGCTTGTTGAGCACATAGGTGCCGAGCGCGGGAACGGAGATGTTCAGAACACCGGCCTGGGGAAAAAGAGTGGGTTAGTAACCTTTCATATTTTATGTGCTATGCCAACAGAATATCTTTATATAGGCTAAGATATGAAGGAAGATGAAGACTCGGAAAAAGACAACATATAGAAAAGAAGCAGGAAGAACATACACTGTACTCAGCCTCAATATCCGACCCCTCCTCCTGTGCCTTCTCCAGCTCGCTTTGCAGCACGTTGAAATAATGCTCCGAGTACTCGTAGTACTCCTCCGGCGTCAACGGCGAGGGCTCAGTGATATGAGTAGCAGCTCCGGCGACGGAACCCGACTGCGGGTTTGGAGCTGGGGGGTTTGCTGATTCTGGGTGAATACCTTTGCGGATTGCCGGGGACGACTGGAAGGAGCGGGTGAATTGTGAGGCGGAGCTGGGCCGGATGGCGCAGGCCCAGGGGAGCAGAGTTGAAGTGGTGGGTGTTGTTGTGCGGATGGATGGGCGCACGGAGGCGAGCAGAGCTCGAGGAGCTGAGCGAGAGAGCATCATTGTATGACGGTGCTTGGATTGGGATTTGTGGAAGAGAATGGTAATTGAAGGTTGGGGGAGCTGTTCTGACGATGCGGAGAGATGGGATAATTTACATCATCATTGTTCACCGCCTGCTTCATTAGGAGTGATTATGGGCAGTATCTGCGATTGGATGGAGGTATTTCATTTAAAAAAGTGGACTACAGAGCTTGTTGAATATCGAATTGGTTTATAGGCATTTAATGGTCGGCCAAGCTGAGGACACACTTGTGCACAACAATAAGTCCGTCACCAGCAACCCATAGGACTACAAACTAGGAATTGTAGAATATGTTCAAAATTATTGCCCCCACGGCGAAGCGAGTAAAGCTCTGTTCGGAAGAAATGTGATATTTGCAATTTACTTTACCGCATTTTACTCCAGGACAAGCTTGACAACTTCGCCTCCGAATGTATCACCCCAGGGGTTTCTACCCTTGGGCTTTTCATATTAGCATTTCTTCATCATTTGGTAATGCGGTTATTAATGAAGCCGTGGTATAGACCTCCGTATGCCGTGAATGCTTACATGGCACCTACTTTTTTCGAGTACTGTTTAGCGGGTGCTAAACGAGACGAAGATAACAGACGCGAGCTAGTAAAGCAATGATAGACCTAGCACATGCGGCCGACGACACCGTTGCTTGCAATAACTGAAATGCACGCAGAGATAATGGAATGTGCCCAGACAGCCGTCGAGGTTGTGCAGGCCCGGCTGCTGTAAAGGTCAGAATGGCCACAACCAAGAGCCTGATGCCCGCAGGAAGGAAATCTGCGTATAGTGAAACTGCGGATGCAGAAGAGGCCCTCGGGTACGAACAATTGTCCGAAATCAGCATAGATGTCAACAGTGATACTGCATCAACGCCGATAGCGACATGCCCGGTGCCGTTCGTGATGAGAGCAAGGACACTTGCATCCTGCTGTCGCCTCCGTATCCGAGAAACCGAAGGCATAGGTGACGGTGAATATCCATAGGAACATGAGATAGACTTGTTATATCAACCGCATGCATGATTTGTCTCGTACTTCCTCTGAACCAATCAATGGCATCCATCTGAACACATCTCCGTATCAGCGACTGTAGCTAAACATATCGGACTCGTCCGGTGTCTCCGGTATATGACCAGTGTCGTGAGTGCGCCTGACGGCCATGATCCAAAAATGGTCTTTGATGGTTAGGCTGCTTGGTTGTTGAGTTCGGAGACTGGTCGAAACAGGTAGGAATTCTGGGACGACAGTTTGAGCAAGGGAGCGAAGACCCGCCAGAACGAGATTCGTAAGTAATGAGCGACTAACCTCCGAATCTTTCCTATTCATTACTCAGATTTTGGGATGTGTACGGAGGAAAGGGCCAGTAAGCCACCTGGGCAGGGCTGCGCAGTAGGATGACGTGGGCAGAGCGCCGGAACTTTGGAAAGTGGGAACCGGGGCCAGAAGCGAGTCTATTGAGACAAGCCACATTACTTGCCAACGCGGCCAGAACAACCTGAGATATTTTCTTTTTGTTCTTTTTTCTCGGAGAAAATTATCATGATAAAATAATAATCCGGGAGTCAATAGTCCTAGAAAGTATGTTGAATAGCCTTGAAAACAAATTTAGAGTCTTGGTCCGCGTTGACAGGATCACAAAGAGATCGGTGCTCTTTAGTCTGTTTCAGATGAGAAAGACCGAACTCTTGGTCATTGTAATATGATATAGACATGCATATCCCTCGGAACTATGCCCGGGATCTTGGCTGCAGAGGCGGGAGGTGATTGAAGTCTGATCTCATGGCGACCCTGCGATTCTCGCCAGTGCAGTGGCAGGCAACTATTAGCTCGGGGCACTACAATGAATTAAAAATTAACGAAAACCGTAGAGTGAGTATCACAGGGCTGGATGATATGATTGGAAAATTCTGAATCTGCTTGGCATTTAAACCTTTGTGCATCCGCATCCTGCAGGGTATACTTGTGTACCGACTATGCTCTAACAGCCTATAGGACAACTGGGAATAAGAGCATTGATCCCCAGTCATCATTTCAAGGGAGACAACCACAACTAGCAAATTACCACGAGTAAGACGTGATACAAAGCAACCGGAACCAAAACCGACAAAAAGGAAAATTGTGATATGCCTTTGTTGAAGAACAACGGAAGAACATCGAATGGGGCGCCAATCCAAATGAAATGTACCGGAAGAAACACCGGCGTGTAGTCCGGCAAGGCTTGTTCTGACCGTTTTTCGGCAACAGATCGGCAGGGGGCCTGAAGAGGGGTTGGTTTCAGATACGCGCCCCCTCTTTCTTCTAGCCTTAGAACAACGCCCCCAGTCGATCCAGAAGTAAGGAACGCACCGGGATATCGGTGAAAGGGAGAGACGGTCTAGATCTCATGCTGGGCGTGAAACATGGTTGTCGATCGGGGTTGGTGTTACTATGAGTGGTCGATTCGACCCATACCACTGTTGATGTGGTGGCGCCTTCACAGTCGGTGTGTCATATTAGTCAGTTTCACTTGACGCCTCCAGGGCTGCCCAGGTGTAATTGTGTATAGATGAGTGATATTATCTTTTTACTTTTGAATCTTAAGTATTGAATCTCAGTCTTACAATCTCACACTCAGCCCTTGGAACCAATTTAAATTAAATGTAGTGCAAGGTTTGTTTTCATCGTGTTCCTAGGGTTCTGTTCAACAACACAATGACATGATAGGTCATCCAAAGACCCGAATGACGATGTATCCAAGGTGCGCCTATCAGAGCGGCTCCCCTGACCGGAGCCGGGGAACCGCGCGTTGGACTGCATGGTGAATCGCTGGATGACGCAATGCCATCCGTGGTACGCTATTGCCCCCACTGCACCTCAATTTATGTCAATTTCTGTCATTGGGCTTTGAACTCTTCCAAGGTTGTTTCTCATTGCATACCTTGGTATTCTGCCAGGGGCAAGCCAATTATTGTTAAGACAAAGTTACAGGCACCAGGAACAGAGTTTCAAGGCGTGTATTCCCCATTGCGGTTCAATATCGGATTCGATGTAACAAACCCCATTATGGTCCAGGCTATTGTGGAGTGGTCTGCAGATCTTGGCTGTGGAGTTAGACCAGATGCTAACCTACTTGATCCCGAAGGATTGAAAGAATTAGTGTGTCAATTAGCGCCTTGGAGGGTGATTTTTCTTTGCATATGTAAGAAATGTAAGAAAAGACCCTCGGTTCAAGCCAATCACCATGGTTCGGATTCCTGTCAACGGCCCATAGAGTCCATTTAGATCCATCCCCTGGTCTTCCCCGGCGCCAATGATATTTTGCATACAACGGTTGATCTAGCCAAAGGCATGGTTATGAAGTCGAACCCGCCTCCTCGCTCCCCGAACATCCAATAACCACTTCCTATCTGCACTCCACCAGTGAAGAAATGGAATATCTTCCAGCCAGCGGGTTAGGCTGGTAGGTTTGACACACTGATGCCTGGGTGATTTAAAACCTCCGCCTCCCTTGATCTTTCTTCTTCTTCTCTCTCTCCAACCACCTACCTTCCCTTCATTTATTTTCCGGTCTTCTAGTCCTGTGCCGAGCACGGTCTGAGCCTCACTTTCCTTCAATTTTAAATTCCTTTTTGCAAGGTCGAGAACAGGTTTCTCTCTTTTTTCCCTCCTTTATTCTATTCTTACAAGTCCACTCCTTCAAAATGGTCTCTTTCACCAAGCTTTTCACTGCCGGCCTAGTCGCCACTTCTGCTATGGCCGCCCCCATGGAGGCTAAGCGCGCATCCGGCAGCAAGCGCGGTGCCGCCTACAACGACGTCAACACCGTGTCTGCTCTGACCAGTGGTGGCTCCATCTCATGGGCCTACAACTGGGCCGGCTCCCTCTCTGGTCTGCTTCCCTCGAACATCGAGTTCGTCCCAATGCTTTGGGGGCCCAAAATGTTCGGTGGCTGGGTGACTGCCATCGAGAGCGCTTTGGCCAGCGGAAGCACCTACATTCTGGGATTCAACGAGCCCGACATGGCTTCGCAGTCTAGCATGAGCCCCTCGGATGCCGCCAACTACTACATGACCTACATCACCCCGTGGTCCGGCAAGGCGAAGCTGATCTCGCCCGCTGTCACCTCCTCCACTCAGACCGGATCCGGCCTTAGCTGGTTCGAGTCTTTCATCGGTAGCTGCAGCGGCTGTGGTATCACCGGTCTGGCCGTTCACTGGTACGGCGACACTGCCGACGATTTCAAGTCCTTCGTCACCAAGGCTGTCGACACTGCTTCCAAGCACAGCCTGTCCGAGGTCTGGATCACCGAGTTTGCTCTCAACGCTGATATCAGCGGCGCCATGAACACCGCTAATACTGCTGCTTTCCTTAACGAGGTTCTCCCTTGGTTGGATTCGCAGCCTGGTGTCACTCGCTACTCTTACTTCATGTGTGCCAATAACTACTTGCTTTCCGGCAACACTCTCAACCAGGCTGGTCAAGCTTACGTCTCTGCGTAAGCCTGTGCTTGTTTGATATGTTGAAAACGAATTAAAACAATGAATCATGAAAATAAGAGGGGTATGCACATTTCGTTTTTCTTCTATGGGTTCTGCTGGCGATGTCTCGCCTTGGAAGGTCATGTCTATGAATTTTCTGTTCATATCTTAAAGGAGTCTTAACGCAAATATCCACCACGCTATCTGAATTTTTTATTTGAAACCATTCTCTCTGTAATCGTAACTTATCTGTAGGAATTCTAGAATGCTGATTAGTTTGGACATGATCAAATCTCGCCATCTACCTTAGAATGAGGTGGCGGGTTGGCAATGGCCACAATGGCATGGCAAACCAGGCCCGCCACAACAATACATCACAGCCAAATTCCAACAGAGGCAAAGGTCTCATTGTTTGTCTAATAATAATGTAAACTTGAAACCTCGCTTCGATACAGTATCTTAATTTAGTCTTTACGATCACATTCTCTTCTTTGTCCCTTTTGTGTGTCTTTCAAGTATTAACAATACATATTGAAATATCGAGATTCAAGGCCATAATGTAATAATGGACCATATTCAGTCACAAAGAGCCTTTGGAGTATTAAAATGGACAAATTACCCTCATGACCCTCGACCTTCTAACAATTCAAGCTTCTATTTTCTAACGATTCAAGCATCCATGGATCCGAACACAGCTAAGATGTCTGTATTCCAGCCGCAGCCGCTCAAAAATTGGCCGCACAACTTCGATTTTAGATATGTATACAAGCGTCTTGGCATATCAGACAGCACCGACGACCAACAGGTTCTCCACGATTTAGCACAAACTGTCTGTGATATCGTAGCGATTGAGGCTACGAACGACGGCAGAGCCCTCATCAACCTCTTCAGATCGAGTGCTTCACGCAATAGAATCCTATACGAGTGGCGCAAGCGACTACCGAGGTTACCAGCCGCTGTTAGAAATCACGTCACGGACGTTACGCTTCTCACCGGGGCGTTGTATAAATACCTCAATTATATTCAAGACGAGTTGCAAGAGGACTTTGAGACACGGCAAAATGCACCAGCGGAAGAACATACAGAGGGATAAAAAGACGGCACAGCAGCAATCGGAAAAGTCAGCACAAAAGCGACCAGAACAACAGAAGAAATTCGATTATTGTCGGCCCTACATAGTACCCAATAGCGACGTCCAGATCATCCAAGCAGATCACCCGGATATGCCAATTGCAATTAGGGTAAGTGACTTCTTAACTGATAGAGGAAACCCGCAGGATATATGCCCGGATGGGGACTGGGTCAACATCGCCAACATTAAATTCGAGATTCAGAGAAAACCTCGCTCAGGAAGGCTATGTGGTAGACGGGGACACAATCTGGTTGCACCATCTCTCTCTGGACCAAGTTGACCCTAGGTATATTGCTAACTCACAGGCTGGCGAGGTACGACTGACTTCCTTCAACCTTGCATCTACACTTTTGCGAACTATCCGTGAGCATTGGCCTAAGATTCGAAATGCCTCCCCTGAAACCTTTAAAGGTAACAGGCGCTCACCATTACCCAGACCTAATATGACTCATCATTATCCGAAGCGGTAATGTAAAAGGTAAGACCTCCTTTCTGATTCTGTTCGATTGTTGAAAGACCGCACGCTAACATTCTTCTTGCATAAAGGTGGCACCTTAGCTGCTAAACAGCCATTGAATCGGCCCACTGTAAAGATGGGCGGCAGCACGCTCGTTCCTAACCGGCGCTCTGAACAGGTAACCCGATATGCGGCCAGAAGACATGCTAATACGAAACGAAAGAGGGCAGAGGCGGAAGCGGAAGCAAGAGCAGAAGCAGGGGCAGAGACTGGGGAAGAAACTGGAGCAGAGACTGAGGCTGAGACAGACGCCTCACCGGCTCAAAGAAGAAGGGTAGCTGTAGCACAGGAAAATCCCACTACATCCTCTGCTAGCCCTATCTCTGACCCTATCCTTGCCTCTGCTTCTGCTCTTGAACTTTCTCCCACCGGGCAAGAAGCTCAGGAGGGAGCTGATGGTGACGCTGCTTTGCTCGGGCTGCTAGATCCTGCATCCTTTAACGAAGCGGGACTTGTCGGCGATGATAGCGGCACCTTACAAGAATTTTTCGAGCAGAACGAATGGGCGAGAACCGATGGAGGAGGGTTGACAAGAGAAATGGGAAAAGAGGTAAGTAAAGTAAGCCAGGTGAACATCGACTGACACCGATTACTATTGTGTTTCTTTAATGCTATTCTATGATATTACTGTATTTTTATATCCGATACTACTGTTCTCCAATGCTTGACAGAAACACAACTTAGAAAGGTACTTACTCCTACCTCCGTGTAAATCTAATCACCCAGAAAACCCTGGATCCCGACGTTACTCTAAAATATCCCAAAGTCTCGCACTTGAGCATATGTCCTTGTGGACAGTATCCGTCTCGAGTCGCATTCTTCTCTCGTAGATTCTGACTGCCTCTAGACTTAGCCCGCTTCGAAGGTGTCTGGAGTCGTATCCTGTGATCTTCTTCCAAATGTAGTAGATCGTGCAGCTGAAAAAAAGAAAAATGAAAGAGAATGAGATCGCTGGAGGTATATTGAAGTGAATGAGACTCACGCAAATCGAACTTTTATATAAACAGAACGACAGACCTAAGTCCCTCAGGAGACCCTAGTCATCGGGAAGCACCCGCTAGGCTTATACAGGATAAGCACCGGGACTTTTCACGGCCGTTAGCGAAAATTTCGAGGTGCCAAACCCCAACTCCCTCAGATTGTACGTAATTCCCCCTCATAAATTCAGCCTGTGAAGAACATCTCTTGCTTTTCAGGTCATTTGAGTGGTAAGGATTTCTAGTTAAGGTGAGACTGGCGCAAATATTATAGCTGTTGTTCAGTTTTCTTCCTGTCTCCATTTTCTGTGTTTCTGGAGCTCTTTTCGAAATGGGCAATCGGATGTCTTCGGTTGCAGCAGTGTATGAGTAAGTTATTGATCTGTGACGTGTACGAGGATGGTGTCTCGGCGATAATTAATACCAAATCGGATATTGTATACACAACCTTGGAAGGATCGAAGATCACATTGTACAGATCAACGAAGCCCTGTAGGGCGAACCCGTGTGATTACGTGATCTGCTTTAAGTTCCAACCTTGGAAGGTTCCAAGGTTCTGAAACCAAGCTAGCCTAGATAGGCATAGCGGGTTGTTTCTCAGTTGACTATACAGAGAAGCCGGTCGTATGTACATGTGCATAAATAAAACAATAACCTTATGCTATTGAGCGCGGAATAAGACAGGCATGTATAACATCTACACAGAGTGGCACTGTCAGTCTTGTCATACCTCACTTCTAATCCCGTAGCAACTCTTCATATGTCGGAAGTTTCCAGTCCTTGACAGGATCCGCAGAGAAGCTGCTGAGAAGATCCAATCTCAAAAAAGCAGCGATTCCCATGAGGCAGTTCATGAGAGCAACACCGAATGCCGTGGCCGAAATCCTATCCCAAAGCCCCCCATCAACAGAAACACTTCCCTGCACCTGAGTGATAAAAGGACGAAACTTTTCTTCATACGCCTGGAGCGCAGCCAAAAGATCGTCTGTGTTATCATTACCTTCCACAAATTCCTTCTCAGAGGGCTTACCACAGTGCCGCCCAATCTCCCCAGCCAAGACATATGCCCCAACAATCCCAGAAGTGGTACCCATTCCTGTCATTGCTGACGGACAATAAGCAGCGTCCCCGACGAGCGTGACACGACCGTGAGACCAACAAGCCAACTTGACAAGGCCTATACGCTCACAGTAGAAGTCGTCAGCGTCTTTGAGCGATTCCAAGATCTCGTCCGTTTTCCACCCCGCCCCTTGAAGCATCTCCTTCAATGCCTCCTTTTGCTCGGAAACATCACCCTGCAAACGGTTCTTGAGATGCTCCGAATCCGCCCGGCAGCCGATATATGCTTGGATTTCGTGCGCATTGTGTCTTCGAGTCATGATACCACGTCTTCCGGGTGCTGTGTACATTGCAGCGACATACCCTTCCCCGTCTTTGATTGGCCGCGGAATGGTGAAATATCCGACATATTGACCGTTGAGGGGATAGAACCCGTCGGGGGCTTCGCTTCCGAGCATCATCTTTCGAGTACGCGAGCCTTGGCCATCGGCGCCAATTACAAGGTCGAAACGGGCTTCTGTGGCATTTGTAAATCGCACGTTGATCGCTTTTCCCTTGTCGTTTTCTTCGAAGCTCTCAATTGATGTGCCGAATATATAGTTGGCCCGGCTTTTGGTCTCATCGTAGATGATTCGACACAGATCACCTCTCATGATCTCGAAGCCGGTACTAAAGCCCAGATTGACACCTCCAGAATCGTTTGCTGGGAAATAGGCTTGTCGTTTACCCGCTTTGTTGACCATTTCCATGCCCTGCTCTGGGATGGAATGTGCCTTAAAGGCCCGTTCGAGTCCCATGCGCTTCATAACTTCGACTCCGTGGCTGCGCAGATCAATTTGGAGCCCCGAGGCTCGAAGGAAAGGAGAACGCTCGATGACTGTGACGCTGTGGCCTAGCTTTGAGAGCCAGAAGGCGAGGGAATTGCCGGTGATGCCTGCGCCACTGATGAGGATCTTCATTGGTGCCATGGTGTTTCAATTTGTGGGTTGCCGACTTATCTAAAACGGAAAGGCAAGTCGGCGTTGAAAAGGAGGATTGATGTTGGCTCTCAGGAGCTTAAATAGTGAGCCTTGACAAAATATCAGTGTATAATATTTGAGACCGATTATCTCCGCTCCGTGTTAAGACCGCTGCTTCAGCCGATGGAAATCAGAAAAAATTGAGTATTAGCTCAAGGAAGTCAACTTGCTCGTGCAACACGGCATGGCTCTAGAATAATTGTGAGTAACTACACATGTAGGTAGGGTCTCTTTCCCAGTACTACCGCGTTATGATTATGGGGTAAAGAAAAGCCAACAAAACTCTATAATACAAGGTCCCTAGAAGAACAGTATACATAGGTCGAACATAAAATCTCTTGCGCGAAGGTATCAAGGAAACCCAGCGTCTGGCAAGAGGAAGTCCCAGTCTAAGTCTAAGTCGTATCCAGAACCAGGACCTTCGGGCCCGTCATCAAGACTAGACCCGGATGCAAATCCAGCAATGTTGGGGATTGTCAAGGATGAAGCGTTAGCCTGAGCTAGTAAAAGACCATGGCAGAATTCAAGACTGTCTTTCGCACTCTGTGCGATGGACAGTTCGCAATCAGCGCCCGTTTGCACCGCCTCGACCTTTGCTAGGATCATGCTGAGGAACAGATGACTCTTGATATTTGTTTCGCCATGACGGATCCGCTCAACAGAGAGAGTAGCCATGTCAAGGACAGACCGTTTGAGAAGCACGATATAATCGAAATTGCGATGCAACGTGTTCCATCGATGCGTTGGGCTTCAAGCTGCGCTAGGAGTTCGATAGCAATGACAGTCATCGCGCACCACGTGCCCTCTCTGAACACTCCCCCGCCATTGGCCATTAGTTTGGAGAAGCCTTCATCTGGTTCAGGTGATATGATAGCCATGGCTGTTTCTAGGCTGACCTTCAAGGAAAAGGTAAATAATGGGTTTGTGCGGGCCTTGCTTGTGAAGTGACAATGGAGAGGTATCATAAATCGACGCACGAGGTAGTCAAGTAGGTTCCGATGAAAGGGCGTGATACTGGAACTTGGATTCTCCTTCATGAAACTGTGGTATGCACGAGTCGCGTTGCTGAGTTCTGAACTTAAGGCAAGGACATCCAGGTAAGAGATTTGTGTATTCAAACTGGTCAAAAGACGGAGTATACGGAGACGGGCTGGCAATGAGTCAAGTAGTAAGATTTGGAACGAGGCAGCGGTGTAAGCGCCTTTGGGATGAGGCTGAAGTACCGTGGTAGTTTCGTCAATCTCATCGTCGTTGATGTTTGAAGGCGCCTCCGTGTCAGACTCGGGGATTCCGGCTGGCATGGCCGAATCCAAAGATGACTGCGCAGCCATTTCAATGATTGTGGTCCATAGCCTCCGACGGACTTCGGCCTGGAACACAGATATCCCCGAGAGATGCTTGGGATCTCGATGTAGGTTTATTTGCATAGCCTTGTGAACGAGAGATCCCATGGAGGTCCACACAAGATCAGCCCCGATTGAGAAGATTTGTCGAGCTAGAATTGTGAGGCAGTCGATTTGTAGCGCGGAAATACTCAGTCGGTCTTTTTCTAGTGGCCCAGAAAGCCATGCTTGAGCAGCATATACCCATTGATGAACCGCTATTTGGAATCCGATATCTGCATTTTCCTGTTTGTGTAGGCTTGACCCTATGCCAATCACGAGAAGAACTTTGAGGCGTAGCTCATTGGGGGCATTATGCAGATCGTTCCAATATCTCTGGTACTCAGCCCAAAAGGAAGGTATATGAAGTATCCGGTGTGTTGACTCGAAGGATTGCATATACAAGGTTACCATAATATCTGATATATCGCGAGATGGAGGTTTAAGGCCGAGTTGGGGATTTGATAGTGATCTGCTGGGCCGCCAGATCTTGATGCTTCTCGCTGTGTGCTTGCACTTTTGAAGAAGATCACCGGATTGAACAAGGAGATGTTTTATTTCAGCGCCTTTGAATGTTTCTCCATTACCCTTTCCAATAGCCTCGGCATAGAATGCAACAAATGGCTCAAACTTGAGATATAATTAGCGGAATGACTTAACGGGTATGTCAATTCATATCGTACCTCTTTAGCTGTGCCCATCCACAAACTCCATCGCATAACTCTACTTTTTGTGAAGATCCACGGAAGATCTTCTGGCTGGGACCGAGGGCCAAATATTCCCCGACCCGTCTCGGATAGGTCATGCAGATGTGTTTGTGCCGAAGACTGTTCCAGCCTCTGGACCCTTCGTAAAAGATCTGTAATAGCTGATTCTGCATTTGTTGCTCGCCCTGGCTGTTTATTATCAATTTGACCAGGGAAAAGCGAACCATAATGTGGTGTTTCTGCTGGCGTTGGTGTCTCAGTGGTGCGGGGCTCCAATGGCTGGCTATGATCTGTAGATGACGGGGGATCATCTCTGGAGGGATGAATAGGTGACGATGGTAAAGGTAAAGGATTACACAGGGCTGAGTGTCTTGAGGTGCCTTCTCGAGGCTGCAGGGGGGACTTGGGTTGATCACTGTAAAGCCTATAGGTACATTGTGTGTGGGCGGAGACACAACGCGTGCAAGGGTCATTTCGGTCACATCGGATTTTACGACGGCGACACTCAATGCAAGACCGAGCTGGCCTTCGGCGTCGACGGGGTTGAGACTCCATGGAGAACTTGTTTGGCAGTGTCTTGATAGAAAGAAAGAGTCCGTGAGAGCGGAGATTGCGGTAAGCGAAAATGCCGCGTTATGGCCGCTTACCTCCGTCGACGATTGATAGTCGAGAAACGGGCCTGGAAGAATTCACCAATGAATTGCACTTGAGTTATGCTGTCTTTCCTTATCAAAAAATTGCCCGGTCAATTATCTATGGGTTCTTTGGACCTTGTACATCGATCCTGCAGATCGGTCTGTCGTCTCCGACGGTGTTGCTTGTACTCCGTCGGACGGATAATGCACATGTGAAATGTTGAGTGCAACTAATTTCATTTAAAATAGAGGAAGATAATGGAATGATCTTTAGTTTACCAATTTATTCGGCTTTGATTGATCTTATCAAATGGCTCATCTATCCCTTCTGCTTTCGCCCTGGGCTATGGCCCTAGCCATCCCGGTGTGGTTCGCGCTCTACTACATATACCCCTATCTAGTATCATATGGGCACTTAAGTCGAGTCCCGGGTCCTTTTGTCGCCAAATTCAGCAACATATGGGTCGGATTAAGTGCCAAACGTGGCCAGAAATATGCGGCAGTCGACGCGGCGCACCGGAAACACGGCAAACTCGTCCGTATTGGTTTCAACCATGTGTCTATCGCCGATGAACGGGCATTGAATGTTGTGTATGGGCACGGAAACGGCTTCCTCAAGGAGTAAGTCATGTTTTCTACCTGGATTGGGATCTATGAATGTTAACGAAAGATGTCTAGTCACTATTATGAAGCATTTGTGGCGCGAACCCCGGGCATGTTCAATGTTCGCGACCGCGCCGAACACACGCGAAAACGGAAGATTATATCCCATGCCTTCTCTCCCAGGTCGGTCGCTGAATTTGAGCCGCTTATGGCGGAGAACCTAGAGCGATGGATAAACCAGCTGGACCGGATCGCGGCTTCTCAGCCGCAACGCAATGGGAGGGACTTTTCGCGCTACAATGCAATGCCCTGGTTCAGCTACCTTGCCTTTGACATAATCGGAGATCTCGCATTTGGCTCACCATTTGGAATGGTAAACAAGGGCAAAGACGAGACTGAGACGCAGCTTGTGACCGGAGGACCCATTTCATACACCCCAGCAGTCGACGTGTTGAATAGACGAGGCGAGGTCTCTTCGACCTTGGGCCTTCTCCCAGCTCTGCGTCCATGGGCTCGGTACCTTCCCGATCCATTTTTTAGTAAGGGCGTAGCGGCCGTGGAGAACCTGACGGGGATTGCTGTCGCCGCTGTCGCATCACGACTGGATGCTGCAGAGAAGGGAATGGTCGACTCGCGCAACGATATTCTTTCGCGCTTGTTACAAGCAAAGGATGCTAATGGAAGGCCAATGGAGCAGGATGAGCTCATAGCAGAGGCTCTGACACAGCTTATCGCTGGCTCTGACACAATATCTAACACGGCCTGCGGGATATTTTACTGGATCCTGCATGGAGAACGCAGTGCGCCAGGCACGATAATTCCTCGACTCCAAAAGGAGCTTGACCAAGCAATTGAGCCCAAGGCAAAAATCGCATCGTATTCTCAAATCAAAGGTCTCCCATTCCTACGAAGATGCATTGATGAAGCAATGCGACTGCATTCTACCTCGGCGATTGGGTTGCCACGTTTGGTCGCTGACCATAGCCCGGGCGTCAATTTTGATGGCTTCCACTTCCCACCTGGAACGGTACTTTCAGTACCCTCGTACACTATCCATCATATGAAGGATATTTGGGGAGACGACGTCGAGGAATTCAAGCCTGACCGCTGGTTGAACCTGACTACCCGACAGAAAACTGCTTTCAATCCATTCTCATATGGCCCCCGAGCATGTGTCGGGCAGAACGTCGCCATTATGGAGCTGCAGCTGATTATTGGAACTTTGTTTCATCGATATGAGTTCGCATTATATCAGCCAATTATGGAATCACACGAAGGATTCTCGAAAAAGCCCAAGGAGTGCCAGGCAGGTCTCAGATTGAGAGAATGCAGTTGATGTCCAGCATTTTTGATTGTATATATGAAACTGATAGGAGTGAATAGACTATATTCACAATGGGAGCATGTCAATATTTGTTAATTCAATTCAAATCACATTACCAAAGAACATATCTTCAAGCGATGGAAATTCCTGCTCGATACCCCATTCGTTACAAACCCAGGGCTCAGTAGAATTTTGAACTGACTGAGCCATATGGACCTCTGTGCTATTCTCTCCAATCGAAGTCACATAATCTTCTTGCTCAACCCTATCTGCAACATATTGCTTCATGATGTTCACAGACCACCGGCTCACAGGCTCAGCTTTGCCTCCACATTGAATATGCGAGACGGCCTGCTCCATGAGGACAACTATACTGCCCACGTCATCTAAATGGGCCACGAACTCGGCCAGTGTCACCATTGCAAACGAACAAAGCACGTTTTCGTAAGCAGGATGGACATAAGTGGTCAAATCCGACATGGAGACAAATAGATTCAAGAGTCGATGCGACTGGCTGATCGCAAACCGAATTAGTGGAAGTGTTTGTTCCTCTGGTGTATTTCTGGAGTTGCTGATGTCCTCGGGTTGAGTTTCGTTCATACGTTGGAGTGTGCGACGTGCCAGAATCAGGTAGGCGCAGGAGTATGCAAACCGTAATGGTTCAGAAGAATCAAGCTCTACAATGAATGAGATTAGTGTTTATCTAAGTGCTGCGATTAGAAATGGCTCACTATAAATATTCTCCTGCGACTTTCGCAAGTTGTCGATTTCGGGCCAAACAGTACTTCCCTTTTGTATCACGTTTGAGCTTATAATTTCCCAAAGCAGTCGATATAACCTGACCCCAGCCAATACAAGTTCATCGCGCGCATTGTACGATGGGAAATCGAGGACTTTGATGCATTCATCGAAGTACTGGCTGGATATGATCGGTGGGCGACCAGAGCCTACGGAAAACCTAAGACTGGTGTTAGATTTCCTTGATTGACATCGGAAGGATCGGAATTTGTTATTGTAACATACTGTAACTGACAGAGGCAAATCAAGTTCCACGTGCGCATTATTTCTTGTGCATGGGCTCGTTCGCGTCCATCGGCGTCGCTAGTCTTTGGAAGTTGCCCAAATGGAGTGGTCATAATCACCCGCATAGCCGCGGTGCCACTGAGAAGCCATGAGGTGCCATGGTCAGGGCCCAAAGTTGGTCGTAGGTCCCACATGGAGAAAATCAACATCGACTGTATTGTGTCGAGCGAGGTAGTGGAAGAAAGATGTGCCTGGCCCAGCAGTCCATGAATATGACGATATAAAGCTTGATGAGTTGATGACCCATACAATGACGGAGTGATATGGAGACCTGCCAAAATACAAGTCCCAAACAGGAGTGGTGATTTTGTGCGTAGCTGGACGGGGTCTGTACTCATGAATAACCAGCGGTTGGATAATTTCGAGAATCTGCAAAGTCAACATCGGAATAGGTTCCAGAAGGACATTATTGAGCGCGTTCTCACCCCTTAAGAAGCGTGATAGCAAGTTGCTCGGAAACTATACCGTTGATTATAATGTCTTCAGTGTTGTCATCACTACTCGAGGGTTGTTCATACAAGGTGATGTTCTGTCGGATCTCTTGGATAAGATTCATGGGTGCATCGCGTGTAGTTCGTTCGATAGTTGATGGAGTAACCTAGAGTATCCAATTAATTGTATGGCCAGTATGCCATATAGATAACTGAAATTTACCTCGGGTCTATTCCGGTAGCCAGGACTGGGGACAGATAGCGACGCTTGAAGTTGCCTCAAGGTGGTTTCCACCGCACAAAGTCTATTTTCCGTCAGTATATTGATTGGGTCTAATGGAATAGAGCATGGGAGGGTATACCGTGCATGGTAGTCATCGCGGCTTGTCACAGAATCCAACCCCGCCTCCACAAGTGGTCCGGGATGGTTGCGGGAAATGGCCTGGAAAGAGCACCTAATCCTAAAGATTGTCAGACATGGAAGCTCAGTGACATGATCTTCCGATCTGGATTGCTACCGAAGAACATCACAACGATGACATCGGTCAGAATTGCCCGTTTCACATCGCGTTTTCAAGCGCCGACAAGCTTCGCAGGAGCGCGCTTTGCTCACTCTTGGCTTGCCTGGGGCGTTTCTATTTCGTCTTCGTTTCACAATACACGGCTCGGCCAAAGGCATGATCAGTTGATAAAATGGAGTTTAGTTAGGGGATTTGGAGTAGAGGGGAACGAAGATAGTGGATCCCACTCTTGAAGAGGACGAAACTGTTGGTCTTATGTTTGCCTGCAGATGCGGGCACATGCGACTAGCTCTTATGAACTCATCAAATATATAACTACGTAATTATCCTCCTATGTGCGTAACGTCCATTAAAACCACATGCTCTAACATGTATATCGTCATGTGGATAACTACATACCTGACTTGAGTCTCCATAGCAGGTAACACATCTCTCTTTCCTATATATCCCTACACCAATGGCTTTGCTGGAATGAAATCAGGGCAATGGAGAATAAAATAATAACAAAATTGAGATTATTGACAGAACAGAATAGATCATCCTTCAACTCTGAGACAGCGATGATTGAACCCCCACCTTTGGCTTGCTATCACATCACACCGATAACCTCCACTACTCCATTTGAAGTCTTGAATCCCCCTTAGGTTTATCAAAAAGACCAAAGTACGTGGGGAGCCGAACTTTATATCCGCTGCTGGAATACTCATGTTAGAAGATTGTGAGAGTCTACTCGTATACAACCTTAGAATGCCCTAAAAGTGAGTCCTGCTAGATAGTTTCAATTTATCAACTTGTTTCATGAGAAATACCACACACGTCACCGCACAAAATGCGGCAATAGCGCCAAAGATCAGCTTTACGAACATTAGTATCCAATAAAATATAAACCAAACTCCCAGCCATTTGGCACCTTGCCCGACCCAAGAAAAAAGAGATATCTCAGCTTAGACCGTCTTCCCTGCTGGATCGCCAAGGAAATATTCGGCGAGGGTCTTGAGCGCTTTCGATATCGACGTCTGGTCGGAAAATTCGTACAGATCAGAAGAGCGCATGACAAAAGATTTTGATGATGAATCAGAATAGGACTCCAATAGACGTGCATGCTTTCCCATCAATGAGACCATTAAAACCTGCAAAATATTAGTTAGCAAACCATGAAGATATAATAGAAGAGGGAAAGGAGAATAGAACATTACTGGTGCGATATTATGGTGAACCAAGCGAATTTTTGTTAACTGGCCCAGCATTAGGCGAAGGCTGATCAAGAGGTCTCCACGGAAACAAGTTTCATTGTCGGCCTCCAGGTCGTTGTATATGACTGCTTTGAAATGCGGGAAGTCGCGCCCGGCACTATCCACCATCCGAAAAGCACTAAATGCGGGTTTGTTATACTAATACACATCCTTGTATGGGGTGTAGCCAATAGGCATATCGATTAATATTATATAAGACGAACCGATAGAGCGAAATAGCTCGAGATACCGGTGGACTCACTGCATCGAACGCCATGGCGCGCTATCGAGGAATTCCACGTCGTGGAAGACATAAGTGTTCCACTCAATGTGAATGGCATATGCACGAGAGTATGGGTCTGTGAAACACTGCTCAGGATCCGCAACTTCACAGGCCTCATCGAGTATCTCATACCTGGGTTGCGGGAGGTTGGGTCTTGGTGCGAAGAAGCGGGGCTCGAGCTCTGAGGTTTGATCGACAGTCATACGGCAGAGGTTGACATTCAATTCCTTGAGTTGCGTCGCGTCAAGTCTGTGCTTACCGAGGGCCTCGATAGTAGCCTCAAGTTCCATCAAGAAGCCGCGCTGCTCCATATGCAGTCTGGTTTCCTTAACTTGATTTTTTGAAGACATGCTTTGTAGATGAGGGATTTGAAGTGGTGTGTTGATGCTGGATACGGGCGGGCTTTTATGTTGGAGATTCCTCGCTAGCTGGTGGAGGTAAGAGAAGAACCAATAATCTTAAATGTGATGAGATGAGTTGCCGAGCGACACGCCAAGACTATTAGGAGATCAAAGAAGAGAATAGAAAAAGCAGGGGAAAGTAGTATCATCTCTGTACTCATGTTGTAAAGGTGCTGTATCTATCATCCACTTCCTGGTTTCTGACGCGACGATTCCATTTGTTGTTGCTAAAGGTGTTTTGTATTTGTTTACTTATGCATTTCTGTTTTGGTATTCGTGCACGTTCATCCCTGGCGTATTCAAGAAAGTGCAATTCACAACATCATGTATCTCTTCCCACCCATGAAACGTCCATACTATTCATTCATTTCAATTGTATAACACACAAATCTTGGAAAAGGATCAAGACGAATATATCTCACGTAGCTGAAACTCCAGGCACTTGAATTTTGGATCAAGTTCGTTCTCAAGCGACAGGTCAATTGATTGTCCATGTTGAAGATGCCGAGCAACTTTGACAGCATCAAAGGCACCACGCCAAAGGGCAAAGATCTTGTCCATTTCCTCGAGACTGCGCCCGGCAGTCTCGGGAAACAGGTAATAGATAACGGGTATCATCATCGCATTGCAGCCTGCGAAAATCACAAAGTATGTCTGTCCCATGCTGTTGAATGCAATGAGTGTGACAGCAGTGAGTAGGATGCTGACTGCCCATGATATGCTGATGCTGAAGCTGTTGATAGTCGTGCGTAGATGCAAAGGCGCAATCTCCGCGGCGTAGAGATATGGTATCGCGCCAAATCCAATGATGTAGCTGAAATGGAACAGGAAAATGAAGAAAACAGCACCGCGCATCGCAAGTGGATTATCAGTTTGGGTTCCGAGACCAGCTACTAGAGCCAGACAGACGACGTTTCCGATTGCACTGCCTAGAAGCAATACACGGCGACCAAGTCCGTCGATTTTGAAAACGCAGAAGGCCCCGCCAATGGGACCGACTAACTGGTAGACTGCTGCTAGAACTGTGGATGTTGAATTACCCAGCGAAAGATTGTTTTCGAAGATTGCGGTTGCTAAAAGTGCGCAGAGTAAGTCAATACGATGTGTCGACAGGGGAAGGATGATTCAGGGTACCTACTGTAAAAGGTGATGACCGTAGAGCCGGTGAGTTGCAAGAACAGCATTGCCAAGGCAGCAATAATAGCTCGGTGAAAAGTTCTTTGGGGCCCCATGTGGAATATTTGTCCAAGTGACTTTTCCTCAAATAAGTCTAGTGATGTTTGGACATCCTTGATTTTTGCTTTCACGGCTTGATCGTTGACACATATATCTTCGAGAGCTGCCAGAACTTCACTAGCCTCAGAGAGTCGGCCTTCTCGGACAAGCCACCGGGGGGATTCTGGTAACACGTAGATGAAAACTAAGACAGCGATGGAAAGCAGCACCACGAACGCGAAAGGAAACCTCCAGGCGATGCTGCCTTGGGTGAATGACATTCCAAAGTCGAGAAAAAGGGCAAGGGCACAGCCAAAACCGCTGAATATCCCCTTCATGCCAACATGAGCACCACGCTTGTTGGCAGGCGATATCTCAGATTGCCAAAGAGGGATTGTGGCCAGTAGAACACCAGTGCCTGAACCGAGGATGACCCGAGATATAATGAGTTGAGCGAGAGAGCCTGCGCTAGCCATCAAAACAACTCCAATGACTTGGACGACTGCTCCAGCCATTATTGTGCGTCGCCGGCCAAATATGTCACCTAACCATATACAGGAGAGAGTGCCAAAGAACCCTCCTATTGTGTAAGAGGCTACAACAAGGCCTTGGACCGTCGACGCATGCGGTTTATTATCGGCAGCGGCAATGTTGATTTCGGGGAATTGTTCTTCGAAGTTCTTCAGTGTTAAGACCCCCCCGAGTAGTGATGCATTGTAGCCTATGGTAAGGATCCCAGGCATGAGCACCCCAAGAATGGCTGCTATATGGAGGCTATTGCCCCGAAGGCCAAGGAAGCGTGGCATGTGTAAGGCTGGGTGAGGATCGGTGGGTATATAATTATAATGGATCAGCGGGATTGGGGTCGACGCTGATCAACGGATCGTCGAAGTTGTCTGTGCAAGTCAGACTTATCAGCCGCTGTCAACTTGATGGAAACCACGAGATTTAAAGAAACCAAGGACAGTTGAGACCCGGCTATCCCGGCTCGTTGGTATTAGGCTCTAGGCATTCCATTCGTTTTCCTCTCATTGCCACCGAACACAAGTAGGATGTTTAAGCCATATGATCCAGAAAAAAAAATGCGACTCTACTGGACCCATTCTTCTCGGCTCGCTTTAGAACCAAGGGCTTGCAATGGCCAGGCCGACAATATTTGGAGGAGAAGTGAAAGAAAGGACAGGAGAGGCCCTTGTGACAGGGCTCAAGAATGCACAGGAAGGGAGAGTAACAGGAGAAAAATGAAGAATTGGTAAATGGCCTGGTGAGCTTTTTGAAGGAAACCCCAAACTCTGGAGTAAATGGTACCCAAGAGCCGACGCAAGGGGAGAGCTCCCACAGGAGGGTCTAGGCAGCTCCAACTCAACGCGCTGAATGTTCGACGCGCTACTAGGTACACCATACAGACTGCAGAGCAATGGATTCTATTCCAAGTTAATTAATAATGAAGCTGCTATGAAAGTGAAATTAAGACCACTCCTATCGCGGATCTCGCATGAAGCACCTGTTGTGAGTCCGCTCAAGGTAAATAAATAAAATATCAGGAGCATATTAGTCCTCGATAATCGATAAAGCGGTAGGTCTACCGGGCCGACCCTACTCGACCCCATTTCCAAACTCTACCCTCTATCAAATAGAGCGTAAAAGCCCGAAACTTTATTCCAAATGCCAAGGGTGGAGGAATTCTATACTATGGAATGACACTGTACAATGGGGTTACAATTCCTCTACACGGTACCTTAACCTGTCATTTGTTTTTACAAATAGAAATTATACATTTTCTACAACTTAGGGAGCAAGGATATTTGAAATAACGTTTGAGGCCAAGATCAAAGACACCAGTTTTGGCCCAAACCTCTCACCACCCAGCTTCCACAAGGGTCAACTCTAGAAAATAACAGAGGTATTATGCCGAGGCCTATATATATCACATAAAGCTAACTAGCACTTGGAACTTCGAGGTAAGGCTAATTGACAAGATATCCACCAGGGTAAACAAATTCCTTGTGCTTAATCGCTTTGTTCGACCACGGCACATCTTCATCCTTCCATTGTGAGTAAACAATTTCCTCACCAGCAACCAATTGGCGGATATTACGCCTGGTGCTGTATACCATATTCCAGGCCTGCTCTTCGTGGAATTCAGCCACGTTGTTGTTCTCGATATCTGAATCCCGAGAAGCCGAGCCGGCCTTCCTATATGTACCAATCAAGTTGGGAAATGGAGCCCAACATTCAATCTTGTGACGCCCATTTACACCCGCGCACAATTCACTCAGGGCATCGTCTACCGGCTTATCCAAACGATCGACGGAAAGAGCGGAAAGAATGTTCCTAGCGCCTCTGGTAGTAACTGCATAGCCAAACATGCAGCAGCCCATTTCAGCCCGATAGATAAATCGTGTCGAGTCATCCACCAATTCAGGATATTGTTGCTTCCACTTTTCGGTGGGTCCACCCCAGGTGGCTCGGTGGTGGGCCCTAGGAACTGTGGGGTCCATGGGGATAGCGTAGAAGCTTGTTTCATTGGCGTTTGGGCCCGACGCACATCCGCCGATCCAGAGGACATCCCAATCTGTTCCGTAAGGAGCTTCTTTGGATACGCGATTTATGCCTTTCAAAGCGTGCAGCCCGTGCGAAAATTCCCCCAGCTGGGATTTGAGACTCACATCCCAGTCTGCGTCATCTTCCAAGATCAAAGCAGTCGAATAGCCATTACTTAGCATACTGTTGTTTTTAATGCCAAACGTCAGCACAGCCTCTGGAAAATGGAACGGGGTGTGACTGTACTTGACCAATGCATTCATGTGCGCACGCCAACATGCCACAACAGTGGGTTTCACGAGTGAGGGGTCCAGTCCCTAAGAACACATGAGAAAATTGCCTGGAATATATTCGATGGGAAGCGTACATCAGGCATGGCCTTGGGATGTAGATCATCGGGTCGCACTCCGTCAAGCCATTCCACCTTGAACCCTGATACCGAGGCTGCTAATGTCAAGAAATCGCGCTTGTCGGTCCGCTCTTTCATACTGATCGCATAGATATGCTCAAACTAAAGATTGGTATTCAGTCAGCTATCAAGTCTGTAAGAAGGTAGGCAAGGTCTAACCCCAAGAGTGCTGTTCTGGATATGTTCAAAGACACTACCGCCCAAGGTGTTCCGAGAGACGTCGGGAATCGAGATGGACCATGATTTATCGCCGAGGCTTCTGACAAGCACCGTGCAGAAAATATAAGCAGTAATGGCCGCCGCAGTGGCCATTTGAAGGATTTTTCTCCTGGAGATCATGGTGAGCAGCGTTAACAACGAGGATTGATGAGAATCGAGTTATTCACACCACCTCGGAAGAGTTGAAGTCCAAGCCAATCTTCCGGATGCCACATAAAAATTATTGCAATAAACATTTTCTTTTTCTTTACATTCCTCAAGTGCCGGGAACAGCTTGCTATGAATGCATCGCGACCTTGTCCAAATGCGGATCTGACATACACGTGATGTGGGTCCGTAGGTGTTCGTTGCCTTATTTACCAGGCCCCAGGTGGCAATTTCCAACCTCGGAAGGTTCACCACAATTAACCACCTCCCCCAGGTCAAACCCTTCGTATATTAAAGATGCATACCTCGCATCCCAATGCTAATTACATAGCTACACAACTTACCTAGGTACAAGCCAGTTGATCATATCTTCTTAGGCTCGACTCCCAGCCCGTTTTCCACCAAGGGACTCTGCATAATACCGGACCAATTATGCATTTTTACAGTGGCTTCCTCGCTCAAACGAACTTCGTTCCCTATCTGCGCGATACTATTTTCCTCATACACCTGTTTAGCTGCGGCACGTTCCTCGGTGGTGAAATTATCCTGGTTCCAGAATGACTCAATTGCCTTACATGCGGTGTAAGCGTGCTTCATAGCGTGAATACAAACAGACGGGCCAAGGCCTTCTGGTGTGCAACGTGTTCTTCCGTGTTTTGTTCTTGGCATAGTCGTGCGGTTCTGGAAAGGAGATATAATGGGTGAAAATAAAGTTCTCCGGATGGTCGATATCGTCTCCATCATGGAGGCTCAATCAGGCACAATAACCCTCAGGATGAGGCGATCCGGTACAGAGGATGGTGGAGATGAGCACATAGAAACAGGGCATGCTCACACGTATGCTGAGTGAAAGACGGGGTTGAGGCGAAATCAATCGGTGTGACTTTGGCAGCTTGCTCTGCAACCAGTAGTGTACGTGTGGTCGGATGTGGACCGTCGGTCGCAATTAGAAAACTGCCAATGGCCTCTGTGCCGCCCGTTAACTTTGCAGTAATATGTTCGCCGCTACGAGAGCGAGTAATCCCACAGAGAGACTTCCCCCAACGTACGCCGAGGCCTTGAAGCGACATTACCCGGAATTTGTGTCGACGCAGGCGATAAACTTTGGACAACTTGAGCTCGGTGATCAGGGCTCCACTCTCACCATTGATTATGGGCTGTCCATCATTTGCGTGATAGGGATGTGCGGGTCAACCTGCGCCTGCTCGAGTCCAGCCAAATATCTGCGGGTACGAGGTATTGCAGTGGCTCATAGCCCCAGTGCAGTCCTGTACTCCAGTTTCGTTGCGAGTCGGTTCTTCTTCTTTCTCGAAAACTAGAAAAGGGATTCTTGCCTAAAGTGTTGTATTGTTAGCGGGGTAGATTCGACACGACCGCGATCCTCCCGCCCTTTCCAATCCATGGGCCAGCGCGAGACCTGTCGAGCCTAGGTAGATGTTAATTATTCGCGAGGAATGTCCGATTTGATATAGGTCGGGAAAAGGAGGTAGGCATACCAGCGCCAATGATGAGGACCTTTCTACGGCCACTGATAGCTGATTGAGATGTGTTCGGAGGGGGCATGAGTCGTGCTGTTCTCTGTTCCCCGTATTTAGTCCGCTCCTTGGATCCATTGATGGGGTGATTCTCATGCTGCTAGAAGAAAATGTAAAACTGCTAAAATTGAATTGCAAAAATATATAACTCCCTATAGTGAGACAAAGCCCTTGGAGTTTAATTCTCCGAGCCAAAGCCGAGAAATTCCAATTGATATCGTTAAAATAAAACGCCATCTATAGATTTATCCACCTCATTTCCCCTTCATGATAGCCAAACGCTAAATCCATCATGATTAAAGATGACTGTCAAAGAGAAAACAAAAATCAAGTCTATCTATAATCAATCTATAAGAGAAACCCCGAAAACAAGTCGTAGCACGGTTTTAGATAGCAACTGGGCCGGCACCCAATCTATCTTTAGGTCCGATGCCTTTGTGCCGAACAGAAACAAGACCAAGGATCAGTCCAAGCCCAGCTAGGCCGACAGAGCACCAGAGGCCAGTAGCGTATTGCTCCGCGAGACCGTGCCCTTGCTGAATATCGACGGCATCGGTGACAGCCGCTGATATAGCCAATGCAACACCAGAGCCAATTTGGAATGCAGTGTTGAGCTAGTTTATGATGTTAGCATATAAAAGTCGAAATGCAGGAAAAAAATCTCACCATTCCGCCAGCAAGACTCTTAACTTCAACCGGTACACTTGTGAGTACCACAGTGCTCGTTGTCACGAAAATAAAAGACACAGATGAGATACTGATAAGGGATGTGGGGAGAACATTGAGCCAACTGTGAGAGTTAGCATAGTTTGATTCAAAAGGAAGTGGCGATACACACAAGCCTGCTTCAGGATTGGAAGTCAAAGCACTCGAGATGGGAGCGACAACAGCCAGAACCAGTCCGATAATGAGGAGGTGCTTTCCATTCATGAACTCGAGGAGCTTTCCTGTCCCAAGAGAAACAATGAAGCCGATCGCTCCCATAGGCAGGAAGCGAAGGGCTGTATCGCCAGCGGAAAGCTTGTCCACTTCCTGTGCCATAAGAACGATATAGTAAATAACGTTTTGGTAGGTGCCGTAGCCAGCTGTGTGTAATTAGCATTGCTCGAGGCACAAGTTCGAAAAATAGGCAACTCACTGAAACCAATAACCCAGAGACCGGCGAAATTACGAATCTTCCACAAAGAAAGCGGCATGATAGGGTTGCCGACGTATTTCTCAAGGATTGTGAATCCAAGGAGAAGACCAACCGCCAAGATCAGCAACACAATGATGAATGGCTGGTCCCAGCCGTAGGTTCCACCACTGGACAGGACGAATTGGAGCAGGATCAGGCCAGCTGTCGACATCACTGCGCCAATGTAGTCCATTCTTTCGTGTTTCTTTTCGGAAGGGACATCGCTTGGAAGGACGATAAAGCCCAAAATCCCCAAAGACCCAGTAATGATAACAATCAGATAGAAGATGTATCTCCAGCCCAACGAAGAGGTCAAGAAGCCGCCAAAGATGAGGCCGGTACAGAATCCCAGGGTTCCCGAGGCTCCATAGATTGATAGTGCACGGGTACGATCAACACCACTAAAGTAAGAGCTGATGATCCCAATAGCAGATGGCACAGTCATCGCAGCTCCAATTCCTTGAATGCCACGGAACACCGTAAGTTGAATAAAGGATTGCCCAAATCCAATGGCCAGGGTCCATACGGAAAGCCAGGCAAGACCGAGACAGAGGATCTTCTTTCGCCCATAACTGTGCAGGTTAGCATTATGTCAAGTCTGGAGAAAATGGAAGGAAGTGTCATACCGATCGGACAAAGCACCGGCCAACAAAAGAAAGCCACCGAACGACAAAGTATATGCAGAAATCATCCATTGCAAATCGGTACTAGACACGTCGAAATCCTGTTGAATTGACGAAAGGGCAATGTTGGCACTTGTCATGAAGACATTGTCTAAAAACTGAGAGCCGGAAGTGACAAGCAAAATCAGAGACCCTTTCCAAGAAGCCAGGCGACCGAACTGATGCGGGATCTTCTCGAAAATAAGAGGATCCTCGCTGCCTGCCGGGGAAGGGAGCATGTGCGCAGGTGTGACAGCGCCCGAAAAGTCCGGGCTAGAGATAACATCAGGCTCGATTACTTTTGGGGCTTCCACGGTGGGTGTTTCATCACCACCATGTGCCTGATGGCCACGCGGTGGACTAAAATAGTCAACAATGCCCATTGTGATTGTGAAAATAGAATGAAGATGAAAACGGATGGCCAGGGTAGCACTTGCACCTACTCCCATACTAATATAGCATTCACTAGCAAACTAAAAATCAAAATCTTCAATCGATCCAGTTTAAAAAGTGGAGTGATACCTTTCGGATTACCCTTTTGAGCAAGATCTTAGAATGGAGCATGTTCTCTCGGGTTACCTCTTTGAGATGGGAAGACCCACGATGAACCCACGAGGAGTGGAGAGGAAGAATCACTGGCCCTGTCGTTTCGCACCACATGCAAGATAGTATAGGATTATCATGATTAAAACGTGGCTCTGATAACGCAATGCGTATGCAGCGTGGCCCTACTGCTCACACTTTATTGAGCCAACGCATCAATGGCGTGTTGAAAATGGCTATCGGCTTTGAAATGTTCAATTTTACCAAAAACTTAAAAACGCTATCGGGCCGAGCGCTAAGACCCACGGCATCCCGATAGGGCTCGTTGAACTGGTCGGGATGCTTTTAGGGTTACTTCAAGGCTGGTATTTTCTAAATTACATCGTCGAACGAGCCATCTAGAATTTAGCTATGATTTAGTCTGTGCTTTATAGGAATGATGTTCAATTTCTACTACTTTTGCTATCTGGTCAAAATTCGAGATTCGCCACGCTGATTTTTACTCTCCCGCCGGGACAGCTCATCCACCGGCCGTCTTCTAGACCTCTGGTTCTCTCAGAGTGAGGGACCGGTCTTCTTCGCTGTCGAAAATTTCGAAATCTCCTTAATTCTCCCTTTAGCAGTTTGCATATTCATGCTCCATACGGAGAACGACTCTAATGAAGGAGGAACCGCGCGGTCCCCACTTTTCCTATGGCGTGGCCATTGACGAAGAATTTCTATTTTATGAGACTTGTCAAATTGATGAATAATGGATAGACTAACTAGTAACTAGTTACGGTATGTACGAAATTAATAGCAACCCCTCCAACCCTCGGATCACCTTTGCCAAGCCAAGCGTGGTCAATAGGAACATTCTCTCCTGCTTTTGCCAAGGTGATCGCCATTCAAGCAAAAGCTCTGACCAAGATGACCAGCATGACCAACGATTGGTAATGAATTATCTGCTACCTATGTACCTATGTCTGAACGTGGCTCCATGGCACAAGAACACCATGTTGTAGAATTCGTGGTCCGGCACTTGACATGTAAGTCATACTGTACTAAGGTTTGCTTCACAAATACGAAAATTGATTTCACCATGTTGTATATATAAATTGCTGCCATTAGGTTGCAGTATTATATTGTATTCTATGTTTCTGCATAACTGCAACGGCCCTGCATCTTAACGATGCCGCAATGTACTCCCTCGTTCTTAGTAATTATGAGACGTCTCCCTGTCTGGCTAAATACATGTAGAGATTACATTTGTAGTATTAGGCATACTTCACCGACATTATGAATGAACCAAAAAAAATAAAACCATTATATATTAAGCTCGACTCACAAGGAAAAGAACAAAGCAAAGCAGACCTCAGACTTTAGGTATCCGAGGCTCCTCTACCTACATAAGTAGGGCTCGGCTAGAAGTTCAATGACGTCATGACGCAGGCCATGTGCCAAGCCTTCAGGGTCACCCCGGTGGACATCTCACTTTGGTGACTTTTGCCAATCACAACGTTTTGGAGAATACTCCCCCCAGAGTGCGGAGGAAGTATACAGAAGGGGAACCCACAATGACGTACGATATTCTATATCGTCATGACTCTTCTCGTGACAATTGGGCTTTCATAAAAGCCAATATTGGCTTACAGTCATAAAACAATTTACAGCCCTGGAGACTTCGGAAAGATCGACGATCGCGGTTCAGCCTCACCTGCCATGCGCGGCACCCGAATCTTTCGCGGGTAACATATAATTGAGCAGTCATCAAACATTTTCTATCAGTGTCTGACGTCTCTGTCATTGATATTGGAAGAAGCGCGATTCGGCGCGAAGAAATAGATGACTTTCACTTTCAATCAGAATGTCTCGGCACAACAGCTGGCTGACATCCTACCGAACGGTGTCGCCATCCTCAACCACCGATATGAACTGGTCTCCGTGAATCGCCGGTTCCGTGAACTCATCCCATGCCCCAGTCTCAACTTCTCTGAGTGTTGGTTACGCTCGGTCCATCCAGACGACTACGACCGGGTGGCCACTGGGTATCGGGAGGTTGCGACCTCCAAACAACCGCTACGTTTTGAATACCACGCGCGTGACCCGGACTCAATTTGGTGTGTCATGACATTGGATCGGCTGGATGATAAAGATGTACAATGCTTTGGGCTAGGCGACGGTGGCGTGTTCATCTGTACAATTGCAGATATAACCCCGGAGAAACAGGCAGAGCTTCTACAGAGGCAGGCTGCAGAAGAGGCACAGGAACGCAAGAAGCAACAAGAGCGATTCATCGATATGATCAGCCATGAAATTCGCAATCCCTTGTCTGCGATCGCACATTGCACGGAGGATATCCAAGAGGCAATTTATAACAAGAAGCCGGATGACATCTCGGTCACGAGCATCACTGAGGCAGCCGAGACAATCAGTCTCTGCATCAAGCATCAAAAGAAAATCGTCAATGACGTTCTCACCTTTTCGAAGCTTGATGCGTCGATGCTGCCGCTATCGCCACAAAAGGTCCAGCCAAAGCGACATCTCACCATTCCGATGTCAATATTCCGACCCGAGCTCCGAAAGCACAGAATCCATTTCGAATACAAGGCCGATGTCTCCTATGCCGAATGCGGCATTGATTGGGTCATGGCAGACCTAGACCGAATGGGCCAGGTTCTCGTGAACATACTCTCGAATGCTATCAAATTTACAGCCCAATCGGAGGGTCAGCGATCGATCCTAGTCTCAGTGGGTGCTTCGATTGAGCGTCCACCTTCGTATCCGCCAAACATTGTCTTCTTCGATTCAGGTGAATCAGCGCTTCGCCAAGACGGTACTAATACTTCCGAGTGGGGAAATGGCGAAGTTGCGTATATCATGGTCGCCGTCAAGGACTCCGGTATTGGGGTCACCGAGCAAGCCCAGAAACGACTCTTTGAACGGTTCAATCAAGCAACCCCAAAGACCGAAAGCATCTACGGTGGCTCTGGCCTTGGGCTCAACGTGTGTAGGAAACTCTGCCACTTACATGGGGGCGAGATTGGCGTGAGCTCCAAGAAATGTCACGGAAGCACGTTTGGATTCTTTTTCAAAGTACGCAGAACAACCAACGAGTCTGGTGAAGGGGATCGGAGTCTTGAGATTTCTGCAGTCGATAAACTGTGCGTTGATATCGAGTCATTGGGCAATCAAATGCGCCATGTCAATGAAACGACGGAAGAACCCCAGATGTCGGAAAGCCCCCCTGAAGATATTGTCTTTGAGGCACAGCCAGGTGGCCCGAGGGACGCAAACACAATTCACACCCACAGTATAGCCCGCGAGGTCGAGAACGAGCGGATCAAGCGAGCGGATCAGAATACTCCGGACCACGAGAAACCAACCGGGGACGGTCAGCGTATTCTTTTAGTTGAGGATAACGTTATCAACAGGCGAATAATATCTCGCAAGTTGAATGCACTGGGGTTCAACATATCGGAAGCGAGCAACGGGCAAGATGCTGTGGATGCGAATAGACACGACCCATTCGATTGCATTCTCATGGACCAGCAGATGCCTGTGATGGATGGCAACTGTGCCGCGAGAACAATTCGTGACATTGAAAAGGAACGCGGAGGACATGTACCCATTCTAGGAGTCACCGCGAATGTCAGAGACGCACAACAAACGGAAATGATCGGTGCTGGAATGGATGATATAATCCACAAGCCTTATGGGACTCATGAGCTTGTTGAAAAGATCAAGCGCTTGCTTTCTAAAGGAACCGATAACAACGCGAGTTAAGGATTGTGAGTTTTTGTACGTTTTGGTTGTATGTGAGACGTGTATTTGTTTGTACGATAGCCTGAGAGAGATAAATATACCAAATTATAAACCCGACCGGGCTGGTTGACAGTGCAGAGACGCCTTCACGAAGATCAATTCTATACCGATAACTGCAAACAATGCCTCTATGGACGTTTCGTAAACACCAACGGGCATCCATCCTGTGTCAAAAGTTAGTAGCGGAAGAACACCAGGAGATAGGCAATTAATAGCTGTACTAACCATTGGAAACAGTGTAGCAAACACTCGAATCTCCTCTGATCTCTCCGTGGCATGATGCTTCCAGTCAAGTTCCAGCGCCGCTTTCCCGATCATACCAGCCATAGACAACGGCACGTATTTTTTTGCGAGGCAATCATGAGGTCCAGCGCCAAATACTAGCCAATTCTTAGTCTTGGACTCGGCATCCCCGGAGATCCAACGCTCGGGGTCGAAGTCATCAGGATTAGGGTAGACATTCGGATCATGTAAAGCTGGATAACAGGATGGGATGATCATAGCGCCCTTGGGGACGGTATAGTTGGGGGTTACAGGGAAGTTTTTTGTCGCGAGATATGGAACCATAATAACGGGTGGACGGTGGCGCAGGAGCTCCTTGATGACAGCGTTGCTGTATGTGAGCGACTCAAGCATTGGAAGATCGAAGGACTTGTTTTTATCACCACCACGAGCGGCCAAATTTTCTCGACGCAATTTATCGAGCACGTCGGGCCGCTGGGCGAGGATTTGGAAAAGCCAAGTCGTGGCACTGCTCGACGCATCCTGGGAGGCAAAGAGGAAAGTGAATAATGTCTCTCCGATTTCCTCGTTTGTGAACTCGCGGATCATGTTCGTTGGCTTCTCGGTGTCGGTTTTCCCTGCGGCGATTCTTTCCTCGTAGCTCTTGGATTCCATCATATGCAGCACCCAGTGGTCTACAATGCACGTCGGTGTCGCACCGGTCGCCATGTTTGCTTTGCATGCAGCTGCGCATTTTGAAAACTCGGCATGCACGGCGTCGGCTGTTCGCTTCCCGAGCCAGGGCTTGGTGAATGGAATGTACATCGACAGAGGCACGTTGACTAACTCGAGGGCGGCTGTGGCAAGGTAGAAGTCGTCTGCAATCTTCTTGACCGCGGCCTGGGAGATATAATCACCGAAAAAGGTGCGGCATGAAAGTGCACAGTTGATCTCGCGGAACATGGTCATGAATTCCTTTGGCTGTCCCTGATTCGCCTTGCTGGCGGCGACAAATTTGTCAAAATAACGGGCCAGCACCTTCTCTTGCACTGGCAGGTATGTAGCCATGGCCCTGTTGGTGAACAAGGGCGTCAGCCCCCTGCGGTACTCGGCGTGATCTCTACCCTGAAGAAAGACCCATGCTTTGTGGCCTAGGATATCCTTTGCGATCGGGACTATACATGGCTCGGCGTATGCGGGCGACTTGAACACTTTGTGCGCTATGTCTCGGTCGGAGGCTAGAACGACAAATCTATAATAAGTCGGCTTAGTCTGAACAATCTGATGGGATCGATCGGATCTTGACAAGACGACTGATGTGAGTGCTTACTTGTGGAAGACAGATACACAGCTAAGTGGGCCACTCGCCCATTGTGCAAGATACCCTTCAAACTTTGGGTGGAGGGCTTGTATAAATGGGCCCATGAGCGGAATCTTGAGTGGAGGCCCAGCTATCGAGCCTTTTCGTTTGATATACATCACTAAAGACCGGATCAGCAAATTGTTATGGTCTTGTGGTCTTGTGGTCTTATGGTCTTGAAGCTCTGCTTACCTTGATCATAGACTAATACGGCGATTAGCAAAGTCACTGCGTACTGCCAGACTGACAAGCTCATTATGGAGGCCAGCAGGTAGCTTTGAAACTGGGAATGGCTGGGCCATATCTCCGGTAGGTCATTCTGGGCGATGGAGATGTTGGACATCTCAAAAACCATGGTGGAGTCCATGATGGTAGATGGTAGTGGCAAGCTGAGAGACTGGCTATTCTTTAAAATAGGTAGAGAATGTAGAGAATACCCAGGCAGGGCAGGTCCTCTTAGTAATGGCATGATATACTCCAGGGCTGCGCAGATATCTACGTTACCCAATTAGGACTAGACTCCGACGCCAAGCAGGGGTAGAGCGGGGTCTAGTCCTCTTTTGATTTGGCTTGGGACATTAACCTGGGGTCCACATATAACGGAATAATCGCCCGGGAAATTCAACATTGAGCCGACCTTCTGTCAAGACTTACGTTGGGGACGTTCCAACTCTTTGATTCACACCACGATCTTAAAGGCGGTGTGGGGCTCTAGTTTGAGCTATTCCTAGAGCCAACAACATTCCCCCTTTCGGATGCCCACCAATATCCTTTCAAAATGCGCCGATCTCTCCGCCGGTCCTGTGCTGCATGTGCCAAGTCAAAGTCCAGCTGCGATCTCCGCACACCGCGCTGTTCTCGCTGCATCAAGCGGCAAGTCGAGTGCGCCTACGCGAACGAACCCTCGACGGGGCCGGCAGCTCCCGGGTGGCAGAACGGGGCATTAACAAGCCCGCTAGATGGATCCGGCACCCTAACCAACTACAGATTCGGGTCTCTTGACCCTTTTGATTCGTATCCACAGACTAGACTTCCTCGAGAACACGTTCAACGTCTGATTTACGGCTGTATGTAGGCCTTCAATGAAGCATTGAGGATGAAAGCTTAGCTTACCCATTTAGTCCTCCACAAAATCGCCTTCCAATACTACCCTCTTGACCTTAATGCGACTTCAAATCCTTTCCTGATCTCTTGGTGGCCCCTTGCCCTAGGAGATCCTGCACTATTTCATGTATCTCTACAGACGGCATGCCTTGACGAAGAGTTGTTGGCCCAGAAAGGCTTTCAGACCTCCGAACTTCTCATGGCAGACTCAGTGGCTTTACTGCGACGCAAGGTCGAATATATGTCACTAGCTGTTCAAGATGGGACTATGAACTCAGTCATCACATTGGCAACCATCGAGGTGAGATACTACCATAAACACCCTCATTTCCTACTGTTTTATAATTCGAACAAATCTCTGATTGTATATGACTTTTAGTTTGGTAAAGGCAATATAAAAGTAGGTGAAATGCATGTCAACGGGTTAAAAAGGCTGGTCGATATGAGAGGTGGCATCAACGCAGTAAGACAGACAAGCCCGCTTACCGCGAGAATGATTAGCTGGTAAGCCAACTCCTTCACCACTCGGAGGGCCAATATTCACATGTTCCCAAGGGTATCAATGCTCATCATGGGTCATCCTCAATTCGAGACCCAAGACGACTTCGGCATCGGAAATGGTATTCCTCCAATCCCAGAATGGCAGTTCGACTCGACTGCGCTGGACGATCAGCTATTTGATCTCAGCACCATAGAAGTGGACTATGCCGTTAAGAATGTCTTTAATCGTCTGCGAAATATCTTCCAGCGAGCCCGCAAAATACCTTTGCCAGCCACACAACTTCACGACCTCACCTGTTTTGTCATACACCGACTCCTACTCTCTGCTCCACCCACAACAATACCTCCGCCATCACCGATGACGGAATCCATTCGCTATGGAATTATACTCTACATGTTCATTGCTCAGGGACCAACATATTACTCGCATGCAGTCATACTGAATACGATTGTGATTCGATTTATGGAGCACCTCGAGCCTCTCGCGTCAACGCCCCGGGTCTGTGATTCACTTGATGTCTGGTTTGCTGCGGTCGGAATGGTGGCTTCAGCTGGCACGACTCATCACAGGTGGTTTATGAAGAGGGCACAAGATATAGCTGCTGCTCTGCAACTGGGCGACTTTAGTGACACCCTTGTCCACATTAAGACTGTTTTGTGGTTGGAGAAACCGCAGAGTGAAGATCTTTTTCGATCTTATTCGGATACTACCTTCAATCTCACGGGCCAGTCTGTACTACCAGACCTCTCGATATCGCTCTCGCCTTATAGCAGTAGCGTGGAATTTATATGAAATACAGCTTCATTCAACAATTTCTATCAGCAGAGCATGAGTTGTGCAAAAAAGCCTTGATCATTGGAATTATCTTCATATATGATACCATCATAATGAGCATCACGACCCAGAAGACGATGGCTACGTGTGAGACACAACCGAAACCAAAAGTGCGTGTACAAAACAGCCCATTCTGCGTGTGCAACAATTCCAGCCCCCAAATTAGGCCGATTCAGCGCGGGCCTTCAGATCCCTGTGGAAGATATCGAAATGGGCACGCATCTTCTTTCCAAGTAGAGAAGGACTCATAATGAATGCAAGGAGACCCTTTAGATCCTCTGTCTGTGTGAAAACAGTCGAAGCACCATCATTGGCCGATTCGATGTGGAAGTTATGCAAACCGGCAATGGTAGCCACGGGCGGGCCTTGCCAAGAAAACAAGCTCTCGGTGTTCTCCTTTGGCGTTGATGGGAATCTTCAGCTTACATCTTTTTGCGTTGGGGGAAGAGGTTATTCTCACCTTGACTTCAGCGACGAATTTGAAATTCTCAATGTTCACTTCGATTTTGTCTCCTGAGGAAAGTTTTTGCGGGGTCTTGGTACTGTCTTTGAGCTCGATACTCTTGAGCCATTCGGTATGCCATTCCGGGTATGATGAGAAGTTAAGGAGCTTGGTAGGGGTAACTGATCAGCTTGTTTCGCCAAGAAGTCGGGCGTCAGGGCTGGTACATACTATCTCGCGCACTTTGGCAGGAGGCGCGGCTATTTCAATTGTGCTTGTGATCATGACCATTTTGTCGGTGGTGTGGTTAGGGAGGTCGGATGCACGAGAAAGGGGATACAAATAAATGGTGTTCTTACGAGGTAAGTGCGTGGATGTAGAAGAGCGCATATCCTTGCTGTATCCATCCGAGGACTTCCCCACCGGAGCTCAACGCTCCTTTTGTTGGTCATTGCGTCTTATCACATGTTCATGTCTTCAATATGGGCACGAAATTAATAGGTTGAAATACGATTGTGTATGTTTAAGTATAGCTCGTGTAATCGACTTGCAATGAGGTATGGATCGAAATCCAACCCCAGGATTATGTAGCAGTCATGAGATGGCCAATATGGTCATTAAAAATCCCCCATCTACCCATGACGAGTCATATATACATAACAAACATGAATGCAAATATATAAATGCATAATTTCGCGTGCTTCTAATAACATACCTACGTGTCCGGATCAAAACTCAATACCCAGGCTCCTGACTGATCCTGCTGACACGCCGACCGTTGTTCTTCTCTCTGTCCGCAGCAAGCGTAGAGGCGAACTTACTCTTCGCGCGAATCTGCGGTCCTTTCCAGTAGAAAACATAGATAGGAGTCACAACCAGGCAGGAAAGACAAGCCAGAATAGTGCTTGCATACTCGACATGCCACTTGTTGCCGATATTTTTGTACATAGGCGCCGCGTACATGGCCGAGATACCAGCGAGAAGATCACGCGCGAAAGCATTACCACCAGTCGCGGAAGCAGAATAGACACCATAGGAAGCGACCATGTAATCAACAGAGGATAGGTAGATAGCAAAGTTGGCGATACCGACACAGCCGGAGAAAATCATGGATCCGATCCAGTGGACGTTCCTCGAATCGCCGAAGGATGTCCAGGCGAAACCGAATAGACCGATGGGTTCGAGCGGCGCGAGGAAAAGAAGCCACTTGAGACGGCGCTCGGGCGGGATGGCAGCATCGCCATGTCTGAGTCGAAGCTTCTGATCGCGAATGAACCACGGGAAGTAACTGAAGTAGGCAATGAAGTAGGCGGCGTTGATGGGAATAACTGCCCACGCTTGGGCGAGGGTACCAAAGCCCCATCCTTGCTCGTACACAATGGCAAAGCTCTCCAGGAAGGTGAAAATCAGAGCATCGGAGAAACCGGAGAGAAGAGAGAGACAGAGGACGATGGGCTCGCGCAGAAGCATGTAGAATGGACGCGCCCAGATCCTGCCGGCTTCCTTGAGGGAGACACGGGGCTTCTTGAGCTCATTTGGTCCGTAGATATTCGGGTCTTCTCCGGTTTTGCGGCGGCGCTTGGCTTCGTTGTCCATGATAATGGTCGAACGACTTTCGGGCATGAAGAAGATGATGAGCTGGGTGACTCCTCCGAAGATGAGTTGAATCCAGAAGAACCATTGCCAATCAAGGACTAAATATAAAATATAGGCGTTAGCAATATGTCTCAAACCAGTACACGGTGGAAAAAGAGTGGTTTGCATACATCGCGCAATTGGTCCTCCAATGACACCACCAATACTGGTACCGATACAAGAGGACAAAACGATGAATGCGAGAGGGAATTGTTGTGTTTCGGGCTCGTAGATATCGGCGATAAGACCGAGAGTGACACTACCACCAGCAGTAGAAAGACCACCCTAAGCATTATGTTAGTTTGCCAAATTTTCAAGACGCTAGCTTGCTGGAGAGACCAACCAATGCACGAGCAACAACAAGACTGCCCCAGTTTGGCGCAAGGGCTGCAGGCAGTTGCCAAATGTTGATCAAGAACATGGAGAGCTGGAGGATAGGCCAGCGGCCGAATTCCTCAGACCAAGGAGCCCACAGCTCGCACCCAATAGAATAAGTAACCAGGTAAGCCATTTGGCCTGTGCGAGCGTGTTGTTCGCTGATGTGGAAAGCCTCGGACAGACCTTTAACAGCAGCAGGGTAGACAGAGGTGTTGAAGTTCATAGAAACCTGAACGCAGGCTACAGCGGCCAGATAGGTCCATTTCTTCCATCGTGGCCAGCAGTATCCCAGGATCTCATAGCAATCTCCTTCCTTTAGCTCGCACTTTCCGTCGGAGCGCTCGGTCTCTTTTTTTTCAAGCGCGGCGGATAAATCGACCGGCGCGCTAGCTTCGCTGTCCGTGCCATTGGCAGATGACGATTTACTCTTGCTGTGAACAGATTGAGCTTCTTGTTGCTCTGGGGTAAACATCCTGGGATCGAGCAAAGGATAGAGATAAAAAGGTTTGTGGACTTTCTCGACGTGTTATATGTACAAGCACGGAGCATGTACAAAATATGTGCAGACTTTTTCGTGGACTTTCTTACTTGGGACTCACGGGCTGAAACCGGATTTATAGTGGATCTACACTGTAGTGTGGTGGCGCCCGTGGCGTACAACGTAGTTAGTATATATAGATTGAGATATAGGCATTAGGATTGATATAGTTAGAGGCGCTGAATATCTCTGGTCTATATTATTACACGTTTAGATAGTCATACTCTATTCATAATGCTTGTAGTCTTTCCAGTATCTTACAGGTGAATATCTAAAAGAAAGAAGGGAAAAGAGAAAAAAGAAAAAGAAAAATGCCAAATTGGGTGATCTGCCCGAGGTCCCTTCCTTTCTTGGCATTCTCCACTTGACTTGACGTCAGTACTTCTTCTGTTGGCCATATCTGCATGTCTGCAGTTGAATTTGTAGAATATTCTAATATTCTGATTGCCACTCAAAGACCTGGGGAAATTGGTATAAGCTGCCTACCTATGATGTCATTCTTGGTTCCAAGGATGGAATAACATCCAACCAGGGAATATCTATCTATGTCAGACGGGAGATCTTCGGGCATAAACTGAATTCGTTCATAACTGATGCACAGACCTCGATGAGCTCAGGCGTTCTATCAAATCATTAGTGGCCGTCGCTTATAAGTTTGCGTAAGGTACAAGTGTAGCTTGATACTCTCTGGGGCCATACTCCAAACACCGTAGGCCATAGTCGACTAAACATGCTATAGACCTCCCAAAATGACATCGTCACTTTAACAAGCGCAACTCTGATCTAAAGAGTACGTACATGCCGGAGTCCCTATTGTTTGAGATTTAAAAGCCAGACGATCCTTGAAGTAATCAAAGAACCTTGGAACTTCAAATCTGCATCTGATTGGTGCATTTTAGGGTATTGATGCATTGACGCCGTGCCCTGCTTTTATGTAGTTGTGCCAGATTTCCCTTCGCGCCTTTGTCTCTTTATCCCATGAAGCTATGTAGAGAGTTTCATGGCAATAGGCAGAGATCATCATCAATTACCTTCATCATTACACACTTCTGTTGATCCCTTCTTCCTCTTGGCATAGGACTACGTAGAGATATTCCTGATTAGCAACGAGGCATGCGAAAGGGATACAACGAAAAGAGTCAAGATAGTCGCGACACCCGGTCATGTGATGCATGTGATAAGGATGTGTACTTTCTGAACGCGATGTGTGTGGGCTTCGCTTCCTCGACAAAATGTACGCTCGCAGGGCTTATGGCATCCTTTAACCTAGCCCTCATTTACACCCTTACGAAGTTAAAACCGCCTCATCATGCATTCCATTGCAAATGGTTGGATAGCCAGGTTTCGATGTTGGACTCCGCGCTAGAGACACACGTTTTCGATATCTGTTCCGGCCTGGTTGCATACAACTGCTACCATACAACAAGGAATCCCCATGTTAGACTGCGAAGTGGATAGACTTTATCGCTACACATCGGAACGATGGCTTGGAGTGAGAAGGAACAGCTTTCTCTCCACTATGTCGAGTTCAACCTGACAAAACTCGTCAGGATCGCAACCCGGGCGACAGGGTGGGTCTATGTCCGATAGGACATTACATACATATGTAGCTACAAATGGCAAGAGGTAAAGCTCTGCGAAAGTTGTGGTAATTTAAATCTCTGCCGCATTGTCAAGATTGAAGAAACTTCGAGCAATGCAGGATACATGTGGTAACTACCATGGCGGAAGCAATGAGGCAGACCAGAGGTATATTTTAACCCAGGCGGGACTAAAGGTGATCAATATATATCCGTATCCAGAGATTTTACTTGAAGCACAACTCGCCTAAATGCCACCAACTGTCATATGTTAACTACCTATGTAGATAGAAAATAAGGATGAAGTTCAAGGAGAAAATGCTCAAAGCCTGAATTGGCCCCATCCTCAATTGGCCCCAACCTTGGAAATCTAGGCCAATCTTAGCGTTGAAAACTTCCAAGGTTCGGTTATGTGGGGCCGAAGGATTGCGGGCACCTGCCCAGGTGGGCACCTGATTGCTCTTATGTAATCACTCTGGGGACCTCCGGGGATAACTAACTAAATTGGCTCGAGAATTACACTAGTCAGCTCAACTGTCGGGGCCCTGCGTAGTGCTGTCAACACCACGTTAGCATCTTTTCCAAGGTTACCTCCAGCACATATGACCATGGGAGATGGAAAACAGGACCTCCTTTCCGCTTGCTCGGAAGAAGTCACATAACCTACTGCCTTTCTCAGACTGGCCAATGAACGGCGGTCTGATTTCTGACCATCAGCCTGTCATGATATATGCAAGTCATGTCAGACATGACCTGATAAAATATCCACCATTTCTTGAAACCAGCAATTGAGCATTCATTCAATCGACCAACATGTATCTATACTCTCTGGGCGTCGTCGCATTCATATCCTACATCCTGTACCGAGGCATCTACAACCGCTATTTCCATCCTCTACGAGGGATTCCCGGTCCATTCTGGGCCTCTGTATCCGACTTCTTCAAACTATGGATTCTACACACCAAGCAAGCGCACACGCTAGGCATCGAGTACCATGAGAAATACGGATCCATCGTGCGGGCTGCACCGAATCTATTGGCCGTGGATGATCCCATGCTTTTGCCCCAGATTTACCATCGACGAGTAGACAAGACTGATGTGTATACGGTTGGGGTGCTGGGAGAAATCGCGCCTCCCTTCCAGACGCTCAAGCATGATGAACATGCCATGAAGCGCAAGAGAGTGGCTGCTTCGTTTACTTTGACCAATTTGAAATCACTGGAGGGTCAGGTCGATGATCGTATTGTCCAGTGGACGGGAGTGTTGACTGAGAGGTTTGCTCAAACTGGCCAAGAAATGGATTTTGCGGCTTGGTCGCAGTGAGTATCCTCCGTAATATGGGATGTGGATGATGAAGAAGCTTATTTCTGACAGATGGTTTGCCTACGACATGATCTGCCAGCTTTCCTTTGGCGAGCCCATTGGATTTATCAGCCAAGGTCGGGATGTCGAGAATCTGATTGAAAACTTCCATCAGATGGCACCTTTTGCTGCGATTGTTGGCGCTTTGCCCTGGCTGGCTCGTCCCTTCTTGGAGAATCCCATCACGAGACGGTATTTCATGCCCAAGCCAGGCGATGGGTCAGGAACAGGAAAAATCATGGCCGTACGTATACATCCCCACGGTAACCAGAGCCGGTGAAAGATAGGTTCAAGCTAATAATTGAATAGTTCCGCGATCGGCTCCTTGCAGAGCGATTGAATAATCCCAAACCACGACAGCAGGGTGACTTCCTAGACAATATTCTCAATGCAAAGAACCCAGACGGATCCACCATCACGCTGGACGAAGTCAAAACTGAATGTTTCGTGCTGATGGTAGCGGCATCCGATACAACGGCAGCGTTCTTCTGCGGATTCATACGATACGTGCTGCAAACACCAGGCGTGTATGACAAGCTAATGACCGAGATTGACGATTATGATCGTCGAGGACTTCTCCGTCATCCCGTTCCGCTCTACGACGAGGTCAAGGATATGCCCTACTTCTCAGCCTGTTATAAAGAGACGATGCGGTATCAGCCCTCTACCCCGATGATCATCCCCCGCTACGTCTCTGATGGAGGCATGACGCTTCACAACCAATATATTCCAGCGGGCACAGAGATTGGCGCGAATCCGTACGTTGTTCATCGGAATCGACGAGTCTTCGGCGATGATGCCCATGACTTCCGTCCCGAGCGCTGGTTGGAAGATCCAGAGCGGGCGGCCTTGATGGATAAGTGCATCCTAACGTGGGGATATGGGAGTCGTATCTGCTTAGGCAAGAACATTGCGCTCTTGGAGACGTATAAGCTGTTGGTTCAGGTATGTTTCTTTTTCTTGGGCATCACTGTTCAATTTCGCTGACTAGTTGTTAGTTCTTCCGTTTATTCCGACCGAAAATTAACAATGGAGCGAGACCGATCTGGAAGCAGGAAAATCTAGCTTTGTTGGTGCATCACGATTTTTGGATCAAGATCGCCAGCAGAGAACATTTATCCTAAGTCTACAATTAGGATGTGCATGGCTAGGCATTTCTGTAGTTTGAACAATTGACGAATGACATCTTTACATGCCCACCTGCACAGTATTGACTGCATATGACCCATGTATATGTTGAGGTACCTAGTGCAGGGTCTTGATGGGTATGGCCCAGTGATTATTACTTCACATAGAAGAAGCTCTATCATGTAATTCTGTTACGGTCCCGAGCTCCACGGGTGTGCAAGTTCGTTCCCTCCAGTTTGATGCAAGTGACCAACACCGCATTTCATCTTGGGGACGAACGGTATGCAAAAGACACGAAAATCGACTATGGGAAGACTTTTAGAAGGCATATAGGAAAATGACCAAAAGAAAGATATTCAGGAGTCTTGTCAGCCTTTCCAGACCAGATGTATATGGTACGCATATTGTCTAGTGGACCCGTGGACAGAGTTAATTTAGCATGGTGAAGGACTGGTACAGCAAGGACAATTTGTGCAATATATAGGTCTAATAGCCAACAGGATTAAAAGCAACAAACTATATAGCCAATTTGCTCTCCACAGCATCAGACAGACTCTTGAGAGTAGAGGTTTGGTTCAGAACATCCAAGAAAGGAATATCAACCTTGAAGACAGTGTAAAACCATGATCGGAACTCTGAGGCAATCATACTATCCATTCCGTACGAGGTGATGGGCTTGACCGAGTCAATCTTATCCAATCCCATAAGCAGCAGGTTCGAGAACCGCTTCCTGACCAGAAGAAGAATCGCTTCATTGAGAGTGGAGGCGGATGCGACATCCTTGTTGGTCGAGACCATAGACTTGAGGACACCGGCGGAGAGACCTGCAGCCCAAGGGAGGGCAGAGAGGGGCGTGACAGATAGTGAGGCAGAAGACGAATCCTGAGAAGCTGGCAAATCGAGCGATGCGGACAAGAGAACAGCTCTAGGATCTTGCATCGTGCCGTTGTTGACGTCGAATCCGCGGTCGAGCAGTTTGCGGATTCCGTGCGGTTCCAGTCCTGTGAGGATGTGCGAGGCAGAAAGGCGGTCGTATTCGAGACCCGGGGCAAGTGACTCTGGCCCGTCGGCAGAGGTGTAGGCCAGTGCGAGGTCGACCACCTGGATGAGCTCGGCTTCGGTTAAAGGCTGGATGCCCTTCCGGAGGAGAAGTGCCTCGATCTCGGGGTTCTCGTGGAGATAACCCACTTCGGATATCATGCCGAGACCGATGGAGACTATGGGCTTGCCAAGGCTGCGACGGTATCTTGCGAAAGCGTCAAGGAAGCCGTTGGCTGAACAGTAGTTGGACTCGGTGGCTGTACCCACGCTGCCAGAGACAGAAGAGGTGAGCAGGAAAAAGTCCAGGGCACTGTCGTCACGGGCTTCTAGAGCATGGTGCAGATTCCAGGTTCCTTGCCACTTGGGCTGGATACCCGTGTGCCAGGCCTTGTGCGTCATGGTGGAGAAGAGGGCCTCGCTGAGACCCATCGCGGCTTGCACTACACCACCGATGGGTTGAATGCAAGCATCCACTGCGGCCTGGGCCTCGTTGGCATTGATGACATCTCCACGGACAACTTGGACAGTGGCGCCGGAGGCCTCGAGGTTAGTCACCAGCTCACGGGCTGCAGGCTTGTCACATCCAGATCGACCGAGGAAGGTGAAATGACGAGCGCCGCGGTCAAACATCCACCGGCTAAGACTGCGACCCAGACCGCCGAGACAACCGATGAGGAGGTAGGACTTGTTTGCATCGAAGGTGGTGAGATGGCGCGCATGAGCAACTCTGATAACACTGGAGGGGTTCTCCAACGAGATGACGACCTTGCCAATTCGGCCCTTCGTAGAGAAGAATCGGTATGCCTGGGCGATCTCACTGACATCGAAAGTGGCAATGGGAACTGGCTTGACAATGCCAGCTCGGTAGAGCTCTAAAGCCTCGGCGAATTTACTAGAAAGCATTAGTTGGAGTTATGAGAGATCATGAAGACGAGAGATCTTACGTGGTCCAGATGTTGCGGTAGTGTTCATCTTCATGGTAGAAGAGTTCCGTCAAATCAAAGGCAGTGAATGTGACGTTGCGCAAGAACATGCGCATATCCAACTGTCCGGCGTCGATAATGTCGCGCTTGCCCACCTCCACAAAGCGGCCAAAGTTGGCACAGCATTGCCAGGTGGCATGGAGCAGATCACCTGTCAGGGAATTGACGACGACGTCCACACCCTGGCCGTTGGTGGCTGCCAGAATACCAGCGACAAATGAATCATCGCGAGAGGCAAAGATATTCTCACGAGGAACTCCAAGTTCGTTGACCAGATAATCTTTCTTCTCCTCCGTGCTGACAGTGGCATAAACAGTTGCTCCCCGTTGCAGGGCAATAGCAATAGTGGCGGTTCCAAAGGCACCGGCTCCGGAATGAACGAGGATGCTTTCGCCGGTGCGCAGATGGGCTCGATCGTCCAGGGCATACAGCGCAGTTCCATAGATAACTGGCAGGGTGGGCATCACTTCAAAGCTCTCATGCGGGAGCATCTTCAGACACGCCCAGGCGGGCACTCTCTCGATTGTGCTGAAGCTGTTTGGCGCCAAGACAACGACGCGATCGCCGACAACGAGATGCGAGACGTCCGAAGCGACAGCACGGACGATTCCACTGAACTCGATGGCAGCCGTGCCTTTGCGGGTTTCGATCTTGCCAGACAGTGTGTAAATGTCTTTGGCATTGAGACTGACGGCCTTGACTTCGATTTCGACCTGACCAGACGGAATAGCGGTGGGAGGATTAGCCAGACGTTGGAAATAGATCGAGTCGGTGATGCCAACGCGCTTAATAGCCAGCTGAGCAGGTGAGGCTTCGGCCAGAGTCATGGTGTCGATCTCGTCGACCTGGCGTTTGCTGAAAAGCTTGTTGAGGGTGGTGTCAGGCAAGAATCGGCTTACGTGGAGCAGGCCATCGTGCAAGACAAACTCCTTATCATCGGCCTCATCCTCGACTGTTAGTATATGCTGAATCTTGGTGCAGATAGTATCGCGGCTGACACGGCCAGGGCTTTTGCCCACATCCAAGGTGACAAAGCGCAGAGCTGGTTGTTCTAACATCAGGGCTCTTGAGAGACCGCTGGCCAGAGAGAGGTCTGGAGCGTCGCCGGTAATGGTAGAGGCGCCCGTCAACCAAATGAGTTCAGCAGCATTGTCCGTGACAATCTTGAAACGCTTCATGTCCTCCGGTGTCATGGTTGGGATGAAGGGCGCTTCCATCTCCAGTAGGGAAATAACAGTCGACTGCGAGATCATCTCCTCTGTCACTTCCTCCAGGGCAGTAGAGGAGATACCCTCCGCGACAAAGAATTGGCGGAGAGCATCGGCCATCTTTGACGGTCGATCGTGAAGCAATACCACACGGCCATTCCATTTGCGCTGTGGCTGAGGAGGAAGAGCCATGGTGATTCCAAAAGGCAAACTAAAAACAGTGCATCCAGACTGAGCCAGAGTGACAGGCATGACACTCTCCGTTCGGGCAACGATGATGCCGTTGACCTCAAGCAGACTCAGCAACTGGTCCATCTTTCTCAATGGCTTGGTGTCTACACCATGAGGAAGCAAAACGACATCGTATTTCCCATCAGTATCCTCACTCTCTGTGGTCTTCCATTCTCGGATACGAGGGAAATCCGTCTTCTCATCCAGTAGTTCCTGCCACGCCTGCGTCTTGCAGTCGCATCCCTTGCCAAGCTCCAATACGCGCAGTCGAGGATTCTTGTGCGCAGCCAGATCCAACAAGGCAGAAACAACGCCGACCTTGCCACTGTCAGCCAAATCGGGGTGATTTAGGAGGAACTCTCTGATGACGACTTGGAGATTTGGTAGATCGCCTGCTGTCAGTCTGGCCAGGTCTGGCTTCCACACAACTCGCAAGCATGGATGACGGCCTGTGTCGGAGTCTTCCTGCTCAGCCTTGCCAGTGTAGAGAGAGAGGCGGACACCGCGCATGTTGATCACGCCAGAGCCAGAGCTATCGTGTAATGACGCATCGATCGACTTGGTGCCAAACCCGGTGCTCTGGGACAGAGTATGAATAGACCCGGATGCATTTACGCTCTCTGCCGTGGGGGTATTGACCTCACACAGGTCAAGGAACACGGGCAGATGGGCGCGAAGTCGATTGAGATTACCGGCCGTGCCACCCATGATGGCGGCCTGCAAACAGGCATCGATAGTCAATGGATGCACGGTATAGTAATCTCCTTCGTACGACGATCGAGCAACTCGTTGCGTGATGACCGTCTCGGAGACTGCAGCTTGATTGACTCTCTTCTTGTCCGTCTTCATAGACGTCAGAGATTGGAACGTAGGACCAAACACAAGTCCTTCCTGAGCCAGCTTAGCATACCATGGACCCATCGACCATTGCTCATACTGAGTGGTATCGACAGTAATGGCTGGCAAGGCCTTTTGATCGAGTCTGATGCGACCTGTGCAGTGCGAGACAGCACCTCCGTCCTGCCACGAGGATACGGAGAAGTCATACCAGGTGCCGGAGGTGGCGGCCTTGGAAATCCGAGCGGGGGAGACGGTAGTGTACATCTCAGCCTGTTCCTGTTCATCTGCGTGCACAATTAATGCCGAGGCAATGTTGACATTACGCAAGACAAAAGATGAGTCCGTTGCGGATAGGCTTTTGATTTGGGAAATAGCCTCAATCGCCATTGAAATGTATCCAGCAGCTGGAAAGACAACCTGGCTCTCCAGCTTGTGATCATTCAACCAAGGCACCTCGTTCAGTCGCACAATGTTCTTCCAGACCCGGTCAATACCGTTGCCGGCGGCCATTTCAGACCCGAGAAGCTCATGGCGAGGACAGCTGCGACTGCGAAGGTCGCTGCTGAGTCTGGATTCTCTCCAAAGCAGCTGGCTGTAGCTCCAGTGATATGGGGGCAGATCGGGAATGACCTTGGCGGTGGCAGAAGCCGTGCCATTGACCGCCAAGACATTGATCTCCTGTCCACGGAGATACAGCTCCCCCGCAAGAGTCTTCATGCAGATATCGGCGTCTTTCCCGCGGACCAGGGTAGAGCTGTACGGCGTATCATCCATGGAGTATTTGAAGAATGTACGGATCTGTTTGATAGGCAACTGCAGGGCAGAATGAGGTCCAATCTCGATAAGATGGCATTTGCCGTTCTCCAGAATTCTGGTGACGGCCGCCGAAAACTGGACTGAATTCTCTAGATTCTGACGCCAATAGCTGAGGGGCAACGCTGAGGTGGTCTTGCGACTGTACCAATTGGGCCCGTCAACACCCACACTCGAGAAGAACTGTGTATCTCTGTCGATGGGATTGGCGGGAAGAGTTGGCCATGCCTGCTGAATCAGTCGCTCGTACTCCTCACCGATCTCCGCCATCATATAGGAGTGATAGGCTTTGCCGCCTGTCTGCAGTTTCCGGGCGAACTTTCCGGCCTGGGAAGCTGTCTGTAAGAGTGATTCCACACCGGAGACGCTGCCGGAGATTGTCATACTCTCAGGAGAGTTGACACATGCAACAACGAGTTCGTTCTGGAGTGAGAGGTCCGCAATCAACTGTCGTGCCTCGTCTGCGCTGCCGCCAAGTGCCATCATGGCTCCTTGGGATTGGAGCTGGCCGACAACATGTCCCCGATAATACGCGATCATGATGGCCTGCGCTTCACTCAACAATCCAGCGGCATATGCAGCAGCAATTTCACCCGATGAATGACCGGCCACCATCTGAGGGGCGACGCCCCAGCTGCTAAGCAAGTTGACAAGTCCGATTTGCACTGCAGTGCACAGAGGCTGGGAGAATCTCGCATCTCCAACGCGGCTGTGGGTAGCTGGTTCCAGCAGCACAGATTTGATCGACCAACTTGGGGGCTCGGGCAGATTTTGCAGCACATTATCGAGGTGGTCAATGGTGTCCCGGTAGATCGGACTCTGGTCAAACAACTCCCTACCCATCTCGGCCCACTGGGCACCCTGGCCAGTGAAAAGGAAGGCGAGGCCCAAGGCAGGAAGGGTTTGGGTCACCAAGTTGTCAACCACGAGATCGTTTGTCGCTGTTGTTTGATTGGCGAGGATATAGCCTCGCTGAGGAAGTTGTGACCGACGGTTTGCCAGTGTATGGACCAGGTCAACAAAATCGTAGTGTGCACCATTGCGGATGCTGCTTCCCAAGTCGGTCACCCGGGACTCCAGTCCTTCAACGGTAGAGGCAGACAGGGGGAGAAGATATGTCTTATCCGCGGGTCGATTGTGAGTGATTTCCTTGGGAACTTTGTTAATCGAGGACAGATATTGACACGGATCTTCCAGAATCTACTAGGGTTAGTATGCACAGTACGTTCAATGGGGACGGAGGTGTCATACTGCATGGGCATTTGCGCCGCCATAACCAAACGAATTGATACTGACACGACGCATGGCCGATGGCCATTCGCTAAGTTTGGTCACAATCTTCATGTTCCATTCATCCAATTTGACTGTCTGGTTAGCATCATAACTCTGATTTGACTCGAACATAAAACTTACGCTTGGGGTTCAACTTGGTCACGCCAACGGTAGCAGGGATAGCTTGATGCTCAAAGGAGAGAATTGCCTTGATCACAGCCGTGATGCCACTGGCTGCTTCGCTGTGTCCGACATTTGTTTTGTTCTAGGTTGCATAGATCAGCAAAATGCGCATTCATAGTCGAATTCAAATACGGACCGCTCCAATTAGCAAAGGCGATCTTCCCTTCCGCTTGAAAACCCGACTCAGACCTTCAACCTCCATGGGATCACCGACAGCAGTGCCAGTACCATGACATTCGACGTAGTCGGTGTCTTCCGCATGCAGTCCAGCCACGCGATATGCTTTGCGAATGACTTCTGCCTGTCCCGAGATACTGGGTTGAGTGATGCCGGAAGTTTTGCCGTTTCTATACCTGTTAGCATCTTGTTTTGGTTCGATTTATATGAACGAGCCGACATACGCATTCACGGCGCTTCCCCGGATCACCGCGCGGATAGGGTCGCCATCCCGCAGAGCAGCAGACAAACGCTTGATATACAAAGCGCTCACTCCCTCAGCACGACCATACCCATCTGCACTAGCATCGAACGTGTGGCAGGTTGAGGTTGGGGAGAGAACGCCTCCTTTCATGGTTCCGAGATGCTGCTCAGGCCCCATGATCAGATTGGCACCAGCCACAACGGCGCCTTCACATTCTCCAGCCTTGATAGCATTGACGGCATTGTGAAGACAATAGATTGATGACGAACAAGCCGTATCGAGGGTGAAACTATTGAGCTTGTCAGACCGAAAAATAAAAAGGTACCTTGGCCGCTGATGATCACGCACCTGGGACCGCGAAGATCAAAGATATAACTCAGACGGTTGGAAAGAATCGCAGTACCAGATCCAGTCGCACTGTATCGGTGCAGCGACTCTGGATCTCTGGCCTGCATTGTCTGGAAATCCACGGTGAAATTGCCGACATAGACACCAATGTCTGCACCGGCAGCCTGCTTCAGAGACACGCCGGCACTTTCAAAGCATTCATAAACTACCTCGAGCAGTTTACGCTGCTGGGGATCCATGTAAGTGGCTTCGAGATTGTTGATCCCAAAGAAGGAGTTTTCAAATTGGCGCACATCTTCCTGCAGGAAATAGCCACCTTTGGTGTTCATCACACCGGCACGGTCACCTTCCGGGTGGAAAAATCCGTCTGCGTTAAAACGAGTCTTTGGAACATTGCATTGCCCGGTTCGCTCGTTGATGAGCATCTCCCAGAAGTCATTGGGGGAGGAGACACCGCCGGGGAGACGGCAGGCTGGACTTGTTAGATAGATAGACTGGAGAAGGTGTAGGAATACTTACCCATTCCGACAATCACAATGGGATCATTGGTTGCCTCAGGTCCATTGGACGGAGCACTTCCGAGGGAAGAAATATCAATAGAACCCATTTCGGTGGAGTATGGTTGGTATGGATGAGAATACTTTGGAATCGAATTGTCGAATTGTGGACCAATATTTAATTGTATATACAATGAGGATCTGAGGATCTGACCAACTGTGCAGTGACAGACAGACTGACAGGACTGATCTCACTGTCAGATGTCAGGCTTAGACGCGGTCAGATCGGTCAGATCGGCCTATACATCTAACTACATCTAACCCTATCACGGCAATCAAGCACCAACACAATTAACATGCGGTCTGTTTTAATTACAGGGTAAGTTTTATTCTCTATGACGGACTTACTATCTTTGACGAATGGTTCAGTTGCGGAAAGGGGGGTATCGGAGAGGCATTGGCTCTCCAGTATCAGGCTCGAGGTACGACTCCCATCAATCATTTATGCGAATGTAATTAAAGCTAGCCAGGTTGCACTGTTCTGGCCACCGTTCTTCCCTGGGAATCCAAAGACCATCTTTCCTCGGTCGGCATCACTTGTTTGGAGCTCGACGTGACAAAAGATGAGTCCATACGAGCCTTGCGCAAAGCAGTCGAGGAGAAGATTGGAGATCGACTCGATATTCTGGTGAACAATGCGTGAGTCATCGTAATACTCAAAGCTTCTGTTGTACTATCTTTAAGCTAACAATACATAGTGGAATCTGTAAGCTTCTATGAATGCAGTATCAGGTGAACTTGTACTAAGAAGCAGGCTATACAATGACCGCCATCGACACTGATATTCAGGAAGTGCAAAAGATGTTTGACGTCAACCTCTTTGGACCAATTCGGATGGTGAATATATTCCATTCATTGCTGATTCAAGCCAAAGGATGTATCGTCAATATCGGCTCTGTCGGGGGAATTGTGCCCTACACATATGGCTGTATGCCTATCTAAAAACCTCCCTTCCAAGCGAAAATGTCAACTGATTGCAATGTAGCTTCATACAACGCCAGCAAGGCTGCACTGCATCACTGGGGAAATACACTGCGAGTGGAAATGAGTCCGTTGGGGTCTGTCAAATATCTGTCTTGCTACCTTCTCCCCTACTAACCGTCTGGGCAGTGTTCGAGTCATCAATGTAACCGCCCACACTCAATCTAATATACAATAACAGCAACTAAACAATATAGATTATATCCGGCAATATTGGAACCAACATCCTCAGCCGTGATGCATCGCGCACTCTTCCCCCAGGTAACGTTAACAGCCTATCGAGCTTAGCCTCCCCAAACTTTAACCAACAAGATACATAGATTCATTCTACGCTCCGCTCAAGAAGGAATTCGAAGCGCACGTTCAACGCGTACCTAGTAAGCTAAATTATCAGATATTGTTCGTGCAGCGCTGACGGGCCAGCAGATACAACGGATCGCATGGTGTATGCCAGATCGGTAGTGCAGCAGTCACTAAGAACATGTCCACCTGCCTGGCACTGGGTAGGCAATACCTCTACCATTGTGTGGTTTATGGATAACTTTGCTTTTCGCACTGTTTGGGTAGGTTTCCTCTCTTTAGTCCTATCATGTGCCAGTTTCTCACAGTAACAGGACTACGTGCTATGGCCTGTGTTCCACATGGGGAAATTGAAGAGCACAATGAAATCCAGATCGATCTAGACAGTGAATCGGGATTTACTGTTCGAAAATGAACTGGACTCCCTAGTTTGCAAATGTCAGTTCTTAGGTTGTAAAGGAAGACGATCTCTCTGCCACTTGAATGATTAAACTTTCCAGTATATACCTCAAGTTGCTATACGCTTTATAATGTCTAAAGAGTTCGTAGACAGCTAATATTGAATTTATGCGACTACATCGATGTTGGATAGTCAGCCTTTGTGTATTCACAATTGAACGTGGGTTGGGAAAATCCTTTAATGGGTGTTAAGAAACACATGAGAAAGGGTCGGTAGAAAGACGTAGAGAGCTCATATGAAAATCTCGCAGTGTAGCTTAGCAGGTTTGGATGAGTCCACAGTAGTGGGTTTTGCACGTTTGACAGGTTTGACACGTCGCGTTGACCTGTTGACGCGTCCCATTTGTTCTATTTTAGGAGTGGCTCCGAAAGTAATGCCTGGATAGAAGGATATATGTAAAGCGAATCAGGTTGGGTGAATTGATAATATCTTCAACATATGCGTCGACTGGCATATCAAAACAAACAGTCCACCTAGTCCATATCTTCACTGGCAACAACCAGTGAGATGCGCACCTCCACATACAGCTTGTCCCCGTCTAGTAGGAATCGGCCATTACCAACCCAAGTGCTATTCTCAAGGAGCCTGAGACGAGGATGACCCACTTCGAAGGTGGGATTCACGGCTAAAAAGCAAAATGTCAGCATATAATAACATCTATAGCTTATATGCAAGAACTAACTGGATAGGCCAAATGGGATGGTCTTCGGTTGTCCTTGGAAAATAGCACCCAGGTCGGGTGAAACGCCCGAAACGCCCGAATAGGCAAAGTTAATGCCCTGGTGGTTGGTTAGTTGTGTTTTGTTGAATGCCTCCTTGAAACTCACTTCGCCTTCGGTTGTCCTAGAGCTTTTATTAGCGGGCTCATATAAACATGTGAGATATATGATGCACAACTCACCTCGCAACACCCTTGACATTCATCCGAGTATGTTGCTGATCGGGATCGAAATACAACCAGTCACCAGCGAAAACAACCTCAGCATCAATGCTTGGTGAAAAGCCATCTACGGTAGAGATGCTTCCGCCTGGGGTACTCTAGAACAGATTTTGGGAATCAGTTGATGAGCATAGAAATTGCGACTGGAAACACACGTAGTGGACAAAGGTCGATCCTGAAGATGTTTCCCCTACAGCAACATGATTAGATTGAGATCCTGTAACATGGGCAATGGGCAACGAGGTTTCCGTACCAACAGGCTGGCCCTCTCCTACTTGGAGCTAGTTCTCTGTTAGTAAGGTAGCGTACTTTTGTACAGATGTATTGATATACACATACCTTAAGAATGTAGGCGGGGCGAACAGTGGGAAATCCGGATAGTTGAGACATGCTGATGAGAATATTGATAAGAATTCTGTTTCTACGAATGAACAGTAGCGATAGATTTGGTGGGTTTTATATTGTTGAAGAAGAATCAGAGCGGTTGACAGCATGTCAGACTGTCAGAAAGAGTGTCAGACCGTCATATCTGCGCCCTTGGATGTTGAATGCCACATTACCACATACATACTTGACCTTCGCATCTAGATCCGATCAGATAAATTGCACATGGTCACTAAGCACTGAGTCCTCATCTTTTAGGCATACTAAATTCCCAAAAGGGATAGAATAATATTCAACACGAATAGTTGGGGTAAACAAGTTATCTCAATCTAGACAAGAAAAATGGATATTGAAATAATGAAAATAAATAGCATTCAAATAACTGAACTGCGCTACTCTACTGACCATGGCTCATCCTGAATTCGCATAAACGGCGCCATATCAACCTGTTGACCCTGTTCTCTCTTCAACTCCGACCTAGTTCGGCCGTCCCCAAGATACGACCACATATTTTCCTCCTGATATTTAATGTCGTAGTCTTCAAAACGAGGGGTCTTGAGCGTCTTGATCATATGAAGCATACTTCCAGACCACAGCTGGATCCGTTCGTTATACTTCATCCATGACTGGCACGATTCGGCCCAGACCGAATGCCCATCGTGCCAAGTGTCCACATGCTGGCGCCATTGTGTCGTCACGCTTTGCTTGGGTGTCAAAGAATGCAGATTCTCGTTGCTGATCTTGGCGGCGCATTGAACTGCATATTCGGCTTGGACTTCGTGCTGTTGGGATTAGAGTGTCAGTTTTGCTTCTCATCAGAGTCGAATCCGAACAGGTTTCGCATACAGTAATCAAAACAGAACCTTGAGCCCAGTTGCCGGTTGGTCCACCAATGAAGAAAAAGTTGGGGAAATTTGGTGTGGACATGCTGAGATAGATGTTGGGGGACTTCCCCAGTTAGCCTTCTTTCACCGCAGGTATATGTGTGGGGTGTTACTTTTGCCCATTCTTCGCGCATTGTCCGTCCATTTGAGCCAGTCACGGTGCTGCAGATGTCAGAATTATATACGACACTATGATGGAAACAAAAAGCTCACAAGTGAGGCGCGAAAGCAACGTCAAAACCAGTGGCGCAAATGATTAAGTCGAATTCGTGTTCTTTGCCCTCTGCGGTTTGGAGGCCCTTCTGGGTAAACCGCGCGATTTCATTCGTGATGACTCGCACGTCTTCATTGTCAGCTGTTAGCACAATGCGATCGAATATCCAGGAACCAAACTGACTATTTTCTGTCAACGCTTCCAGGAAGCCATCACCGGGCTGTCATGTCAGCTCACATACTTTACAAAAGCACCTTTAAAAACTTACAGTGGGCCTACGACATCCGGGCGAAAAGTCAGGCGTGAATAACTTGATAAGATCCTCTCGATCCGGTCCTACCCGTGCCTTGATCATTTGGGTGATCATTTCGATCGTCATATCATGCAAGGGGTGATTACGCAGGAAGATCGGGAATCTCTCCTGCATAACTCCATCAACGGCTTTACGGTACTGCAAAAAGCGCGCGGGATCGGTGCGGAATACTTCCTTCTCGTCTTCGGTAAAGAAATGCTTCCCGGCCGGTGCAGGCGGGGCTGACTTGTCGGGTTCATCAGGAAAAAGGCGTAGGTCTTGCAATGCAGCTGGCGGCACAATCCATTGCGTCGAACGAACGAATACCGAAAGGGATTTGGCTTCTGATGGATTGAGGTAAGTACGAAGGTCATAATGGAGACATATTTAAGATATATACCTTTGACAATTTCGGGAATGATTTGAATCCCGGACGAACCGGTCCCAATGACCGCTACTCGTTTGTTTTTCCAGTCAATGGAGGAGTCCCAGTTAGCTGTGTGGGTAAGGATACCACGATAATCATGGATGCCGTCAATTTTAGGCCCTGTAGGGATTAGCATCGAAAGCAGTGACAACATGAGACACATACATTTCCATCGATTTAATGGCCCTGAACCATTGATGAGAACATGGCATCGATCCTGAAAGTGAGTGCCATCTTTGCGCTGTAGTTCCAATCGCCCTAAATAAATGAGTTATTGTGGACTATAGTTGATGAAAGGAGGACGCACATTCGCCATCATGTTCACACCAAGTAGCCTGGACTACTTCCGTTTCAAATTGAATGCAATCGTATAGATTATGCTTTTTAGCAAAGTTGACGAAATACTGCTGGATCTCCTGTCCACCTGCATAATATCCATTCCATTCCGGGTTGGGTTCGAAGGTAAAGGCATACGAATGAGACGGAACATCACAACCCACTCCTGGATATCTGATTCATTGATAATGTTAGAATAATATTTTTCTCCTTTCAATTGGAATTCTTTCAAGTGGGAAGAAGAAAGAGAAAGAGAGCGAAAACAACGTACCTGTTTTCAAACCAGGTTCCTCCTACTTGGGTGTTTCTACAAATATGTCAGTACTACATACATCAAGGGCAACAAGATGGCCGCGTACTTCTCATAAACAGTCAGTTCGTAGTTGGATAAAATATTCTTTGCCTTGTAAGCCGTCATCAAACCGGCTGCACCGGCACCAACATGAACAATTTTGAGCCGCCGTGGCTCAGAGTGGCATTTTTCGACATAATTGTTAGATATGGAACCCATGGTGAATGATTGATGGTGGATTGTAATTGTCATGGGCCCAATCGCTTATATCTATGTATTTTCTTTCGGATTGTGGTCTGACTATCTGACATGACTGTCATCCTTTCTGACCTGACATGCATCCTTGCCGTCTAGCCGAATCTAACTAACATACCACCTGGTCAGGTCTAAGCCCTCGGCCAGGCACACCCGTTAGATGCGGTCTCCACACGAGCTTCGAATTGAAGGAGAAATCCCTCGTAATTTGGTGGCATGATACTGCTCTATTGTCGTTTTTTGGCCCTCTTCAGCGTCAAGGTTAGAAATGTCATCCTGGAGATATAAATACTAGACTGGCCCACGGAATAAAGGAACCGGTAACAAATACATCTAATCGGAGTAATCTAAGCCAACCCCTGCCGATCGACATGCATGTGCAAGGAACCATGGCTGCATCTCCCCTGCTCCTTCTCCTTGGAGCTCTCTCCTTTATCTCTCGAGTAGCCGCCTCTAACTACTCCGCTCTTCTCTCCAACCTTTCCTCGTCCACAGAGGTTTACTATCCTAGCGATGCCAATTGGACCGACACCGTCCAGCGATGGACCGCTTGGGATGAACCCTCCTTCGCTCTGGCCATTAAGCCTGCCTCTGTTGCTGACCTGCAGACGATTGTAAGTTTTCACTCTCCACGTATCCCCTCGCCTATCTGACCATATGATATGGTAGGTCAAATATTCTTCCGAGTATAATGTCTCATTTTTGGCTAGTGGCGGAGGCCATGGATACAGTACATCTTTCGGGGACCTTCAAAATGGTCTCAAGATTGACCTCGGCCTGTTCAACGGCGTTACTATTGATACAAATCGGAACACTATGACCATTGGTGGCTCTGTTAAATTCTCTCAAGTTGTTGGACCTCTCTTCAAAGCTGGGAAGGAGATTCGTAAGTACCTACCTCATACGTTGTGCTTGACATCTTCTCTAACGCTCCTCTCATAGAAATTGGGTCCTGTCCTTGCGTGGGGATGGTGGGTGCTACCCTCGGTGGTGGTGTTGGTAGATTCCAAGGCCTGCACGGTCTTATTCTCGATGCTTTGGAGTCGGTTAAGCTCATCACTGCCGCTGGCGATCTCATCACCGTCTCTGCCTCGGAGAACAAAGATCTCTTCTGGGGCCTTCGTGGCGCTGGTTTCAACTATGGCATCGTCACCTCGGCCACATACAACATTTACGATCTGGTCAACGACGGCAATGTGCTCAACGCCGACTTCATGTTCCCGGCCAGCGTTAATGAGACCTATTTCAACATTCTGGCTAGTTATGAAACCTTGCCTGCCGGTTTGTCCTTGTATACTTTGGTTATGAATGCCCCTTCCGTTGGAGTAAGTTCTCTTCGACTCAGATAAACATTATTTCCGTCTGACACATTCCATTTAGCCCGTTATCCTCCTGAATGCCGTCTACCCCGGTCCCAAGCAAGAGGGACTCGACCTAATTGCTCCTTTTCTCAACCTGACCTCTATTCAACGCAACATCACCATGGTCAACTGGGACGTAGTTGATTACGCCGCCGGTTTTGGACTGGGCACGGCATTTTGTGTCAACGGCGAAAAGCACGATATGTGGTCCGTCGGCGTACGCTCCATCGATGCAACGACACACATTGATTACTTTAACAAGCTCGTTCAGTTCTGGAATGAGTATCCCGCCGCGTCGGGAAGTACCTGGCAGGTCGAGTACTTCCCTATCCAGGCCATCACTGCTATTGCAGATGACTCCACTGCCTATCCTCATCGCCAAATTACCGCACATGAGTATGCCTTCTCCCCTCTTTACATGTCCATGCAAATCTACGTATCCATCTAACGCCTATCTAGAATGTTTTCATTTAACATTACCGATAGCTCCATCGGCGATAAGGTAGACGACTTTGCCCTTGCCGCTGTTGAGGCCTTTAATGCGACCAGTGGATTTGATGACCTGCGCATCTATGTCAGCTATGCCCATGGCACGGAGGGATTGAATCCCATGTATGGCGCCGAGAAGCTGCCTCGGTTATTGAAGCTGAAAAAGAAGTGGGATCCCAAGGGCTTGTTCAGCTACAATAATGGATTGCCCCACTGAGGTCTAATTGTCCTTCTTGACAAATACAAACAAGCCTGCGGGGAATTATCTGTACTTTATATCTTAGAATAAGTGAAACGATCATTGAAATATATTGTTGTTATATCTTGCCAGGAAAATGGTTATGATGCTCATCAGGTCGGGTTGCACTGGCTTTTGAATGTCCACAGTAGATCTGGGATATATTCTCGTTTCTCGTTTTCAAGACGTGTTAGTTTGAGAGTGAACATATCTTACCATATTGGAAGGGCCAATTATTTTGGGAACAGATTCAATGAGGCATCAATGATGAATACCTCCTCTGAGAAGGAAATATATATAGAGACACTGACATTCTGCATAAACAGGGAGATATCGAAGCCTCAGGCACTAAGTACCAGTCTTCTAAGAACATTCTTGAGATCCAACGGTCCAATGTGGCGTAGATTACTTGCGAGCGCGTGGAGCCCTTATATATCTCAGATCTATTAGGGAAGCTTTCTATTTCTAGCTTTGTAATGAGGGGCATTAATTGATGGGCCATATTCGAAGACGAGGGTACCATTTGCCGCAATCTAAAACCGTTACATTGACATCACTAGAAAAAAGTGCGAGAGTCAGACCTCCTTTTTCCTGTAATCTACCTTAAACCCGTCGGTACCTTAAGCCCGTTCGTAGGACCGAGAGTATGACTACCTGACCTGTCAGACACCCCTGTCACCTGGGCATGCCCCCTGTGCTTAGCTTTCGACGTGAATGCAAGGTGGGAACGGCACCTTCCGTTCTGCGGAGATCGTGCTAACTCCGAGTTGGCCAATCACAGCGTGGAACAGCACCGTCGAGCTCCACCCTATCTAGATTGTATAACGAAGTATACAACAGGCCATCAGAGAGAAAAGAATATTTATATCCGTGATTGATACGCTTTTCTTTTCATTTCCTTCCCTCCCATCCTCCATCTTCATCCCTCTCAAGCCTGCAAAATGCCTTTCTATAACACTTACCCGGGCTTCCTTTATCGCCAGTTCCTGGTTTGCCCTTCTAAGGCCCCGTCCACCACCTCCCTTCGCGGTAAGGCGGGTATTGTGACTGGGTCCAACACTGGATTGGGTTATCAAGCCTCGGCCCAGCTTCTCGGGCTCGGACTATCCCATCTGATTTTGGCTGTCCGCAGCATTTCTAAGGGCGAAGCTGCACGGAAATCCCTTCTCGCTTCACTCCCCGCTTCGGCCAAACCCCCGGTGGTTGAGGTCTGGGAGTTGGACCTGGGCAGCTACCCCAGTATCATCGCGTTTGTCGACCGCCTTAAGCGCTCCGAGATGCTGATTGACTTTGCTCTTCTCAATGCCGGTGTTGCCAACTTCAACTTCACCGTCAACCAACCCACCACGCACGAGTCAAGTATTCAAATCAATTGGCTGAGCACCGCTCTTCTAACGCTACTATTGCTGCCTGAGCTCGATCGTCAAGCTGCCAACAACCTCAATCGCGCTCGCCCAGTGATTTCCATTGTCGGTAGCGAAACAGCCGCCTGGGCCAAGTTCCCCGAAGCCCAGGTGTCCACTAAGCAGGGAATCCCACTCATCAATGTGTTGGATGACAAGAGCCACTTTGACATGGGCGATCGGTACTATACCTCCAAGCTGCTCTATCAGCTCTTCTTCCTCGAATTGTTCGGCAAACGGTCCAGTGCCAAGCGCTCCACGGGCACCATTCTCAACTTGGTTAACCCCGGATTCTGCTATGGCTCTGAGTTGCATCGTACGGCCGAGGGTGCCTTTGGTAAGGTCCTTGGTGGCATGAAGAGAGTCATCGGTCGCTCTGTCTCTATGGGTGCCCGTACACTGGTTCATTCATCGGTGCTGGCCGGTGAACCTTCCAATGGCAAGTATATGAGTGACAACAAGCCAGCTCCATTTGCTGGATACGGAGACAGTGATTCTGGTAGAATCATACAGACTCAGGTCTGGAGGGAGACATTGTCTGAGTTGGGCCCGGTGGCGGACATTGACAAGCTGCTGTCGGAGATTTAATTGATTCCCGAGATGACTTTTTCCTTTTCTTTTTCCTTTTCTTTTTCCTTTTCTTTTTCCTTTTTTCTTTTTGATCTCTTGTTTCTTGCTTTTTTGTCATGCTTGAAGCCTCTGCTGACGTTAGTAACATTCCCCATTGTTTGGTGTGTTTACCTAGGTACTAGTTATAGTTTTAAATGAGAAAGAGTGCACCTGATCAAACATCGCAAACAATGAATCCATGGACCTATCCATACCTTTCCACGGTTGCTGACTAACATTAAGGTTCCCTAATCCTGCTTAGGTCCCCTTATCCCGAGGTCGGGTCTAACTAGGGGAAATCTGACTACGTACTTGATTGCAGCCCCCTAAATGACTATAATTGATGATTGTCTTCCGTCGTGAGCAGCCGGCATCATGGCTTCAACCTCAGTCGATGCGATCGCCCCATCCCAACTATTACATTATCTGCCTACGTATCGGGTGCTGATCTGTCTACGTTGCAGCTACGCGATTCAGCCTGGTGCAGTCGCTCGCCATCTCAAAGAAATCCATCATCTTCATCATTTATCGCGTCGACCCTTTGTCGACTATGCCTCAGGATTTGAACTGAGCCAACCCAGTGATGTCGTCTTGCCCGATGAAACCCAGTTTCCAGTGCCTTTACTGCCTGTCCAAAATGGGCTAGCCTGCTCCTTTGCAAGCTGCGCTCATCTTTGTGTCACCACCAAGCGCATGAAGCAGCACTGGATGTCTGTACATCACATCTCTGCCTCAGATAATGGAGGCTTCTGGGATCTTGTGCCGCTGCAGACATTTTTCCGGGGAAATGCTCTCCGCTACTTTACTAACCCGGCGTTATTGATTTCGTCGTCTTCTTCTGACAAATCCGATGGGCTGACAAACACGGTAAGTAGATCGATAGCCATTACCCACAATCGGCCTTGCTGATTATCCCTCCAGACTGCGACAACCCCGGCTTCAAGCGGGAATCGAGAAACGAGTCCTTATCCAACATTGGTCACAAGCGACACAGGCCTACTAGACAATTATCGGAACTACACCTACAAAACCCTCTCATGCGGCCCCGAGACAGATGATGCGTTTCGAATCATTGTCCCACAGCTAGCCACCCAGTTTCCCTTCTTACTGCATGGCATCCTGTCCTGTTCTTCGCTCCACCTTGCTTCTATCGACCCCACAAATAGAGCGCATTATACGATCCAGTCAATCCGACACGCAGACCAAGCGGCTCCTGCATTCCGATGGGCAACTATGAATGTGGATAGCAATAACAGTCAGGCGGTGCTGGCTTTTGCATTTTTCCTCGTCGTCTACGCCCTAGGCTCAGAGTCTAACGACCAACCATTGTTTCTGAGCAAAGAGAATAACCAGGGAGAAGATGACCCTTCCTTGGAGTGGATTGAGATCCTCCGTAACGGCTGCTCCATGCTCTGCCCCGTCTGGATGGAGCTCAAAGCTAGTCCATTGGCACCGTTTACGGCGCTTTGGCGGGCCGATCTCGGCGTCACTACCGATCCTAACGACCCTCTACTAATTACACTACTCTCCGTCATTCCAGAATATGAATCCGAATCGACTGAATACTATATATACCGCGATTCCGCGGTCAAATTGACACACGCCTTTGCGTTTATTGAACGGTGCGGGTCACCGTCAACTATCTGGGATGTTCTTAATTCATGGCCAATGCACGTTTTGCCGGAGTATCTGACCCTACTGAAACATAACGATCCAGGCGCTTTGCTGCTGTTGGCCTACTATGCTATCCTTCTGCAGCCGTTTCGGGAACAATGGTTCCTGAAAGGCCGAGTCGTGAAGTTGATAGATGAAATTGCGCGACGACTAAATGGGAATTGCCCGCCACTGATTTGGGAAGTGTTTTCTATGATGCAGCAGGAACACTTTGCGAGAGAGTTTATATAATTTAGGTGCTTTTGGTGTGATTGATTATATTGTTTTTACAAAGTTCACATGATACCTATTGTTTTAGTTCATCAGAATCAACACCCTGCATGACTATAGCCTTGCTAGCCTTGTACGGGCTGATATGTAATAGATTTTATGCTGAAATTATGGGAGATTGTAAACGGAAATGGAATACGAAAAGCTGTAAGGTATTGGTTGCGATGGTGCAACATCTGTGAAAATTTGTATAGGAGACCTCTACAGGAACGGAAGCACATGTGCGGAAAGCCAGGACCAATACTGTTGGGATTAATAGTGAAAAGAGACATGAAGTTGGGAGAGGTGAACTAATCTACAAAGACCTAGACTGGGCCTCAGACATACACAGACACCACGTGGTCTAACGAAAGACATCTGGTGAGGGAAAATATATATACTCTAAACAAGAAGGTATATTAATAGTAATCCCTTTCCGTGAAGATTATCTAGCAGAGTAATCATACCTGTAGACTAGTGCGCAATGCTACCACGCTGTCGTGTTTTAAGGTTACTAGATAAGGACATAAGGACCTCGGGAACTTAAAACGACCTTGGAAACATTCAATGTTTCTACAACACCTGGGCATATAAGCGAGCTGACTACAACATACCTACTAGGTTGGTATGAGCCGGTGAGATTATAAGGAAAGTGCCAGGGGGAGATGCATTTTAGCTTTGGGCCTGGGCACAGGTTGCGCCGTGCACTAGATCATGATTGACTTCATTCTGCGAACCAGTAAACATGCTGAGGACTGTCCAGAGAAGCATCAAGTGTAGAACCGAGATTGCGGGATTTTCACCCGCGACCCATTCGGATCTTCGTCATCTTACCCCTCCCCCGTCATCCCGGGGGCGGGGCGGGGCCCCTGAGCCCTCGTGGTATGCAGAGCTAATGCAAAATAAACACGACAGATGCACCTCGGTTTCCACCCGGACTTAGGACATTTAAAAGATAGTAATATATACGACGTTACGTGTAAACACGCGTAATCTATGGTATTATAGGTGTAACAGCATGTATATACCAAGTATGTATTCTCCGGATACGAGGTCTCAACTCAATATGGCCCCCAATCCTACATTGCTACATGAAAGCGCCAAGGTACTACCCTCCGCGATTGAATCCAGTAAAAACCCAGGGATAACCAGGTGCGCCGGATTGACACCAGACGGAACCATGAGCCTATTTCCCTTTCAGATCATGAAAGCTTGGCTCTAGAGGCCGCCAATCGTATCAGTCACATCGCATCACATCCTTGTCACCTCGTTTATTATAGTCCGAGTGGGCGGAGAAAACTGCAGAAACGCCTTCCGTTGCTCCAATTAGCCTAACACTGTAGACTTATAGAAGTGCAGAAGACGTAGAGAGAACATAGCCTCCTGAGCTAGACAAACTAGGTCAAGTGTTATGCGGGGAAAATGGGCCCAAGCGTAAACGTGGGAGTCTGCAGTAGCAGGCGTCGAGTGCCCAGGTGAGTGCCGTGCTGACTGCATCCACCGCCCCCGTTCTGGCTTAGCTCGTATATGCCATCGAGCCAATGTCAGCTGCAATGAACCTGTTAGTATTGGGTGATCTCGAGTGGTTATGTGATTGGTTCGGCTCTTTTGGTTTATTGCAATAGAATTTCCGCTATCTCGCATTCACTTTCCGTTATCTGACAGCTTACTCCGTATCTGTGGTGTCCGAGGCACTCGCCAAGAGTTCATGTGTGCCCTACTTTACTATTTTTATTGCCTTGCGGTCTTCGTATAACAAGCCATCTCTCTTATACTAGTACATCCATGGATGCTACTCGTTCTTACATAATATCTGAACGTTATCCGATAGAGGGATATTAGTAGAAACCGCTTTAGCGGCTATAGGCTCTCTAGATGTATAATTGCGGTACCACTATATAGATTGATAATGCGCTACAGTAGCCTAGACAATTTAACTCTAGGAGTATACAGAGCCATGTATTTACTAGTAGTAATTTAGTACATAATTGGTATATAGTGGTGTGTCCGTTAGAATTTCGTAGGCATAGATACCGCATTTTTCATCTCAAAACATCTGATATAATCAATTATACCACGAATAATTACATTTCAGAACCTAATACATTTTATATAAGCGAAAGCTAGGGCCCCGGGGGCCTGGCGCAACCCACTGAGCATTGGCCAAGACCCCCACCCCCTGGTGTATTGACCTAGCCGGAACGGGATGTGTGGGTTTGGACGTGCAGAACGGCAGCAGGGGTTATGATCCTGCAAAAGTCCAGGTACGATGGCCAATACAGGAAAGCTATTTATAAGGTACAAGGAATTATCATTCAAGAATGGTCTTCGACAATCCGTCTACTTCGCATAAGGTTCGATCATCTTCACTGTTCTTTTTAATCATATCGTTCACCTCCCAACAATGGCTTCAATGACTTCAATTGATGAAATCATCGATCAGGAGGACTGGAGACAAATATCTGAGCCAGCTTTGCGCAAACGAATCCAAAACCGGATCTCACAACGCAAGCTTCGTATGTTTTTTCAGTTCGCTCAGCCAGACAAGATTTCACCAACTAACCTAACTCAATAACAGGCGCAAAGAGGAAACAGCAAAACAAGCCAATGCTCTTCGACATTGACGCTTCAACGCCCGCCATGGATATCAATCCTGAGTTGTCTACACTCTTTGCCACAGGCAATTCAACGCGGGAACCGTTTTTAGATCCCATGGACGCTTCATATCCTTCCATCGACCTCGAATGGCCGGAAAACTTTAATATAAACACTCCCCCGCTCTTAGACGCTACTATCCCTTGGAGCCCAGACGAAATAGCAGCGAACATGCCATCATGGACGACAGACACAGAAGCCGGCTACTTCGACCATGACCCTCTACCAGCTGATCTCCATTTAATGTCCGATGACGATCCAACCCCCTTGGACCCGAATAGTATCTCAAACATAGATACAATGGCCTCTCCGCGGTCTCGGCACCCCCGAAAATTCAAAGCCGGAGAGGTAGTTATCAACATCGCTAAACCCAGACTATACAATCCCCGTTCTGGCTCAGTGGCATCTTCTTCCTTGACCTCATCTGAAGAGTCAACGTCAGGAAGGTCCTGTCCAGTAAAATGGAGTACCCGAATTTTATCTCGCGGCTTCGAAACCGGATGTTCCCTTAGAAGCAGTGACACGACACGAAAGCAATCTTTTCGTCCCTGGAAAAAATGCACCACTACCAAAGTCACGCCAGCGGATGAGTCGTATCAATTTTCTTCGCGTGAAGATATAGTGGAATGCACCAATTGTGGGTGCCACATGGCTGTGCGGGAAACGCCTCGACCAAGCCAGAAGGAGCTAGTAGAGATGCTGTTTGAGCGCAATCCGGCATTGGCTGAGTTGGCGAAGCAGCCGAATGTTCGCATCGAATATGGATTACCGCCATCGTCAAGACATGACAGCACACGGCATGATCCATCAGTTGACTTAGAGATGGAAGATCAAGAAAAGGGGGTGGAAAGTGAACAAGAGTATATTGTAATATATACCGGACATGAGCGACCTCGTGATTAAGCTGTTCCATTCTGTCGATTATATATGCACATATGGTCATCGGTGCCTTGGTTTTCATGCTGCAACACGCGTGTTCAGATCTCATAATTCTTCAATACATTCTCTCGCCTCGATCTGGTTCCTGAGTCTGTAGAGCATCAACACATACATGCTTACGTACATTTTCAGCTATACCAAGACAGTCCTGCAAAGGATAAATCAATTGGCAACGCCACTTTCTGACCCTGACTGCAGGTGGCTTCAAGCTGACTTGTGGCATCTAATACCGCTTGGTCCAACATGCATATTTAACAATAGTCAAAACGCACCTAAAATCTTACCACCATTGGCATCGTCTTTATCATCATTATGGACATCAACGGATATGCTCTCGTTACCGGTGCAGGCAGCGGAATAGGTCGGGCCTGCGCACTGGCTTTTGCTCTTGAAGGAGCCGCTGGCGTTGTGTTTGCCGATTTGAACTCGGAGAGCGCCCATGCAGCAGCCGAAGAAAGCAAGAAGCTAGCAACAAACGCTGAATACCGAGCTTTAGTGTTGATCCTCGACGTGACCAATGAGGAGCAGGTGGAATCAGTTGTGGCAAAGACGAAGCAGTCGTTTGGAAGAATCGATTACATGGTGAATTCGGCCGGAGTATGACTTTTCACTTTCCTTTTCTATCTTCATCTGCTTGCTGCTTTCTTTCTTTTTTCCTCGACTCTAATGGCTATATGTAGATTGGTGTACAAGCCGCAGCGGAGATCGCAGAAGCGTCTCTAGCGGAATTTACCCGCTTCCTCGACGTGAATGTCAAAGGATCCTTCCTCCTCACCAAGATCGTATCTAGCGCAATGAAAGAGCAAGAGGCGAAGGCTGTCAGCTCTACAAATGCCCAAAGGGGTTTTATTCGTGGTGTTATTCTTAACATGGCCTCCTGTTCATCATTTGTAGCGACGCCTTTGTTGACGCAGTATACCACATCTAAGCATGCTGTTCTTGGATTGACCCGAAATGCCGGTAAGTCTGACCCTATCCTAAGAAACAGAAAGAGGAGAGGTGTGATTCTGACAGAAGCTAAGCATTGGATAACGCGAAGTACAACATCCGTGTCAACTGTCTGTGTCCGTCGTGGGTTGATACCCCTATGGTGGATCGCGCGGTGCAGGGGAATCCAGAACTGAAAGTACTGATTGCAAAGGCCGTGCCAATGGGGAGAATTGCACAGGTGGACGAGATAACCGATTTGATTATGTTTCTATGCAGTCCCAGAGCAAGTTATGTCACGGGTAGTAGTTGGATTGTTGATGGAGGGACTACTCTGACAAGTCATGCCTGATCTGTCCCTCATGTGATTGTCAGATGGAAGTGTCAGACTGCAGTGTCAGATGTCATACAAGTACATACGTATATACATATATAAGACGGATATGTACATGCTTTCAGATCCAACACATCGAACATTCCATATCAACACAAGCATTCCATCATGACCACCACTGCTGCCATCAACTTCATCACCGACGGCTTCCCGGCACCGGGTCTGCGCCCGACTCAACGTCTCATCACTGGCAACAAAGAGGAAGACGGCAAAGGCTATTTCCTCGTCACCGACAATGGCGACCACCACCGCGTCATGGGCGAGAACCAGGCCGTCGCCAACATTATCTACTCGACAAATGAGAACCCTGTCGATCTCAACGATGACAAAGATATCAAGTATGCCCAGGAGAACGAGGTAAGTCTGACCCTTCGAGCATATAGTTTTCGGCTTTCCCACGAACGTAAGGCTAACCAGAAGAAAAAGCCCGGTCTCCACATCACTAACGGCACGGTGGTGCGAATGATCGATTTTGGCCCTGGGGTAGAGTCACCCATGCACCGGGCCATGTCAATCGACTATGGCATTGTGCTGGAGGGTGAATTTGAGTTGACACTAGACTCGGGCGAGACACGCATCATGAAGCGCGGTGATGTAAGTGTGCAGCGGGCGACAGCGCACAAGTGGAAGAATATCACTGCTGGAGAGACAGAGGCTGGGCGGATGTTGTATGTCTTGCTTGATTGTAAGGAGGTCCTGGTGCAGGGCAAGAAAATCGAAGGATTTTTGGGCGAGTTGGAGAAAGAGTATGAAGGAAGAAGTGCATGATTTGGTTGTTAGTAGAAATCGATCTAAAGATTTTATGAGAAACACATCTCCACACTCCACACTCAATCTAAGCGACTAGGCTTATATCTCAAGAATATTCCTTTGGAGACAGGTGACTAGTGCCTCATGCTGCATCATACAATGGAAACCCATCCGAGATACTGCAGTTTCTCAAGTTATGAGGCTAGCTCTAATATTTTCAGGTCTTACTACTCTTATCTGGTATGGTAAAATGATGTATGTACAAGAGCATAAAGATGAACTTAGGTAGAGATCGCCCTCTTAGTTCGATCTAAGACTCAGGAGCACCATCCCCCACCTGACTTCCAGTGGTATAGTTACCAAAGCATGCCTTCTGGAACTGGGCCTTGTCCTTCAGAGTGGGCACGCCACGCAAGAACTTATCGAGGCGGCAAAAACCATTGCTGGAATCCTCACAACCGACAAGTCCATCTTGTGGGAGAGGCGCATTGTTGAGCACAAAACGAATGTACTCCGTGGTGTTGGCAGCCGACTTGATGCTAGGGTTGGTGTAGAGAACAGGGTCCAAATAATCGAATGACACGTCACGAGGGCAAGTCCAGATCTCAGATATGAATCGGGCACCAAATGGTGTCATCTGGCTGAGAGAGAAGTTGCGCTCAGGCGCATGGTCAATGTCAACGGGCAAACCCTTGGGACCGTACTTGAAGTAGTCGAGACCAAGGGCGTTGATCACGGACAAGATGATATCGTCGTGAGACATGTCCATGTAGAAAGGCTGACCGAATGGAAACTGGGCTTCGTTATTGGTGTATGTGTAGTTGATGCTTGTATCGCTTGAGGTGATGAGCTTTTGCTCGAGGCGAGCGGCGAGCTCTAGGACGTAGCCGATGCCCTGGGCGCGACCACTAGGCGAGCCGTAGGCGTAGTCTCCATAGTACTGCACGTCGATATTGTACTCGAAGTCCTTCCATTCTTGCTCGGTGAAAAGAGAGCAGAATGAGGAGCCGCCAAGACTGGTATACTCGTATACACAGAGGTTCTGCATGGCGAGCACATCCATCGCCGTGAGATTGAAGCCGGGAGGGAAATAGGACGACAGACGTGTGCGAGCATTCTTTGTGTATCGAGAAATGAAGATCTTGGCAGCGTTGTCGCTGTGATTTTTATCAATACGGTTTCATGATTAGCCATTCATTGTTGGAGGACTTTGCGCTCACCCTTCAGAATAATCAAACGTACAGGTTTCGTAAGAAGCGAGAGTGTTGTTGAAACCAGCCTGCTCGGGAATCACAACAAGATTATACTGGTCGTAAGAGCTGTTGGCTCCACTGTTGCCAAAGAAGCCGCCTAGTCGAAGAGGTTAGCTGGGTATCTAGGACTGATGAATGAGACGAGTTCCACTCACTGAGCCACCAACGTGCGCTTTCCAAAATACGTCCCTGGGAGGTAGTGCGAAACACCGGCGTCGGGCGGTCTGTGCCGTTGGCGTAAACGTTAAGAGATGAGCTCCAAGCAGCCACATTCTCACGCCCGGCACGGTACAACAGTCTTCCGTACTTAATCCAAAAGTTGGCACCGGATGTAGCCTCAGTGGCAGCACCATTTTCCATAAGAGTGTCCTCGCCAATAACATAGTCCCAGTTGTTCAGGAACTTCAAAGGACCCACAGCCACGGTTTCATCTGGTTTAGTCTTGCTGTAATTGGTCAACTTGGCTGCGAAGTTGGTCATTCCCTCGCCGTCCAACGGGTAATCCGTGGGGAATCGCTGCGCATGGCGATGCAGAACATGCACCTGAGACAGTTCACATCCTTGCGGCACACCACTAGGAACGCTGAAGCTCTCTGCGTCTTTATAGGGGCTAAGATTGGCCCAGCTCCTCGTCATGTCAAAACCAGAGGCATAGCTAGATCCAGTTGGGCCCGATGCAGGAACAGACGTGCGAGTCGCTGTGGCTGTAACAGCAGCTGTCAAGAACGTGGCTGCGATGAAGTTCTTCATGGCTGATCGAAACCCCTTTCTTGTGGGGTAGTCCAGGGGTGGTTCCACGGCTTACCTCAACCTCTCGTTCTCCGTCGGCGTTTGGAGATAGCCAATTGTACCTGATCCTTACCGCGTAGTTAAGTACACTAGATGTGACGCGACGGAACTGTCGACTTGTTTATTCGATAAACAGTCGAAATGAATTCTGCAATTAGCTTTCGGGGGATCGTTGTTCCGCATAATTTGTTTGAGAGTCCGTGATTGGCGTTATCTCTCTTTCCTTCCTTTTGGCCCCCAACCGCCAGTGCGCCATATCAGATTTTGCCGGCGGTATACTTCGTAATATGAGTATTTTATGCATGTGAATATATGTCACGCCAATTCAATGTTCTCTGTATAAGTTCAAAATCGAATCCCAATTGTCAATGATTAAATTCTAGAGTTGCCTCATATGCCTGCCTGCTATGGGTCTCCAACAGTATACGAGGCCCAGAGCACCACAATTATATGTACCCGTTTACGTCTATGGAGTACTCTATATCATATTCAGTTTAGTCACCGACCACTTTCTATTCCTTTCATATCGCTGCTCGTCCTAGATTTCTTAATTTCCCCTGGGAATGGCAAAATCCCCTCAAGATATTGTTGGGGCTACGAGAACTGGGCAACTAGGAGAAAATCAAGAAGAAGAAGCTGCTGCATTCAATCTATCAAAAGAAAGGCCTTTTATAAAGGCCACGAAGAAAAAACTAGAAAAGCTCAGTCTGAAAAACTAGGCATTCATAGATCTATAGGAGATGGGATCATCCAACAGATATAGCAAGTTTACCACGAAGAAGGAGTGGCAGTCGCGTAGGTGCCCTGAACAGTGGTGGGAGCGCACTTGCCGGGCAGCGCGAGCACGGCAGAAGAGCCCCAGGATGGTGGCACGGAACCGTTGCGTCTGGCAACGGCCGTCAAGAAGGAAGCGTAAGACCAGGTGAGATCGGGAGCAGATTTCTGGACGCCGGTGTCGCGCTCGTATTCTTCCGACAGGCCACCATCCGCGGGAGTGTACTCTTGCACGACTGATATGAAGCCGTCCGCGTATGTTCTGACAGCGCTAGTGATAGTCTTGTAGGTTGGAGATGACTTGGGGTAGACGCCAGTGTGGACAGTGGCCACGAGGTCTCGGAAGAATGGCAGGGAGAGCTTGGTGACGGTGAGGGAACCCTGTCGGTCCCACTGGTACAGAGCATCGTAAAGCTGCTCAGCGGCCGCAAGGGTGGCGAGGTACCTGTTCAGTGTTAGCAAGTCAAAATTCCAAATGAAGGTATGTCCGTGCCATAATACGTACCAAGGGTTGCCGCCCATAAAGATGTCCTCGGTGTATCTACCCACAGCGGCTGCCTTGCCGGTGGTTCTGCCCTTGTTGATGCCGTAGGCGGAACGGAATCCGTCAATTAGTACCTTGTGATTGGCCAATGCACGGGCGGAGCAGGGCTGGAAGGTGAGATCGTCACATGCAGCGGCGGGGTCGAAGGTGGCGATGGAGGCGAGAACGGAGTTGATATCAATGCCACTGCGACCGTTGGTAGGCGTGTTCGAGACCACCACTGTGCCGTTCCAGAAGTCCTGGAGATGACACAAGATTTGCGGTGCCACGGTGCAAGCGGTACAGGACTTGCCTAGGGCGGTCGCCAAGGCTTTGCCCTCAACTAGGGCCTTGTGCTGGACAGCGGTGGTGAAGAAAGAGGTGCCCTTCACCTCCTCCCACAGGTCGAATCCAGACTGGTTCCAGTACTGGCCGACGTATGCCAGATCGTTGCTGACAATAGGCCAGATGTTCTCCAACACCTTGGCCTTCTGGCCTTTAGCAAGCAGATGGTTGCCATACGCGATCAGGGCCGATGCACGCAGGGCAGGGCCATCGGGCTGGGGACGGCCCCAAGGCTCATTGAAAGCAGTGACATCGATGTTGTATTTGGGCTCACCGAGGCCAGCGCCGTCCGACAGGTCGCCTGACAGGTTACTGACAGTCTGCATCTTAGCCGTCGTGGTGATGTATTGCTGGATGAGCTCCTCGAGGGACGAGTTGCCTGAGAGGAACTCGTGGATAAGGGACATCACAGTCAACGCGGTGTCACGCGTCCAGGTGTAGATGTCTGAAATTCATCGATGTCAGCTTCCATGACCCGTTCTTTGCGTATCTAAAATAGAAAAAACATACAAGGGGGGTCTATCTCAGAGTTTCCGGCGATAGCAACACCCGGTGCCGCTCCCCGAGAGAGGTTGCCATTGGGGCCGAAGTTGTTGAGGACTCCCTGAAGGGCAATTGCTTTCTCATTGTGGACGAAGGTATCGAGGTCGACCTCCCTTGCGTGCACGGCGGGAGCTGGAGATGCCACAACTACACCGGCAAGCGCATTGAGGGCAATGATGGACTTGAGCTGCATGGTGACTGTAATTCCCAATAGGTTAACAGTGTTCGGAAGTGTTTATTTTGCTTGCTCTATTGAATTGAATTAGAGGTTATTGACCATTTATATAGTTAATATACGAATACTTCCAAGGTTGATTGCATAACTACCTAGGTATGATCACCCTTGTTTAATCCTGTTTGATGAGGAATTAAACAGACTGATCGCCAACACGAGGGTAGACGTGATTATAGAAGTGGACAAGATACTTATTAAGGTTCATATTTCACCGAGATTAGTCGGTTTCTCCTGACTATCCATGACATATGTCATAACAGCACAAGGTCTTATATTCGTTCACCGCTGTTATTGAGTTTGACAATGTTTGATGACTGGTGACCCTCCGCTCCATATATGTTGTACATCCTTACGTTGAGGCCGTAGGGAGAAGGTTGATTTCTCAAGGAAAACTATTAAATAGGAACTAGCGTGAACTAATACCAACAACCTTAGCTAGGTATAAGTAGAAGATTCAATAACAAAATGGGTGTGGTTTGTAAAAGCAGCAAGATGCTCAGCTACTTAACCCCTGCAGTCCTAAGCCTTTCACCAAGCGATGCCAAGGCGGTTGCTAGATACAGAAAGGGGATAGATGTCGTTTCCGGCTGACAAAAACTAAACCGGAGTCCACGGTCGAGACCTCGGGATTGGGATTCGGGGCGTCTTATCTCGGCCCGACTTCTCTCTATCCATGGATGACAGCCGTCTTCCCAGCCCCCTTACCCAGAGTGGGTCTCCGCAATACGAAGAATCAGGTACTTTTTGTATGTCGTTATCATACAAAAGGTACATGAACTAAACACCTTGTCTCATCGACGCTCTAACTATTTAAGGGAAGAGTACGGCTATTAATGAATAATAAAAGTATGGTTCAATTGATTTGCTACTAATATGAAGTTTAGATATCTAATATGGAGGATTGACGATCATATTCCAAAAAGCACCATACATAAGAGTTGTATATAGTAATATAAATCTTCGACACTTGTGGAAGACTTGATATTTCTTCCTAGGCCTAGTATTAATTAAAATGGACTTCCCTCACACTATATATGCACTACTATATGATCCCTAATTATCTCTCCATTTATGTACCTTTTGTATGGGCACGCCATATACCAGAATTTCTGCTTTGTGGGACGGACCCATACCTAAAAAAGTATGGGGCGGTAGGACGGCTAAGCGTATTTCCGACAGAAAGGGGATAAGTGTATTTCCGACAGAAACTAAACCAGAGACCTTGGGAATCACACCTGGGCACAGAACAAAGCAAAGGGGCCACTTTCTCGCACCTCACCATGTACTTTGCGCATTCAATTCTTAGTCCAGCTAAACCGAGGCATTCTAATGTTATAGTATCGGGGGCATGTTAGAATATGGTACCTACTAAAATTAAAGAAGTATCATATCAAGAAGTAATATTCTGAGCTCCCGGATTCTTTTCGTTAATATTATTATCTCAATAAAGTTCTCGTGTCGGATTTGAGGGTCCAATATTTAAAGCTCTACTCCATATACCACCTTTGAATCAATACCCTTGATAAATGCACGTGGTTCAACAAACAGACAAAGCAGGTACGTCTCTTGAAACTGAATTCATCTATGTTCTAATGAGGTCAGTCTGTAAGGAGGCAAGTATATGCATGGGCCGTCCTCTCCATAACAAATTGCCAATCTTACTATCTAGTTTTATGCCGTCTTCATCAAATCATGTACTGAGTCCCTTGGGTGGCTTAGTAGAGCTCCAATACATCCACATAAACTGGCGACCAAGCCATCGGCAGTCTTTTGGTCGAGTACATCCTGTGACGTGGCCAGCCGTATTTCTAGATCGTTGTCAGGGCTCGGAATCGAGTAGATGATAAACTCATTCGTTGTCTCCTCTGGATAGAAGTCGCGTCGTACCCCCACACATTGCCCCAGAGCAACTTCGCGTCGGGGGAGCATGTTCTGGTGAAGCACTAGAGATCCAAATTGAATGTCTTCAGACCAATTCGCGCACTCGTTTCGAATAGTGGAGAACCCTGTCGCCTCGTACCGAAGGGATTGGAGATGCTGTGATTGGACCTGGTGTAGGAGTTCGGTACCCGTGGTCTCTGAGAGGTTTGATAGTCTCACGCGCACGGGAATTGTATTCATACATGGTCCGACTACTGATTCGATGCCTGGGAACGCTCCAGATCGACCACTGACCACTTGACCGAAGACGATATCATCTCCTCCACGGAAAGTGGCGAGTGTTATCGCCCAAGCTGTTTTGATGACTGTAGCAAGGGTAATGCCACTGGGTGATTGGACTGAAGGGATCACCCGATGCGTCTTTACTAAACGTCCTGGATTGAGAGGGAGCTTTTGCTGAGTCACGTAAGTCATGGACGATTGTTTCAACAACTTGCGCCAGAACTGCAGTGCTTCGGCGGTAATCTGGGCATCGCAGTGTGCGCGATATTGGGAGAACGATGGAACGGCAGTCATCTGGCTAGAGTTCGCGTAAAGAGCCGCGAGATCGTCCCAGAGGGCAACGATGGACCCGCCATCGAAGTGACTGTGCGCAAACCGGAGAAGCAGAACATGTTGCTGGCCCTGTTTACTGGTTATCAGGCTGAAGCGGGCACCCCATTCGCCTAAGCGCAGTCGTTGAGTCTCTCCTGCGTATTCCCGTTGGACTAGGAGGTCCGTGACATTCTCCACGGCTGCGTCCTCATCGCAGATATGGACATCCAGGGAAATATGGCATTCTTGGAAGATCACTTGAAATAGTTCCCCACCATCTCTGTCCCGGTCCAATATGGTACGCAGCATACCGTGTCGCTCCACAAGTGCTCGACATGCCCTCGTAAGCTGGTCCATGTCCAGCGAACCATGCAAGTGGTACTGCATGTAGTCGAACGGCAAATCCATAAAGAATTCCTGCAGCTCTGTTGCTGGGACGATTGCTTCCAGAGTTCCTTCAGGCAAATTCGACAACTGGCTTGGGCTAACTGAAAGAAGAGATATTGGAGACACAACCGCCTCAATTTCGCCCAGGTTGGCGGCAAAATCCAACAGAGAGCCAGCCTGGAGAAGCTCAACAGAGTCAAGCTGGATGTTCAACTTTCGCGCTAGAGAGCAAATTTTCATCGCAGATAGAGAATCTCCGCCAAGTGCGAGGAAGCTAGCGTTCAAGTCAATTTCTTCTGGTACACCTCCTAGAACGGTGGCCACCAGGCGCTGAAACTCGGCGCCAAACTTGCAGCCAGAGAAATCAGCTGACTGATGCATATCGGACGAGACAGCACCGATGGTATAGAAGCGTCGATCCATGGGTGAGAGAGTGGCAGCTTCTTTCGATAACCGCTTGCGATCCATCTTCCCATTGGTTGTTAATGGAGCGGGTTGGGCTAGCGGAACCCACAAGGTAGGAATCATGAACCTGGGCAAGTGCTGCTGGGCATGCGTAAATGCCTTCTCCCGTATTTGCAGGAAGGCAGGCGGCAGTGACTTTTCTCGAATAAACAAATGCATGGGCTCATCTCCTGGATGGGCCAAATGTGAAGCCCATTCAATTCCATAAATGAATACAGCCAGGAATTCAGCTTGACCATTGGCAGCAGCCACGATACTGACGACCACATTATACCCCGCGGGAAGACTGTTGTGGATAGTGCGTTCGATCTCGCCTAGTTCGATGCGCTGACCATGCAACTTGACCTGGTCATCCTTGCGGCCGGCGATTTGGAATGACCCGTCGGGTTGAGAGCGGACTAAATCCCCCGTCCAGTAAAATCCGTGGCTGGAAGGCCCAAAGGGCGTTCTCCAGGGTGGGAGTGTTTGACTGAAGTTGCGGGCCGTGAGGTCTGGACGGGCTATGTATCCCCTTCCAACGATGGGACCTTCGATAACCAGCTCCCCAAGGGCCCCTATTGCAGCCAATCGATCTGGAAATTCTCTATCCACCACCCAGCAGCAACACTCCGTCGACGGGAGACCGATGTTGAGTGGATCCGAGTGCACACCAAGATCTGCATGGCCCATTGCATTAACTGCACACTCAGCCGGACCGTATCCCATGCTGAGGTGGACGTGGTTTGCCCAGGTCTCGAGATCCCCCGGAGTGGCCCGCTCACCACCGATCACAATGGTCTGCAGAGAGGACGGCTTTCTCGTGGGATCTAGTAAGCGGAGGACAGATGGAGTCATCATGGCAACGTTGGCTTGGAGATGATCGATCGCGGCGGCCATATCGCGCCGCTTGTCCGTCTCTGACGGGACGCAAACGCAGCCCCCGTAGAGTAGCGTTCCCATAATCTCCATCAGACTGACATCAAAGGCATGTGATGACCCTTGGAACATTCGAAGCTCAGGGGTATTGCGAAAGAGGCGTTGAAAGCCGCGTGCACTTGTGCAGAAGGCGGCATGCTCGATAACCACACCTTTGGGCCGACCGGTCGATCCAGATGTGAAAGCCACGTAAGCGGGACTTCGATGGGTCACAGTTGGTAGTGGAGTCATTTCAGGGTCTTCACCAGTCGACGACGGTACAACAACGACATGTTCACTGACATTTGCCATTCTATGGGATTGTTGTGGGCAGCATACTCCAACCGCCGCCTTGACATCGCCACACATCTGTCGTACACGCTCGTCTGGAAAAGCGGCATCCACCAGGAAGAAGGCTGCCCCGGCTCGTAGTGTGGCCAGAATGGCTATCACAGTCCACCCTGATCTTTCGAACAGCAGAGGCACGATTCTACCTGGCCCGACATTGAGGCGACGCAGTTTGTGCGCCAATGTCGTGGACTCCGTTGCGAGTTCCCGATAGGTCAGAGATATATCCCACGCATCGATAGCGATCGCCCCGGAGAGAGCTGTGCAATTGGCTTCAACCACGTGGTGTATGCATGTAGCTTCTTCGAGCAATTGGTATCCGTTCCATTTCCGGAGGAGAGATACGTGCTCGGGGGGCAGGGTTAACGTAGAGGAAAGAGGCGTGTCGAATGCAGATTGTTTGATCTGGCGTTGTGCATGCATGAAGTGCTCTATCATCCGCTGAGCCTGCCACGCGGAAAACCGGGTCCGATCATTCGTAATTCTAATATGGGAGGTCATCTCATCGAGAAGGGTGCATTGGATGCCAACGGATGGGAAGTTGCCCAAGTGACCGTTCATGTGATCGTGTTTCGTATCTTGAGTCGAAAATGTCAAGAGGGTATTGGTCTCCCAACTGAACGAATCGGGAACGTGTATCTCTCGGTGCTGACAGTAGCTGGATATCTGCTCTCGGATATTTTGCACGACATCGTGAATTTTTTTCTGGCTGCCTATCCGTACGTATATTGCTTGAGTTTCCCCCCGCCCCCCAAATTTGGTAGGGATTCGGACGGCAAAGGAGACAACATTTGAACTAGTGTAGGCACGAAGAGTGACTGCCCAGGAAGCACAAAATACCAAAAGCCAATTGTCGTCTCCCTGGATTGAGACATGACCTTGGATGATATCATCCATGACGCCGTGCTGAACAGAGGTGTATAGTTGGATCGTGAGAGTCAAGGATGACCAAACACGCGGTTGAAGAGAGAGCACTCCTAAACTATCTGAGAAGATCAATTGATTGGCTTTCCAAACCCCGTGATACCTCCGTGCTAGATGGAAGAGCCAGAACGAGGCAGTTGATGCCACCACATACACTGATACTATTCAGCCGATAGGCTCCACATGCGCATGCGCCTCCTACCCAGAGATTGGGAGAGTCTCATTCTTCAAATGTAACTTACGAGACAGGATCCTTCAATACACATTCCACAGACATCACTATTCTATTGTAGGTAAGTTCATTTCGACAAAATGCGGTGTCAGTCTGGGCTGAGGAATATTACGCAAATAGTACATACCATTGCATGAGTCCCACAGGAGGCAGGGAGTATGCACCTTGCAGATCATTGCATTATGTGGCGTATCACAGCTCTGGAGGATGGATCGATCAGATTCTCTGCACTAAGGTATCCCGCTCCGATAGCCTCGGGATCGGTGGAAAATGTTGAATTATGCAAAACGAAGTGGAAATCTGTTGCAACTCCGTTTAAATCGTCGAATGTTCGTCGCGTTTTTGATTCACAACCTCATGATCATTCCGCCATCAACTCCTGCACTACCTACCATATTGCCTCAAGGCCCGCCGAAATGACTATCGAGAAGCCTCAAGATCAAGAGATAACAATGTACACCTCAGCTCATCTGGCCGAGTTTTACGATATCTACTGGAAAGACTTCTTCGCCAATTGTCAGGACAGTAAAGTCTACGCCAATTTGCTCCAGGGCCTCCAGGATCGATCGGCCTCACCAGGTCCACTGACAGTCTTGGATTTGGCGACCGGTACGGGCCGAATTATCCGAGACATCATCAATTACCGGAAAGAGAAGGGGAGCGGCAATATCCGGTTCATCGGTCTGGACATTGCTCAGGACATGCTTGACAGAGCCTCAAAATCCGTGTTCCTCACGGGCAAGAATGAAATACCTCCTTCGTGGATTCTGGGATCTGCTCTGGATCTGGAATCCCCACTGGAATCATATATCGAGCAACAGTCGGTCGACTTAATCACCTTGGCTTTCGGGAGTATTGCTCACTTCTGCGAAGACGGGCAGCCGGAGCGTCTCTTCCACCAAATGGCTCAGGTACTTCGGCCTGGCACAGGCCAGGCAGCCCTTTCCTTCCTGGCTCCATTTGTGGATGTGAAGGGACAAGTTAATCCACCGGGGGAAGCGCAAACACCGCAGATGCCCAGTCTAAAATTTCCAGGGGTTTACTACCAAGAAACTCTGGTGGGTATGACAGTCGAGCGCGGTGTGTACGTGGACCGACGAGAGATCACCGTCACGAAGATTGAGAATGACGGACATCAAAAGACCTTGCTATCGAAGGAGGAGATTGTCACCAAGATGAGGTTGTTCCAAAGCGACGAGATCAATAGCATGGCTGAAGCCGCAGGGCTGGAGGTGGTAGACGTCGTAAAGATTCCTGAAGAATTCATTTGGGTGGTGCAACGCAAGGGATAGTAGGCCCCTTTATGTGACAGCTTCTTCGTTGACAAATGGAACTACGACTGGAAATCGACTTCGCTTTACTTCAGTTTTACAGCGAGGAGAACAATAATAAGTTCCTGATAGAAAACATACGCCGGAATGAGCGAATCATCTTGCAGTAGTCTTCAGTACTCCGTATAGGGGCCGGCTTTGAATCCTTGATGCTTTGCAAGAAAATGCGAGGGTTGCGAGATGGTAGACCCCCATGCAACAGAACCTACTAGAGTTCATGCATGAAGTCACTAATACTAATTACCGGAAGAGACGTATCTGATGAAGACAGAACAAACTATTGGGCTTGTGCCTGCAGATCCCTCGTTAGAATAGGACACCGCTCATATTCTCATGGCCGATCATTGCTGGACCAGGGATGATCTACCCGAAGTGGATCAAATTGACTTCACCACGTTTCAGCCAGCCACAGCTAGGTCGATCGCGATTTTGTCAAAGCCGCATACGCATGCTACCACTCTGGATAAATCGGCAATAATCGATGCTTTCCGCAGTTGCCTCTTATACGAACCGTGCATTGCGTTTCCGAGTGACTGAATTCTACCTGTCCATAACTCAGTTTACGCGTATCTATACCCCGTATTTTAGTTCAGATTTACTTGTTCCGTGGCTGTAAGTGCAAATTCCTGCCAGCCACTTTGATTTCGTCACGTTGTTCGACGATTGGCCTGTAAAAGAGGACCAGACCCTGTAAGGAGTACTCCACTTCCCAAAAGTAGGCGTTGCGACTCTCCTGAATAATTTCGTGATACAGCGGAACTCATCTTCCGTGGGTGTCCAATTCAGGACTCGAACACATAGTATGCCGATGAATGCCCCTGGCAGCATTAGTCCACATGCTGGGAGTCGAATATTGCCGGGAAGAGCTGCTTCATACGATCATGCATGCAAACTGTGTTCAGAACGGATTATTTTCAGATTCTAATCTAGTCGCTCCAAATTTTGAGTCGTGTAATTGTCTAACCCCGAGAAAAATAGACATAGATAAACTAGGAAGAAGCAGACCAAAGAATACTCAGCCCCGAAGATCGTGACACACCCACACATTTGGTTCTACGTAGACGCCAACCCCTTTTGAAGGATAGTATCGGACCGGCACTAAACCGCCGGGGATTAAAATATCCGTGTGGTCGGTCTGTCGCGATGCTTGGTGCTCGAAATTGACTCCTGTCCAGCGACTCCACTGCTCAGTTGTGCCACGGACAAGCATACTATTAGGGGCCACCTTGACAATTTCACCCCCCAACCGTACATGTTTGCGTAGCCATGGATCAAAGGGCAAGTCCCGCTCTTGGCGCTGTTGTTTTTGGAGACAGTCGAAATGATTTTGCCTGTCTTCCAGACCCGGGATTGTGCGGTTGTGGTCGAGGGTCCATTTTATATATTCAGGCATATCAACAAGCGGGAACGTGGACTTCTGCGTTGGTCGTAGTGGTACAACCAGTAGCTTTAGGTTCTCCTCTGCAGCTACCTGCTTCATCTTGCGAATGAAGATTTCAGCGAGCCCGGTTTGACGACGGTCTCGTTGTACCGATATTGAGAGAGCAGATAGGGCATTGGGGAGCTGAGTACTCGTACTCGCAGTATTTGACCCCTCAGGTACAGTCAAGGCTAGCTGTTCAAAAAGACCACCACGCGCCAGGCATTGGTGAACCCCTCGTGCTAGAATAGTATCGTAACCGCCGTCTGGCAGAGTTTTGAGGATTTTGGCATAATCGAGAATTGAGTCGGTTGGGTTAAGCTTTGATAGTTCTGGCCAGTAAAAAGGTATAGAGCGTGCAAGGCCAATCACCCGTTCTTTGCCAGTGCCAGGGTCCCGCTCCACGGCCATGAATTGGAAGCATGTCAGGGCATCAAGTCTGGATAGGAGGGGGACAAAGAGTTTGAAAGTGAGATCATGGTCGAGGAAAGCAGGCCAGAGGAGATTCAGAGGATGATCTGCCTGATCAAGCGTCCATAGAAGATCGGGACGCTGTTGGGCTGTATAGATATGGAAATTCCCTTGCTCTTGAGACCTAAAGGGCATCACGGCTATTAACTCAGGAGAACTGGTGAATGTCAATGTTGAGGCGCGTATCAGACCGGGCAGTCTTTTTATTGCGTCCACATTGTCATATTTGCCTTAATACTACCCTGCAGACTTCTGTCCTCTCCTTGCAAACTGAGTGGAGGGACCTTTGATCGACATCAGCTGTGAATGGGGAAATACCTGGGCTTACAGAATGGCTAATTTTCCGAAATATTTACAGTATTGTTAGTACATATCAACACACCTACCAAACATATCTATGTTGTGCACATGTGTGCGTACGGAGTACACCGATTGCCGATCAAAAGTGGGCGCAATGGGTACCTCCCTGGCGCATACATGTCTTACTTGGCTTCACATTGTTTACCAGCACAGACCATCGCCTTGCTTTGAGGTTAAACTATGGTTTTGCAACGCGTCCTCCTAGACCGCCTAAGTCGGCATGCATGAAGTGCGATGCGATCAATGTGGGCCTTTATCACTCCTTCCGGTGACGCTATCGAATTTGCAAGGAGCTATTGTCGGGAGTGGGGATTGAAGCAGGTCAAAATGCGAAAGCAAAAGAGCGAAGAAACCCAGGCATGTCATTGCTATTCTCTACCACATCGATGAGCGTCAACCACATGCCTTTGTCTTAATCCGAGAAACCCACGACAAAATTGCCGCATACACCTTTACGATGGCCGCTCCCTCAATGAACATATCACTTTTGCATAATGAGTCCGATTCCGCGGACGCTATTATGCAGATGGCAGCAATGCAATGTCAGGTGTTAAGCAGTCGAATCGGCGATGTATATCCTTGTACTGCCGCCCAAGAGGGTCTTTTTGCCTTGTCAATAAAACGTCCCAGCAGCTATACTGCCCGCTATGTCTACAATCTTCCGAGTGATACCGATCTGCCGCGATTTAAACGGGCGATTGAAGCCACGGTGGATGCTCATACCATTCTCCGCACGAGGTTAATCCAACATGATACTCACGGTACCCTCCAGGCGGTCTTGCACCGAGAAAAGGGGATGATTGCATCGGCTGACAACCTGGAGGCGTACTTGATAGCCGATGTTCAAAAAGCCATGCCACCGGGGGCGCCATTGATTCGCATTGCCCTTGTACATGGCCCACACTGCACCCCGACCCTGGTCATCACCATTCATCATGCCCTGTATGACGACTGGTCACTGAACGTGGTCCTGCATGACATTGAACGCGCCTACGATGGTTCCACGCTCGCTCTCCGGGCATTTTCGGACTTCACGGCTCTTTCCCTGCGAGCGCAGTCCCAGGAAGCAGCAGCGTACTGGAGAAAGTATCTGAAGTCTGTATCTGCATCACAATTCCCTCGTCTTCCCTCCAGTTCATCTGCGACTGCTGCCACATCCTCATTGGTTCGTCATGTCGCTTTCCCGGAGAGCCTGAGAAGTGAGACTCATCAGTCCGCGGCGATTGAGCTCGCGTGGGGAATGCTACTCTCCCTCTATACAGGCTCCTCGGACGTCGTTTTTGGGGTCACTTTGACAGGTCGACGCGCACAGTTGCTTGGGATCGAGGACATGTCCGGCCCAACGATTGCTACTGTTCCCTTTCGCGTACAGGTTTCCCCGGAAATGAAGGTGGCCGACGTCTTGCAAGATCTCCTGAACACCGGGGACGAGATGCTGCCTTTTGAACAGCGCGGTTTGTATCATATCGGTCGCTTGGGTGACGAGGCCGCCGCAGCCTGCCAATTCCAGAATCTGGTAGTTATTCAGTCTCCACAGCAACACCACTATGCGTACCTGCAAGAAGTCACCCAGGACCTTCATCTGGAAAATCATGCTACCTTCGGCACCTATCCTTTGACTCTGGTGTGTGACCTGAGTGAAAATTCGATGCGTGTCCAGGCAGTGTATGATGAAAAGGTCATCTGTGAGACTCAGATGCAGCGGATCCTGAACCAGCTCGGCACCTTGCTCGGTAGTTTGGTCGAACAGCCCCAATTGGCCCTTGGTGAAATCAACATTATGAGTGCAAATGATATTGACCAGTTGAAGAAGTGGAATGGACAATTTCCAACCAAGGTCGATGAGTGTATGAATGACTTGATTCTGAATCAGTGCCGTGTCCGTCCAGAAGCCCCTGCTGTAACCTCCTGGGACGGGGAGTTCAGCTATAGGGAGCTCGAAGAACTTTCCGGTCGATTGTCGGCTTCTCTGATAGATTATGGTATTGGTCAGGATGTTGTTATACCAGTGTATTTCGAAAAGTCGAAGTGGACAACTGTCGCATTGTTAGCAGTCATGCGGGCTGGTTTTGCGTTTGTGCTGTTGGATCCCTCGACTCCGTTGCGCCGCAATCAGACAATCTGCCAGCAGGTCAACGCCACGTGTATCTTAACCTCAGTCACCTTGCATAAGTCAGGGCAAAAACTTCTGGACCACGTCATTCCCGTCGGGTACAATACTAGTGCGTTGCAACCACGCCAGTACAGTGTCCAACAGAAGGCCAGCCCCTCCAGTCTTCTATACTGCGTGTTCACCTCCGGTTCTACGGGGAATCCGAAGGGGGTACAGATTGAGCATGGCTCATTTACCACGAGTACGAAAGCCTACATCGCCACGAGCCAGATGATGCCCGAGACTCGGGCTTTGCAGTTCGCTTCCTACGCATTCGATGTAAGCATCTCCGACACTCTGGTAACACTTGCAGCTGGTGGGTGCATCTGCGTTCCTTCGGAGGAACAGCGTCAGTCAGGATTACCGGAAGTGGTGGCCCTGTACAACGTCAACTGGGCGGACTTCACCCCGTCTGTCCTGCGCCAGTTCCAGCCTGAACAATTCCCTTCACTTCGTAACATTATCCTTGGCGGAGAGCCAATGCTGCAAGCCGATATTGATACTTGGAAGCCACATGTGCACCTCCTGAATATCTATGGCCCTGCCGAATGCTGTGTGCTCTCTACCGTGCAGAATAATATTACTGGGACAACAGATGCTCGCGATATTGGTTATGGAACAGGCTGCACTTGTTGGGTTGTTGATCCAACGAACCATAACAAACTTATGCCTATCGGTGTAATTGGAGAGCTGCTGATTGAAGGGCCTATAGTTGGGCGTGGATACCTAGCCGATGCAGAGAAAACTGCTGCAAGCTTTATCGATGACACTCCCCCATGGTTGCCCGTCATTCGCCCTGGAGCGTCTCCCTCCCGGATGTACCGCACAGGGGATCTGGTGCAGTATACCCCACAGGGTTCTTTGCGATACGTTGGCCGGAAAGACATGCAGGTGAAGCTGAATGGACAGCGGGTAGAAGTCGAAGAAGTTCAATACCATCTCTACTGTTCATTCCCAGGAGTTGAAGAGGTAGTCGTCGACCTGGTATTACCTCCAGCTTTGGAAGGGCGCCCTCAACTGGTGGCATTTATCACTGGCAAATGGGGGCTCTGCAAAGATGCGACTGATATCTTTGTCCCTCCCACTGGTGCTTTCTTTGAAGCGATGGCCACGGCAAAGGCAGCTCTCCAGAAGGTTTTGCCAGCCTTCATGATCCCCTCGTATTTCCTACCAATTACTCGAGTTCCTCGTACAGTCTCTGACAAGACAAACCTCCAGAGCCTGAGGAAGGCCACCAACGCATTGACTGGAGAGCAGATGGCAGCCTACAGACAGCAGCCGACGACAGGGCCCAAAAAACCTCCCGTCTCGCAGGCTGCGGTCCACATGCAGAAAATCTGGGCTCAAGTATTGAAGATCTCTCTTGGCCAAATTGGCTTGGAAGACGGGTTCTTCCAATTGGGAGGAGACTCAATCACTGCAATGAAAGTTGCCAACATTGCCAAATCACAGGGGCTGTCGATCTCCGTCCCCGATCTCTTCAAAAACAGCAGTTTGGACTCACTCGTTCAGACTGCAGAGAGCCAGGCTGACATCCCCTCTTGCCCATCTCGGTGGGATTGGGAGATGGAGACTGCTCTGCGACCGGACATTACAGATACTGGTGCTAATAGAAAGGGGAAGGTTGCTTTGACCGGCTCTACCGGCTTTTTGGGCCAGAAAATACTTCGCCTGCTGATTGAGAATTATGCTGTAAAGGAGGTTCATTGTCTGGCAGTTCGGTCTCAGGGAAGTGGAGTTGGAAGGCGGAACTCCGCGCTAGAATCTGATAAAGTGATAGTCCACTCTGGGGACCTCTCACTGCCTAACCTCGGGCTGTGTGCGGAGGCCTTTACACGGGTCATCCAGAGCTGTGAAGCCATCATTCATTGTGGGGCGGATATCTCTTTTGTCAAGTCATATGATCTCCTCAAAGCCACCAATGTTGGTGCGACGCAAGAGATAGCCCGCATGGCGATCAAACATGGTGTCCCTATTCACTATATTTCCAGTGCCGCGCTGTCTCATTTGACAAGACTGGATAGCTTCGGGGAAGTGAGCGTGCGACACTTCCGACCAGCCACTGACGGGCAGCACGGGTATTTGACATCCAAGTGGGTCAGTGAGGTCTACCTGGAGAGATGCAATGAGACGCATGGGGTGCCTGTGACAATCCATCGTATCTCAAGCATCGTCGGGTGTGACGCCCCCGCGATGGATATCACCAACAATGTGCTCAATATGTCCCGGAAACTGCGTGCAGTTCCTGACTTGAGTAGTTGTAAGGGCTATGTGGATCTGATCAGTGTCCAAAATGCCGCTTCAAATATTATTACGGATGCATTGGGTCAACATTCATCCACCGCCGTCACTTATGCCAATGAATCTGGCGAAGTTCGCGTCGCCGCAAGTCGCTTGCATGAATACCTTGAAAAGGAGGCGGAAGAGCCATTTAATGTGGTGCAACTTCCAGAATGGATTCAGTCCGCACGTAAATGTGGCATGCCCGAACTGGTGGCCAGCTTCCTTGACGCTATGCCTCCGTCTGAGATTGATATCGCCATGCCCTTCCTCAGAACCAGGAGAATCGGTGGGCGAGCTGTCTCAAGAAACCCATCGCTCCCTGCCCATCCGACGAGATCTCTTGGTCGGGGAGGACCACAGATCCCGAGGCTCGGATTCGGGGCTATGCCGTTATCAGTGTTTTACCTTCCCCGTCCAACGGACGAGGAACGGTTGCAGCTGCTAGATCAAGTATACAGCATGGGCTTGACTCATTGGGACTCGGCCGATTGCTACGCCGACAATGAGGAGATTCTAGGAAAGTGGTTTGCTCGCACTGGTCGTCGCCATGACATCTTCCTCGCCAGCAAGTTTGCCGTGACGTCTGAGGATGGTGGTCAAACATGGATTGTGCGCAATGATCCCTCCTATGTTCAGAAGGCATGCAACCTGAGTCTTCAGAAGCTGGGGGTTGACTCCATCGATTTGTATTATTGTCACCGCATGAGCGGCGAGACACCTATCGAAGAAACGGTGGAAGCGATGGTCCGTCTGAAGAACGAGGGCAAAATCCGCTACCTTGGCCTGTCAGAATGCTCCGCGGACACCCTTCGACGAGCGTGAGACATCCACTTTCTGAGAAGATTTCACATGATGAGGACCTTCGTATGCTAATTTGTTTCCAGGTGCAAAATCCATCATATCAAAGCTGTGCAAGTAGAGTATAGTCCGTTCAGCCTGGACATTGAGGATCCGACGATCGACCTACTCAAAACGTGCCGTGATCTCGGCGTCGCAGTTGTCGCCTATTCACCTCTTGGTCGTGGGTTCCTGGCTGGGAAGATAAAGTCAATTGATGACATTCCCGAAGGTGATGTGCGTCGCTCTTTGCCTAGATTTCAGCCCGAAAACTTTGCGAACAACCTACGGCTCGTGGATATTTTCAATGACATGGCGGGCTCCAAGGGAGTTCCTGTTGCCTCTCTGGTACTATCCTGGTTGATGCTTCAGGGGGATGACATTTTCCCCGTTCCTGGCAGCACCAACGCTCGAAACATTGAACAGAATCTGCTTGCCTTCGGCATTACCTTCACGGATAAGGAAGTTCGGGTCATCCGTACTGCACTGAAGGATATTAATGTGGCAGGAGACCGGTACGGGGAAGGGTGAGTATTACTCTGATCCCGTCAGATTTGACCTGGTCAGGCTGACATATCTAGTGGGATGGCATTGTTTGGAGACACCCCAGCTTTGAGAAATTAGGTGTATGTAATTGCTTTCTCCATATTCTAGTTGAATGACAATACCTGTTTAAGTGCAAAGTTAATGTCTGCTGTGAGACGCGTCACATATTCCGGTTAGAGATCACTTTCATACTTCTCTTCACACGCCCACTTTTGCATTCGAATCTTCGTGGTAATTGGACATAGAAAGCCCCCAATAGCGTGTCCCACTAATGGGCTATTCGGACACCAAGTAGAACGGTGTTTAACCCTGACAGTAGGCCCGAAGTAGGGCTGTCTGCCTAAATCAGTATTATGGGGTATCTCTGCTGCCCGATTTGACGAACAATGGAGCCCTGTTTCCGAGGATAATCAGAAAATCTGCATGAAAACATAGGATGACGTTGAAATCCCGGACACCATAATCCACTCACAGTTTTGGACTTTCTGGCTGATGATTCCTCTGGCGGGCTTCCAAAATAATCTCAGACTTTCACCTGGTTGGGGTTTAGAGGAACCAACTCAACAACCTGAAGCTTTGCTTTCTCGATATCCGACTTACCCTGATTGGAGACTATATTTGTTTCGGTTGGTGAATGCAATGGACTTTCGGGTCCGGACACTAACAGAATTCAGCCATTCAAGCCGCCCTTCGTCGGAAAAGAGGGCCTTGGATACGATCTTTCCGATGGAAAACCAGAGTGGCCAAGGCATGTTGAAATCGTACGGAACTCCCGCGACAGACTGCATGATGGAGTCCTGCGTCTTGTCAGAAAGTCTTGCGCGGATTTGTTAACACCGTGGCCAGACATTGAGGACTCGGGAAAACGATGCAAGGAAACAGAAAGACACTCACTGAACAACAAAATGACTGATATCGGCTACTGGGAAGTCATTATATCGGTCTTCAGCCGCGACTTCGGCCATGGGGACTGGGATAGTGAGTGGCTTATCCACCATTGAATGCTAAAATTTTCAGTCTTGGATGAGATTGGATCCAGGAAATTGAGGATAAAATTTGATGATACGTTGACGTGACTGGCAAAGAGTTATTCTAAAAGTTAAGTCAAGGAGTAGGAGTAACATGTGTCACTCAAGTCCCGTACGGTACCCGGGCGGGAACTAAGACGGGAGATCCCGAAAGCCAAACTTTATTATTATTTACCTTAGGACCCACACCTAAATATCCATGGATGTCCCTCTATCTCTAGTTGAAGCGACATAGAAGTATGAAGAAATCTAGGAAAGAAAGCTTGTAAGAGTGATTTTCAGATAATGCCGTATCAGGTTCAGGCTATCTTTGTGGATGATAATTTGTATAACAAGTACTGTATGACCCGATCGCCAGAACCGGCTTATTTATGCATATTTCGGAGGTCCCCACGGACGGACCCTTCGGGAGGCAGATGGAAGTAGCACGGGCTCGTACTAAACCAGGAGTCTAATTTGGTATATCCAGGTAAATTGTTGCCTGATTCTTGGCCCAGTTCAAAAAGATCTGGCCTTAATGATCAACAATTATCAGCTAAAAAGGTGCATCGGAGATCCTCGGACGCGCCGATGGATTGGTATGTGTGTGTAGAGTTGCTTTTGCTGTATGTATTAGATATATTTATTTATTCTATTGCTACAGTCAAATCGTATAAAAATAGATTATAAATACAACTTCGCGTCATGACACCTTGTTGTGATCAGATGTTGTTACTTATGTTTGCCGTAAGTCCCATTCCCAGTTGTGGAGTGTCCGTCCATAATTCTTGCAATTGCTCTATAGGGAGGAAGGAACTATACGTCCTATGCACTTGCCCTATTTTAATGGAAATGCGACTACTATTGACGTTTCTTAGTGATAGCAGCTGCTGATTGGAATAGAATATATCACAAGGGCGCACGCGTCTGCGCTCGGTCTGTATGCAGAGTAAGGTTTTCAGCCAGCCATGTGCAAAGTCCCGAGCACGCCAACATATCATGAGCCATATGTTGCACAAGCGCTTGTCGTAAGGAATTTGAAAGATTGTACACTGCAACCCTGGATATCTATATGACATCATTTATGCTCCTTGGGAATGTTACATACATGGAGAGCTATACCAGTCTTTGTGTGATAATTCACCCATTCCTCAGCTCAACCAAAAGGCGGCACATGTGGGTAGACTGCATGCCTATTGTCAGCTTGACAGTCAGCCTTAGTCAACCTCGTTAGCCACGTTTAACCTCTTGCGTAGTACCACTATGCACTTTGTTAGATGAGGGATTACATACGGGAATAACTATCCCAACATTCTCTCCTACAACGTAAATACCGCATGACCCAAGAATAGAAACCTACCAAGTTTAACTGCACCTGCTTCTCTTGACGTGGCGACAATCCCTTAAACGGACCTTCTACAGCATCTCACCGGCACAGGCACAGATAATCATATGTATCATATGTTGGCATTTGGCTAGGGTTGTTTTCTGAAGCAGCCAAGCAGCAGCAGCCATAAGAGGCGTACGTAAGGAGGATTATACTACCACCGAAGGAGAAAACTGCGTATCCGTGGTATCGGATTGGCTTCACATATGGTGTCATATTGGTCATGTTAATTGCCGCATCTTTTGGGTCATACAGTGACAACGCCTTAATCTTAACACCCCTTATGGTGGCACCTATATACCGCTTTCCTTTATAGCTACACCGCTATAGTATACTACGCGCTAATGGAAGCGCGTATACCTCGCGTTTTTAACATGCTTTCTAGTTTATTCCTACCCCTACCCCTTTTTGTAAGCTTCTTTTGCTCCTAGAAATTCCTTCTGACTCTGATCTTACTCTAGCTCTCAGAGAGAGGATCTGTGAGCTCCGTTCAGCTGTTCAATAGGGGTATAAGCGTATTCATAAGAGATATCCATGGGTTTCCCTCTCTACAATTTACTATACAATCAAAAAAGAGCATGAACGATGTGCTGGTGTTTCAAACCCTCGTTCTGGTCAACCAAGGAAGCTTGATACTGCCGATAAAGTACGTATTCTAGATGCTATTTCGGAGAACCCACGGGTTACCCGCGAAGACCTTCTTGATAAGGCATCTCATAAAGTGAAAATCGACTCTATCCAACGCCTTTTAAACGCTAAGAACTTCTGGAAATGGCAATTAGCTGGAGACCCTATTTAACTGAGGAAAACGCGTTAAAACGACTCCGCTGGGCTATACGCTATAAACACTTTACACCTAAGGATTGGGCCCGTGCTTTTTGGTCTGAGGAACGTATAGTTGAGCGTGGGACTGGCGTCCGTCGAGAATGGACTTTTGCCCGTCCGAAAGACCAGCTAAAAGAGGGACAATGTCAAGGATTACCGCAACCGGGGAAGCAAGTTAAGCAGATGTTTTGGGCTGCTTTTTCGGGCGCTACACGTCGAACTGGCTTAATTCCATTATTTGGAGATCCGGAATCAGAGCGTGGAGATGTGTATCGCTTCGTTATTCGAGATCTTTATATTCGTATCTTACCTAGTTTAGTGTCGAACAAAGGGAGCATTTTCCAGCATGATAATGCGCCTACGCGTACTGCCCACGTTGTTCGGGATGCTTCACGCAATATGAATATTGAAGTTATGGAATGGCCACCGCACTCGCCGGATTTTAATCAAATTAAAAACCTCTGGGCGTTGTTAAAAGCTGAGATCTATAAGCTTCGGCTTGGTCTTATTCATATGAAGAATAACGAGGAAATAAAGGCTATTTAGGTGGCTACGGCGTAGCTTGCATGGGATCAATTGAATCTAGATCATCTAAAGCATCTATCTGATACTATGCCGAATCGTGTGCAAGCTATTATTGATAGTAAGGGGTGGTATACGCCGTACTAGTTAGCTAGTTTGAATTCGGGAATTCGGGTTCCAGCTCAGCGGGACCCGTGAAAATGATGACTAATGACGGGTCCCGTTTAGCTCGGGCACCTGATCGGGACCTGGCTTTATATAGGTCCCGCTCAGCTTTTATACCTTGATTTTATCTATTTATGTTGATTTTTATATAATATTACTAAAGGTCTGTACCCACTTAAACCTATACCCCACTAAAACGCACTATATCCTAATACATCTCTATATATATATATTGTATATTATTGCTTTTATATCTAATTTTAAAGAGGGTATAAAAGGATTTAATTAAAATAGCCTTCTATATTATAAATTATAAATAAATAAAGTAATATTAGGTGATTCGAAGGGTTATACGGAAAATTAATAAAGAAAGTGAGAGATATATATATATTAATACTAATATAATACCACTTCTCTTCTTCTTTCCTATCTATATTTGCTTTCTTACGGTAGAAATATATATTTATAATCCTCTCTCACGCATTTTTATATATATAAAGTATATATTAACTATCTCTAGGAAACTAATATAGTAAACCTAGCACTATACCCCGGTCTAGGTCTAACCGAGGCCGATTTTAATAATAATATAGTCTTAACCGCTACGAACCCCGATAGATTCGCGGGTTACGCTTATAGTATATAGATATAGGACGTTCTTTTTATATACACTAAATATAATATAGGCCTAATCCTAGATAATAACCTAGGTTAGAAACCTATTATATACACTATAGCGATTATAGGTGGTATAAGTAAGTACGATATTAAGGCGGCTAATATCGTTACGAACCCTCCCCTAAACTAGCCCGTTGTCCTTAATAAGGAGAACACTAGCGTATACGTTACGATTTAATATATTTAATATATATATAGCGGATACTAATATAATATACTATAGCTACGATATCCTAGTGTTACGCACCGTAAACTAGTCACAGTCAGGGTTAGTAGATCACGGGTTATACTCACAAGGGATTTCTGATCTTCCAACGTCAACGATCTGTCTCTCAACCGTACCGTTGCCAAGCAGGCCTTACACGGACTAAGTCCTTTTAAGGGTATCGAGGAACGATGCC